AATCAATATAGTGGTAATAATGCCTTCCTCTTTGCCTCTTGGCCTGCTTCAGCACGAAGAAGCGCTCTGTCACGCTGACGACGGCTGGGAAGTAGGTCAACTGTTTTCCCAGAAGCGAGCGAAGGAGTGGATTGTGCTGAGCCGACGTGCAAGCAAGCCGAGGAGGGAGGCGAGAGAAGGACTCGCTCAGATTTGTGCAAGGCACAACTCGATTCCTCCTGACAGATAGCCATCCAGCATCTGCTCTTGAAACCGCTCATACCATTAGGAAATTCTTCCTAATATTGCTAAATATCTTCTCTTTGCTGGTCCAGTCATCCAGGAATCCTGGGAGTTATACCTTTTGGGGCAGAGAAGCCGAAAAACCTTGGGAAACTGCAGCTCCCAGGATGCCATAGCTGTTCCAAGGGTAGTCCAACTGCATTCATTTGCAATGTCAATGCCGAATTAGTTAGGAGAGGCAGGTAACAAATCAAATGTATTTATCGTCATTTATTTATTTCAGGCATTAATACCCCGCCCTTCTTGACCTCCGAGGAGGGACTCAGAACGGCTTCCAAACAGACAACAATTCAATGCCAAGCATGATATAAACACATAATAAATACATCCATCTATATAAATAAAATGTAATGTTCATTTGTGGGATTAACATAACTCAAAAACCACTGGACGAATTGACACGAAATTTTAACACAATACACCTAACAGTCCAACAAGTGTTCATCACCCCTAAAAATACAACCCCCTTGAGCAGAACAAACTTAAAACCCCAAAAATGCACCACACACACACACACACACACACACACTCATATACATAAACACATACATATGTTATGTTATTGTTTTACTGTTTTGTTGATTTTAATTGCTTGTATTGTTGTTGTTATTGCTTGTATTATTGTTGTGTTCTGGGCTCAGCCTCATGTAAACTGCACCAAGTCCCCTGGGGAGATGGTAGCGGGGTATAAATAAAGTTTTTTTTTATTATTATTATTATTATTATTGAGTATTAATAAGAATATTGATAGTATTATGTTTTATATGATATGATAATAATATTATATATTAATTATGGTATATTCATTATTAATTGATTATAACACTATGTTACACTTATCCCAAAATGCTCTCTAGAAGGAGCACTTCCCAATTAATTTTTGGGGCTCAAAGCTGGGCATTAGTAATAGTATAATATGTCATATTATATTATAATATAATAACATTATATTAATTATAATATAATATATTACTAATAATTAATAATAACACCATGTAACGCTTATTTATTTATTTATTTATTTAGAACATTTCTACGCCATCCTTCTCAACCTCCGAAGAGGGACTCAGGATGGTTTCCAACAGGCAACTATTTGATGCCGACACAATATAATAACATAACACAAAATACAATTAGCATACATTAAAAACAGTTATAAATATACATTAAAACAGTTCGCTGGTTCAAATCGTCATCCAAATCAGTCCATTGCGGTTCACTAAAACCTTCTCTTAAATAACATTTTATACATTCCTTAGTTATGTATCACCCATTACCCCCCCCCCCCCCGCCCTCCCTTCAGGGGGAGTGTAATCCCATCAAGCACAAAATGCTTGCTTATCCCAAAATGCCCTCTAGAGGGATGACTTCCAACACATTTGGGGCTCAAAGCTGGGTATCAAGCCACAAGGAGAGGTGGATAATAAATTATTACTACTTATTCTACTTGCTTGGGTGCCCAATGTTGCCCGGGCTATTTGAAAAAGTCATTTTTTAATTATACAAAATGTATAAGGTTGTGGGTGAACTACAACTCCCATCATGCCAGGTTAATCCCCTGAAACTCCACCAATACTTTAAGTTTGTTATATTGGGGAAGGTTGCTCTAGATGCATAATCGGTGGGGTTCAGTGTGCTCTCTGGCTGTAGAGTAAACTACAGCTCTCACTATGGTAAGTCAGTCCCCTCCAATCCCTCCAGTAGATTGAGTTAGTCATGGGGGTTCTGTGTGCTAAGTTTGGTCCAGGTACATCATTGGTGGAGGTCACAGTTTCTTTGGTTATGGGTGAACTACAACTCCCAGAAAGGAAGGTTAGTTCCCCCCAAACCCCTCCAGTAATCAAATTTTGTCATATCAGGTCTTTGTGCCAAGTTTGGTCCACATTCATCGGTGTTTATATGCACAGTGCTCTGGATGTAGGTGAACTACAACTCCTCCAATTCAAGGTGAACTTTCCCCAAAGATCTCCAGTATTTTTGCTGGTCATGGGGGCTCTTTCTGCCAAGTTTGGTCCAATTCTATCTTTGGTGGAGTTCAGAGGACCCGTTGATTGCAGGTGAACTATACTTCCCAGTACCTAAAACTCTCAAGGCCAATTCCCCTCAGAACCCACCAGTATGCAAATGTGGGCATATCGGGTATGCATGCCAAGTTTGGTCCAGATCCATCATTGTTTGGGTCCATAGTGCGCTCTGGATGTAGGTGAACTACACCTCCTAGAAATCTCTCCAAAGCCCTCCAGTATGTTTTGCTGGTCTTGGAGGTTCTTTGTGCCAAGTTAGCTCCAGGTCCATCGTTGGTGGAGTTCAGAGTGCTCTTAGATTGCAAGTGAACTATACATCCCAGGACCTACAACTCCTATAAATCATGATTAATTTTCCCCAAACCTCTCCAGTATGTTCAGTTGCTGATTAATCCTTCTATTTGCTGTGCACCATAGAAAATAATAGCAAAGGGTTAAGGGAGAGGGAGTGGGCGGGGTCATGCAAATTCCACACCAGTGGAGAGAGTCAGAAACACTGGGATGTCAGTGTTGTAGTTCAGCCAGCTGAGGATGATGATGAGGGGTTTGGGGGGTGCAGGGCCTGATGCTTCTGGAGGTGCTCAGACAGATGGGATGTTGGAACAGGATGGTGATTCTCCGGTTGGGAGAATAGAGGGGGATTTGGTTGATTCTCTGTGTGAAAACCAAACTGTTTTAGAAGCTGACAGGCAGAGAAGGGAGGAAGGGGGGAGGTGGACAGAGAATCAAGGCTGCTCCTGCGGGGGAAGCATTATCGGTGCAAACCGAGCCATGGGAAAAGGAGGCCGAGGCCGAGACAGACTCCTCAAGGCCAACAGAATGCTTTCATGCATTTCTGTCCTTAATTAGAGAAAAAATAGCAATAGGTATTGTCGAAGGTTTTCATGGCCGGAATCACTGGGTTGTTGTAGATTTTTTCAGACTATATGGCCATGTTCTAGAGGCATTCTCTCCTGAATGTTTCGCCTGCATCTATGGCACGCATCCTCAGAGGTGTGAGGTCTCACAACCTCACAACCTCTGAGGATGCTTGCCATAGATGCAGGCGAAACGTCAGGAGAAAATGCCTCTAGAACATGACCATATAGCCCGAAAAAACCTACAACAACCCAATAGCAATAAGGTCTCAGATCAAGCAATGCAGCAACTAGAACAAGAAGCCCCTGCCTTCTTCCTGCTCTTGTCTTGTTCCTGGTCCTATCTTAGCTTCAGGCCAAATTTTCTAGTCAAGTTTTGCTCCCAGTCTTGGGGATTTTACCATGTCTTGGTCTTTGTTTCTTGGACTACTCAAGCTCACATTTTATTCCTTGTATCTTGGATTAATCAAGCTCATGTTTGTTCCCTGCACATTGGATTAATGTTCATGCTTTAACCTTTGCATTAGAGATCATCTCTGGCTTCTAGCTTTATATATTTGGATTTTTTACTCTTTTACTGTGTGTGCTTGAACATTAAACTATTTATCACTATGCTTGGCTTCCTGGCTTCCTGGTGAGTGCTTGAGCAAGGCGAACTCTAGCTGAGGTGCAATAGTCTAGGATGGAGGAAATATGAAATCTAGGATGGAATTGTTCCCGTATGAAAGCCTTCACTTGGATGGTGGGCAGTGTGGCATTTGTGGCAGACATTGGCAGACTCTTGGACATGTTTACGGCACTCACTATAACCTGCAATGTGATTGGAGGGAGGGCCATTGGTGTCTCCCGTGTAGTGGGAGCTGTCGCTGTTTGTGGAAGTGGGAGCCTGTCTGTGGAAGTGGACACCCCAGCCACAAACACACATACATATATTCACTTTTATTATGTGTATAGATATAAGATTATGTTTGTTCCTGGGTTATCAATGTCATTTTCTAAATGGTTCTATAATAAAAACTGCAAAATCTTTGTTTTTGGTGGCACATCCTGCTATACCGTATTTTCCCATTGTTTTTTTAATGAATCTCATTGAATTTCAACCAGTTTGACATTGTGGCAGCCACAAAAACAAAGTTCCTGGATCATAACAACTACTTTTAAAGTAAGTGTGGCACAATTATACAGGAAATAACACTTTCGAACTGGGAACAGATTTCAAATTTTGTTATATATCATAACAACAACAACAACAACAAACTGGTGGGATCACAAGCCTGAAAAAGTTACAGAAAATGAACATGTCAAACTACTCTGGGACTTCCGAATTCAGACTGACAGTTTTGGAGCACAATACTCCTAACCTCATGATCGTGTTAAAAAACAAAGTATGGATCGTCGATGTAGCAAACCTAGGCAACAGCATGATTGAACTGAAAAAGCTGACACGATATGAGGATTTAAAGACTGAACTGCAAAGACTCTGGCACAAGCCAGTCAAGGTGGTCTCAGTAGTGATCGGCACACCAGGTGCATTGCCTAAAGACCTTGGCCTGCACTTGAACACAATAGGCGTTGACAAAATCACCATCTGTCAGCTGCAAAAAGGCTACCCTACTGGGATCTGCATGTATTATTCACCAATACATCACATAGTCCTAGCCACTTGGGAGGTGTCCGACGTGTGATCCAATATAACAACCAGCATAGTGATCTTGTTCGCTGTGTACTAATCTTGTTGTGTTTCAAATAATAATAATAATTCAATAATGATGCAAGTATTGCAATCATTTGTCAATGTTTGAGGCCTAACCCCTTGTTTTCTTCTTTCTTCTTCCAGTCAAAAAAGCCAAGTTCGATGGCCCTCAAGGTGAGTTATCATCTTCTCCTCTTTCTCTTTGCTAACAGAAACTTAGAATGGTCTATTCTTCTATGTCTTTTGGAAATGACAAAGAGATAAGGGCAACCAAAGTGGCCAGGAATAGTTTTAAAGTAGGGGGGATCGATAGATGCTGTCAATACTGATCTGAAAGAGAATGGGCGCGTCGACCTGACGTTTCTCTGTACTGATCGTGTCCCCTTTTCTCTTGGGCAGAAAAATTCAACACTTACGTGACCCTCAAAGTCCAGAATGTGAAGAGTACGACTATCGCAGTGCGCGGAAATCTTCCATGTTGGGAACAGGATTTCATGTTGTAAGTCAGCCTTTGAAAGGGGTAGCTGGAGGATCACTGGAGACTAAATTCCAGTAGGATTCATGCTTTGGAGAGGTGTTTTGGAATCAAGATTTCAACAGATCCAGTGCCTTGGAGATGTAGTTTGGAGCCAAGATTTCAATAGGATTCAATGCCTTAGAGACGTCCTCTGTCACTAAGGTTGCAATAGGATTCAGCACTTTGGAGAGATGTTCTAGCACGTAGATTTCAATAGGCTTCGGTGCCTTGGAGAGGTGTTTGGAATTAAGATTTCAATAGGATCCAGTGCCTTGAAAAGGTGTTTTGGAGCCTAGGTTTCAATAGGATTCAATGCCTTAGAGGGGTTCTCTGTAAGCACAATTTCAATAGGATCCAACACTTTGGAGATGTGTTCTAGCATTTAGATTTTGATAGACTTTTGTGCCTTGGAGAGCTGTTTCGGAGCCTAGATTTCATTTTTCTTCAATGTCTTTGAGAGGTATTTTGGAACCAAGATTTCAATAGGACCCAGTGCCTTAGAGAGGTGTTTTGGAGTCTAGATTTCAATAGGTTTCAGTACCTTGGAGAGGTATTTTGAAGTAGATTTCATTAGGATTCAGTGCCTTGGAGAGGTTGTCTGGAGCCCTGGATTTTGCTTGAAAAGTTTTAGGATGGAGATGTGGAGATAAGCCTCCATGAGGTTTGCAATTTCCCCGATTTTGTCAGTCAAAGGGGCACCTGTTTCTCTTGTAGTGAGATCAACCGGCTGGACCTGGGGCTGACAGTGGAAGTGTGGAACAAAGGCCTCATCTGGGACACCATGGTGGGCACAGTGTGGATTCCCCTCAGCACAATCCGGCAGTCCAACGAGGTGAGTACCATCCCATGACTTGGAGATGTCCATGTCAGGAGGGCAATGAATCCATTCCAGGTCTTGGCTAACCTTAGAAGGGCTCTCAGCAAAATCCCACACTTCAGGGATCTCCTTGAAAGCTGAGTTTGGAACCTGGAATGAATTCACAGCATCCTAGGGTTAAAAGAGATCACAAGGGCCACTCACACCATGGTATTCGCCATCCCACTGGAATGGAAACCATGAGCTACCTCTGCTTGAACATGATCCCTCTCAGTTATGTTGTGGGGAGACAACTGTCCTGGTGAATGTAGTCTTGGGGTGGGCTTCAAGTTTCTACTCCCAAGAGCAGAACCCTCTTAAAATAATGTGTTCTTTGAGCAGCTTGAAAGAACCTGTTGACTTTGAACCTTGGAGAGATTTCTTGAAGGAGCCCACTGACTCAGAGCCTTGGAGAGCTTTCTTAAAGCAACTCGTTGACTCAGAGTCTTGGAGAGCTTTTTTTGAAAGGAACCCATTGACTCAGATCCTTGGAGAGGTTTCTCAAAGGAACCCATTTGTTTAGAGGTTTGGAGAATTCACTTGAGAGAACTCATTGAGTCGGAACCTCGGAGAGTTCTCTCAAAGCAACTAATTCACCAGGTGCCTTGAAGTGCTCTCTTGAAGGACCTCGTTGACTCAGAGCTTTGGCGAGCTTCCTTGAAGGTACCCATTTGTTAAGGGCCTTGGAAAACTCCTTTGAAGGAATCCATTGTCTCGATGCTTTGGAGAGCTCTCCGGAAGGAAACCATTGACTCAGCCCACATTCACACAGCTGTATAAAATCCACATTGAACAGGATTATGTAGCAGTGTGGACTCAGATAACCGAGTTCAAAGCAGATATTGTGGATTATCTGCCTTCATATTCTGGATTATGTGGCAGTGTAGAAGGGCCCTTAGAGCCTTGGGAAGCTTTCTGGAAGGAACCCATTGGCCCAGTGCCTTGGAGAGATCTCTCAAAGCAACAAATTCACTGACTGCCATGGAGAGCTTCCTTGAAGGAACCCAATGACTCAGAGCCTTGGAGAGCTCTCTCAAAGCAACTAAGCCACCGAATGTCTTGGAGAGCTCTCTTGAAGTAACTCATTGGTCCAGTGCCTTGGAGAGTTCTCTCAATGCAATTAATTCACTGACTGCCATGGAGCGCTCTCTTGAATGAACTCATTGACTTGGAGGCTTGGGGAGCTCTCTCAAAGCAACGACTCCACCGGATGCCTTGGAGACATCTCTTGAAGAAACCCAATGACTTGGAGCCTCGGAGAATTCTTTCAAAGCAGCTAATTCATTGTGTTGTTGAAAGCTTTCATGGCTAGAATCACTGGGTTGCTGTGAGTTTTCCGGGCTGTATGGCCATGTTCCAAAAGCATTCTCTCCTGACTTTTCACCTGCATCTATAGCAAGGCATACCCAGAAGTTTGGATTTGGTTGTGTCAGGAGCGACTTGAGAAACTGCAAGTTGCTTCTGGTGTGAGAGAAAGGGCCGTCTGTAAGGATGTTGCCCAGGGGACACCTGGATGTTTTGATGTTTTATCATCCTTGTGGGAGGCTTCTCTCGTGACCCCGCATGAGGAGCTGGAGCTGATAGAGGAAGCTCATCCGTGCTCTCCCCAGATTCGAACCTGCGACCTGTTGGTCTTCAGTCCTGCCAGCACAGGTTTAACCCACTGCGCCACCGGGGGCTCCATACTCAGAAGTTGCCTGCTATAGATGCAGGCAAAATGTCAGGAGAGAATGCTTCTGGAACATGGCCATACAGCCCAGAAAACTCACAGAAACCCAACTAATTCATTGGATGCCCTGGAGAGCTTCATTGAAGGAATTGGTGTAATGCTTTGGAGAGCTCTTTTGAAGGAACCCATTAACTCTTAGAGCTTTTGAGAGCTTTCTTGAAGGAACCCATTGGTTCAGAGCTTTGGAAAACTCAGTTGAAAGAACCCTTTGGATCAATGCTTTGGAGAGTTCTCTTGGGGGAAACCCATTGACTTAGAGCCTTGGAAAACACCCTTGAAGGACTCAATTAACTTATGAGCCTTGAAGCCTTACTGGGTCAACCGTTGGTCTTGTGATATCCGTACACCCTTCAATGTCCTGTCCTCACAGGACGGCCCCGGCGTGTGGCTGACCCTCGACTCCCACGTCATCATGACGGACAATGAAATCTCCGGGACCAAGGACCCCACATTCCACCGCATCCTTCTGGACACCCGCTTTGAGCTCCCACTCGGTAGGCAAGCTCCCTCAGAATGCCAAGAGATGGAGGAGAAGTGTGAAATAAAATGCTATTCACGTGAACAATACAATCTTGGGAAGGCGGTACTCTTTATTTCACCTTCTATCTCTCTCGTCTTTTAGACATTCCCGAAGAAGAAGCGCGGTATTGGGTCAAAGAGCTGGAACGGCTCAACGCAATGCGGGACCAAGATGATGTAAGTTTCCAGTGTGGGTGTATAATGTTATGTTTTTCTTTGTTGAAACATCGATGTTGTGCCTTAACGTCACAAAAACGATTATCCCATTTATAGAAAGTTTCAGAAAATTGTATTTTTGTTGACATTATCATACATCTGGCTTTCCTTGTTGGGTTTTTCAATGCTCCTTCATGTGAACCAACTTGGGCCACGCCTTGGTAGAAAAACAGCATGCAAATGAAATAAATTCATTTGCATGCTGAGTGTGAATTTATTCTGTTATTGGGTGCTGATGAATTCTGTTTCTTTTTTCCCCAACCTGCCACCATGCGATTGATCTCATTGGGAATGAACAGGAAAAACCACTTCCGGTACCCGGCTCACAGTGCTGTAAGTAAAGATGGAAATAATAATAATAATAATAATAATAATAATAATATAGTGGTTTTCTAATGGGAAGAATCTCTGACTGAGGAGAATCTTCGCCATTTTGAATTTATTTTGTGCAAAATTAGCACTGGGTCAATTTGTTTAAAAAATAGTGTTTTCTGTGCAGAAAATTCACCGCAAATGACATACCTTGGACTTGCATGGGTTTTTAGCATGTGGAATAAGTCCTGAGCTACAAGTTGTGCAGTTTTCTTGTAATAGAGGGAGAAAAAAATGCTCAGTGTCAGAAAGAAGCGACCAATCATACCTATAGCTCTATGTCTTGGACCTGGTTGTGTGTATACAGTCGGTGCTCAATGTTTTGTTGATTTGATTGATTAATTAATTGAAAAATTAATTAGTATTTAATTAATTTATATTATTTTATGAATTTATATTAATTATTTGCTTATTTAATTTATATTAAATATTTGTTTGATTAATATTAATTGATATTAATGTTTAATGTTATTAATGTTTAAAGCTACAGACAATGTGGCTGCTGTTGCCCAGTTTTGGTCTAAAATTATTTAGCTGCTTGTGCTCCCTTTATCAGTTTTATACTTATTTATTTATTTATTTATGCAATGCTTTTGACATGAAATAAATAAATAAATAAATAAGATTGATCAATTAATATTAACTATTTGATTAATATTAATTATTTGATTATAGGTATTCATTATTTGATTAATTAAATTATATTAATTATTTGATTGATAGATATAAATTATTTGATTGGTTGATATTAATTAATTATTTGATTAATTAATTAATATATAGTTATTTGATTCTATATTATAGAGCGTGACTCCATGGTCAACGCCTGCCATAGAGTTACACTGGAGGACTACTCTAAGATTTCTGCGATCTCTGGCTGTCTCTTGAACATATAATCCCATCCCCCACTGAGACACACACCTCATTTGGGTCTTATTACATCTTAGGTTCCAACAACGCCCATTGTCCCCAATGATAACGGACTGGGGACATAGGTGTGGCCCCCCTCGGCTTCGTTTCCCCTTCTCCCTTTGTGTCTTCTTCCCCTTCCATGTCTCCCCATCCTTTTTTAACCTCCAGAAGTCCAAGATCCCTTCCTTTCAAGCTTTAGGGTTCCTCCAACCTCCTGTTATTAGAGCAGGAAATGACTGGCTCTCCTTTGCGTGGGCTTGTCTCTTAAAGGGACATGTCTTCTTGGTTCTTTCCTTGTAGGCAACTGGAATTATTTTGGCTGGGGAGATCAACAAAGTAAGTATGCAAACCCTTTGACCTCTTCACTCCTGTTCCAACTTGGACCCCAGAAACACCAATGCTCTGTTTCTTCTCCTTATTGGGTTCCAAGCCGGTCTTATCCTCCCCTTTTGAGGAGAGATGGACACTAAAAGGTGGTAAAGGTGACATGGCATGATTCAACGCTAGAGATTGTCAAGTTAATTAGCTGGTCAAAGCGCTGATGCTTATCCAATTAGCTGACTTCAAAAGTTCCTGCTCCAACTGAGTGGCTTTTATCTTTAATTACATTGCAACTATTTACAATTGAGTTGAACTTACTCATTACACCTCATCGTCGAAAAAGGGAGAATGATGGCTATCGTTGACATTCAATGCCATTATACAATTAACAAAGACAGACAGTGCATGAACAGAGGTAAAGGCTTCCCATCTTTTTCCATCTCCGGCATCTGGAGGCTGTGCTCGACTCCACGGGGAGGCGTTGTCGCACCATCTTCCATGCTGAGGAGCTTTGTTGTCCTTAGACGCTCTCCCGATCTAATTACTGGCATGTCCGCATGCGTGCCTTTTATTCCCTCCCCTACTTTTTAAATCTACTCACATTGCTGTTTTCGAAATGCTAGGTGAGGAAAAGCTGGGCTGACAGTTGGAAACTCAACCCAACCCGGGTTTGAATTGTCAACCTTTTGATCGGCAAGATTTTCTGCAGCTATTGGTTTAACCCGCTGTGCTAAAGCCCGGCTCTATATTGTTCCTCGTTAATTCAAACCCAGCCTGCGGTAGTGGTAGTGACATGTAGCCTCGCTTCCTCTCTGATCTGCACATGTTCTTCGCATTCCAGTTGTTCGTGGCAGGCAGCATGGGTTTTTAACCTAACTGATACAATCATTTTCCTATAACACTGACAACCCCCTCCTTAAAAATTCAGTGCTGCTAAGTATTAACTAAGGCTAAATATTTCAAAACTCAATCTATACATGGCAGTGGAGTCTGACAATTACTTTTTTCTTTTGAACTCCTGTGTCAGGTAGTTCCATAGACCCTTTTTGTTTTTTGTCTTTTCAACATTTATTTACATTCCAAATTCAATTGCATCTTTATTTTTTTAATTTATTTCATTTGCTCTTTGTATTCTTCAGCTTACACATCCTTAGAGTGTGATATGCTTTTTAGAGAAGCATCTCGCGCTCTGTGAATTACCTGGGAAGGAATCCCACTGGAGCATTGCGGCACACCCAGATACCTGGGAGTTACCCTGGACCGTTTTCTGACATACAAGGAGCACTGCTTGAATATCAAGCAAAAAGTGAGCGCTAGAAACAATATCATATGAAAGCGGACTGGCACAACCTGGGCATCACAACCAGACAAAGTGAAGGCATCTGCCCTTGCACTTTGCTACTCTGCTGCTGTGTACGCATGCCCAGTGTGGAAGACATATCACCATGCTAAAACAGTGGATGAGGCTCTTAATGAGACAATGCCGCATTATCACTGGATGTCTGTGCCCTACACCACTGGAGAAATTACACTGCTTAACCGGTATTGCACCACCTGACATCCACCAGGAAGTAGCAGCCAACAATGAAAGGACCAAGGAAGTGACATCTCCAGGCCATCCTCTGTTCTGATATTAGCCAGCACACCAACACCTTAAATCAAGAAATGTTTTTTTAAGATCTACAGAGACACGCTCAGGAACACCTCAGCAAGCGAGAGTCCAAAAATGGCAAGCTAAAACCTGGAACCTCAATCCATGGCAAATACCAAATGAGAGACTCCCTCCTAGGTACACAGAAGACTGGGCGACTTGGAAGGCACTGAACAGACTGTGCTCTGGCACCACGAGATGCAGAGCCAACCTTAAGAAATGGGGCCACAAAGTGGAGTCCATGACATGCGAGTGCAGAGAAGAGCAAACCACAGACCACCTACTGCAATGCAGCCTGAGCCCTGCCACATGCACCATGGAGGACCTCTGATAGCAACACCAGAGGCACTCCAAGTGGCCAGCTACTGGTCAAAGGACATTTAATATAATGCCAAGTTTTCAAACTTTGTGGGGATTTTTGGGTGTTTGTTTTTAAAATACATTACAACTGTACCCTTGTTTCGCTCCTGATACGATAAAGCTTACACGTATGCTTCAACTATGTTGCTCAAACTGGTTGACTTACATATGTTCATTTGTACTCTCTCTTCAGCCTTTCAATATTTCTTGCATTCTCACAACTTCATGTTTCACACTTGTATTTTTTGCTTATCACATGTCATACCATTGGGTTGTTGTGAGTTTTCCAGGCTGTCTGGCCATGTTCCAGAAGCATTCCCTCCTGACGTTTCACCTGCATCTATGGCAGGCATCCTCAGAGGTTGTGAGGTCTGTTTTTGACCATCACCCAAGGAAAAAAAAAAGCACAATCAAAACCCTGGCAGACCAGAAAAAAGAATCTGCGAAGCCCACCTCCTCCAAGGTGAATGGAACCACCTCAACTGGAGACTCCAGCACAGACATCAGAAGAGTGGTAAGACCAAGAACAAGCCATGAGAGGAAAAGACCAAAACCCACCCTGAGGAAAAAGTATTCTTACCAGACATCAAGAGAACAACTGAGCGCATAGGGAAGCTGATGAAGAAACACAACCTACAAACAATCTACAGGCCCACAAAGAAAATCCAACAAGTGCTCTGTTCAGCAAAGGACAAGAGGGATCCTCTCACCTCTGCAGGAGTCTACCGTATACCATGCAGCTGTGGACAAGTTTACATAGGGACCACCAAACACAGCACCCAAACATGAATAAAGGAACATGAAAGGCACTGCAGACTAACTCAACCAGAGAAGTCAGACATAGCAGAGCACTTGATGAACCAACTTGGATACAGCATATTATTGGAGAACACAGGAATGTTGGACCACTCTAACAACCACCATGCCAGACTACACAGAGAAGCCATTGAAATCCACAAGAACCACGTGGACAATCTGAACAGAAAGGAGGAAACCATGAAAATGAACAAAATCTGGCTCCCAGTATTTAAAAAACCTCTAAAATCATAACAGTAAATAAAGATCAACACTCAAAAACAGGGGAATTCCACACAAGAAACAATCAGGGTCAGCTAATCACCTCCCAACAAAGGATTCCTCCAGGAAGGAAGCAGCCAGACTTTGAAGTGCAAAGCCATTAAATGCTAATCAAGGTGGCCAATTGCAACATTCACACCTACCTCGAACAGACAAGAGTTCTTTCTCCCATCCTGGACATTCCACAGATACATAAACCCCATTTTCCTAGTTTCCAACACACCTCACAACCTCTAAGAATGCCTGCCATAGATGCAGGTGAAATGTCAGGAGAGAATGCTTCTGGAACATGGCCATACAGCCCGGAAAACTCACAACAATCCAGTGATTCTGATCATGAAAACCTTCCACAACACATTGTCATACCATTCATTTCTCAAACACACCTTTATTTTCTGAACAAATCTCCTTCATTTGTTTTAACATAATATTTCACTTCTTTGCTATGGCAATCAAATTTCATACATTAGCATTCAAGTACTCATGTTTTCACTCTCGTTTCCCCCTCCTAACTTCGCTATCATCAACAGAGGAATTTATAGTATCCAAAGAGAAGGTGGGAAAATCCCAACGTTGAGCCTGGACAGAATGGAAGTCAAGCTTGATTTCCCCCAAAATTACGTTGATCATCAATGGGGTGCATCTACACATTCAACCTAATGTGGTTTGGACACCACTTGGGACTGTGACAGACTCCTGGGAACTGCAGTTTTGCAGAGAAGGAGGAAGACTTTGCAAAACTACAAACTCCCAGGTTTCCGTAGTGGTTGGCTGATCCCGGTTCGTATCTCCAGACCAAGAGGTCCATTCACAATGTGAAGCATGATATATCCCCCCTTTGCTCTGAAGAGAGGGTTTAGGTCAGGACACGGAAGGGTTTGCTGCAAGTTCCGACCCGTGACCCCCTCATGTATGTCCCTTGTGCCCCTCCTTTCCCTCTCCAACCTCTTCCACCAAAGGCCAAGAGAAGGGAGCATGTTCCAGTGCAGCAGCCCATTAAAACATTACTTTCTTGGTCACTTAAACTCCCACAGATGACCTTCTCTGGCTCTTTGTCTCCCTTTGGAGCGCCTTGCATCGGTCATTCACATGGCGACATACCTTTTCTGCAAACTTAAAGCAATGGTAGCCATTCTCTTGCAGAGTTGTCGTTACTCCCATTAGACCCTTGAAGCTGAACCAACTGGTCTGTATTGCCCACCTCTTATGATAAAAAGTAGGAATGTACATAATATCATTTTGGTGTCCCAGATACATAGAATCCTAGAGTTGGAAGAGACCTGGTGGGTCATCCAGTCCAATCCCTTTCTGCCAAGAAACAGGAAAATTGCATTCAAAGCAGCCCCCGACAGATGGCCATCTAGCCTCTGTTTCAAAGCCTCCAAATAAGAAGCCTCCACCACACTCCAGGGTAAAGAGTTTCACTCTTTCTTACAGTTTGGAAGTTCTTCCTCATGTTCAGATGGAATCTCCTTTCTTTCCTGTAGTTTGAAGCCATTGTTCCATTGCATCCTAGTCTCCAGGGCAGCAGAAATCAGGACTGCCCCCTCCTCCCTATGACTTCCCCTCACATCTCTATCCATGGCCCTCATCATGTCTCCTCTCAGCCTTCTCTTCTGCAGGCTAAATATGCCCAGCAATTTAAGCCGCTCCTCATAGGGCTTGTTCTCCAGACCCTTGATCCTTTGAGTCACCCTCCTCTGGAGGCATTCCAGGTTACAGTCAACATTTCCCTTCAATTAAGGTGCCCAGAATTGGACATAGTGTGATTCCAGGTGTGATCTGACCACGGCAGAATAGAGGGGCATCATGACTTCCCTGGATCTTGACACTAGACTCCTACTGATGCAGGCCACAATTCCATTGGCTTTTTTGGCTCATGTTCACCTTCCTGTCCACGAGGACTCCAAGATCTTTTTCACACGTCCTGCTGCGAGCCAGGCATCGTCCCCCATTCTGTATCTTTACATTTAATTTTTTTCTGCCTAAGTGGTGCGTCTTGCATTTGTCCCTGTTGAACTTCATTTTGTTAGTTTTGGGCAATCATCTCGTCTGTGAAGATAGTTTTGAATTCTGCTCCTGTCTTCTGGAGTATTGGCTCTCCCTCTCAATTTGGTGTCGTCTGCAAACGTGATGATCCTGCCGTCTAACCCTTCATCTAAGTCATTAATGAAGATCCTGAACAGAACTGGGCCCAGGATGGAACCTGTTTACGGCCCTCCACTCGTCACTTCTTTCTAGGATGAAGAGGAAGTATTGGGGAGAATCTGGGTTTGTTCGCTTAACCAATTACAGATCCACCGAACCGTAGTTTTGCCTAGCCCACATTGGACTAGTTTCTAGCTTGTAACTCTATCGAAAAAAGAGATCAGATTAGTCTGGCATGGCTTGTTTTTGATCAATCCATGTTGACACATTCATTTCTAAGTGTCCCTAAGATGAGAGAGATGATTGGCCAAAACTAACACAATGCATTTCAAGAAGGACAAATGTCAGATATGAATGTAAAGGTACAAGATGGATGATGCATGGCTTGACAACAGTCCATGTGAGAAAAATCTTGGTCTGGATGGACAAGCTGAACATGAGTCAAGAATGTGAAGCAGCACATTTTGGGCTGTATCAGAAGGAGTCTAGTGTTTAGATCGAGGGAAGTCATGGTGCCTTTGTATGCCACTTTGGTCAGACCTCTTTCCCTAGAATCACACTGTATCCAAGTCTGGGCACCACAGTTCCAAAGAGATACTGACTCTAAGCTGGAAGGTGTCCAGAGAAAGAGGGCGACTCAAAGGATCAAAAGTCTGGAGAAGATTAATTCCTCTGAGGAGCGTCTTAAAGTGCTCGGTCTTTAAGAGGAGGTTGAGAAGAGACATGAGCGCCATGTCTAAATATGCTCCTTAGGAAGATGGAGCAGGCTTGTCTTCTGCTGCCCTGGAAACTAGAACTCAATGGAGACATGGGTTCAAAATACAGGAAAGGAGATTCCATTGAACATTAGGAAGAACTTCCTGACTATAGGAAGAGCTGTTCAGCCGTGGAACTGTCTGCCTTGGGGTGTAGTGGAAGCCCCGTCCTTGGAAGCTTTTAAACAAAGGCTGGATGGCCATCTGCCAGGGGTGCTTTGATTATGCTTTTCTTGCATGGCAGGGATTGGACTACATGGTTCACGTGATCTCTTCCAACTATGATTCTCTGAACCCCTTGTGGTTTCTTAAAGCAATGTTTTGTTAAAAACGTTTTAAAATTTCCAAAAAAAATCAGTGGATTGGTGAAACGTTCTGAAACTTGGTGGGCTTGCAGTTGTAAATGTGACCTACAAGTGAGGCAAGTTTCGTGCTGATAGGCCTATAAATGACAGAGAAAGGAGCCTCTAAAGTTTACCCATTGGACTGAATCTTTCCGGCACGAAAACAGAAAACCTTTCCAAATTTGAGAAGTTCCCTAAAAATGGAATGGGGAGGCAGCGGAGAACTGGGTACCGAACATGGCATGGGGATTTTTCCAAATAGAACACCCCTAATAACAAGAGAGGTCCTCGCGTCATGACTTCCATGTTAGCAGGGCAGCAAATCCACTCTGACTTTTGATGAAGCGATGAAAACCTGGAGCGGATTCACTGCCTCTCTAATCTGGAAAGGAGTTCCTTGTGGTGGCATCTGTGTTTTGTGTCCACAATCAACGGCCATTGGCCATTGGGATGATGGGCAAGTGGAAGTTGGTGATAGTTTCCGCTGCCATTTTGTGTCCCTCCTGCTCCCCCAGATGACGATCCAGACAGTACGGTGGACGACCGGGACAGCGACTACCGCAGCGAGACCAGCAACAGCATCCCGCCTCCTTATTACACCACGTCACAGCCCAACGCTTCCGTCCACCAGTACCCCATCCGCCACCAGCAGCGCGGCTCCCGCGATTCCTACTCCGACTCCATGCAGGGCTATGGCACGGACTACTCTGACCATCGGCCAATCAGGTAGAGTGGGCGGAGCCTAGGGCTTGCCGTGGGCTGGTGGGCATCCAAGGAATATTGGCAAAGAGGGTCCTGATCCATGAAAGGAGGGCACATGCTGTCCGTCGTAACAGCTACAGCCTACGATAATAGCACATGCGGCACCAAATTTGAGAGAGTCAACCCGATGGACACCAAAATCTATCCTGAAATTACCTTCCCTGTCTAGTTTTGTCTTCCCCATATAAACTCCATCCTTAATCATCCTAAATACAGCTATGGTGAAAGCAACCACGGAGCTCCATTTGGTAGGTTGGAATCCTCCCAGTTATAGGTGTCAGGTACTCCTTGCTGAGGTTTCCCAATGCTCGAGATATATAGCATGGACTCGTGTATAAATCTAACTCATGTATAAGTCTAGTGTAGGTTTGGGGGCCAATGTTATGGAGTTTGATATGGATACATTCAAGGTCATTCCTCGGTGAAGGAAAAGAGTCATTGTCATTGTGGTAGCTCTTTTTCCCCTGCCATTTTCCCATTCAAAATGATGCTGCAGTGGAGAAAGTTGAATAAGTAGGAGCTTCTTTTAGGTCCTCCAAGAAGGGACTAAGCACTTGCCTTTTGGGAGATAATTCCCTTTTTGTGATGCATATAGGTACAGAACTCACACTGACCCATGGATAAGTTAACTGAGGTCAGGCGTTTGGGCCGAAAATGTCTAGACTTATACATGAGTGCATAGAGCTGTGCAAAACTATTGTTAGTCCTCGTAAGTCATTAGTAATTCATTAGATTTGTGCAAACAAATCACTATTAAGAAACATGCAGGAAAGGGGGAGGAAAAAAATTAAGAATGGAAACACTCACCAATAATTTTTGTTGGTGAGATTCTGTAACATTCAGTTAAGATTCTGTAACATTCAGTTTAATTTTCAGTTTAAGCATTATATAAGCAACTTTTGTAAAGCCAAAGAGGCCATTGCTAGTGTTTAAATTAAGACCCAAGCTGCCTTCCGGTCATCATAAGGAAGGGCAGCCGGTCGGGAGATGGAGAACGCAGCATTCTGGGAAACGCAGTTTGAGAAGATGAGGCCTCTTGTGACAGAGAATACAAAAGGCCCTGCCCTCAACTGCATTCTGGGAAATGCAGCTGTTGGCCGTTCAGAGTCAGTCTAATAATAATAAATAAAATTATTGTATCTGCAAAGAGGACTAAAGTAAGGAAGTAATAGTATAAATCTGTTCTAAGTTGAAGTTCTGTGGATAATTGTGTGTCATATAGACACACTATCTGGTAGGCATTAAAAGGGAGTGCTGTTGTGGCTTTGGGGGGGGGGCGGGATAAATGTCTTTAAAGATCCCCAAAAAACAACAGATGTGTGAATCTTTCTGAAACTTCTGGGAATTGATGTCCAGGTGATCTTGTGCATTGTGTATAAAATTGAAGTAGATAGCGTATTTTAAAAATAAATTAAATCCCCCCCTCCCCCAAAATTAGTAGATGGGTGTAATGTTCCAAAACTTGGTGGGCTAACAGTGGAAAAGGTGTGGCACAATTATAGCAAGTTTCATCCTGATAGCTCTACAAACAAGGGAGAAACAGGCCTGCTTGCTCAATTACTCAACAAAAAAAAATCGTTACTTGGTTATCGTTACAATTGTTAAGGTCCATAATTTCYGAAACACTTTAAAAAATGATCCGCCCTCCTCCCCAATTTTGTAATGAATATTGAAACATTTTTTTCATTGATCGCACAGGCTGAGTACATACAACACCTTTCTCGCCAGTAGAGGGAATCAGTCGAAACTATCCCCTTCCACCTAGTTGTGGTTGAATTGTCAGATTTAGGTTTGGAGACCTGCCCCCCAAGAGAAGCCATATCATCACTCCCCCCCATGTCCTTCTCCTAGTCTTGGCCCCGGAAGGTGATATGGTTCCCCGATACAAAGTGGACTGGTCTCTTTCTCTCTGGTGTGCTGACCCTTTTCCTCTCCCCCCCCCCTTCCCCGCTCCCTCCGGCAGACGCTACGGTAGCGTAGATTCTGCCGCGAACGGGCCCAGCGACGTGGAGTCTGCTTCCGGGTCAAGCAGGCGCACGAGTCGCCAGCCCTCCCTCGAGAGCAGGCGCTCTTTAGACCTATCGGATAGGTGGGTCTCTCTCAATCTCTCTCTCTATCTCTCTCGTGTCTTCTTCTCTGCTGTGTGCCTTTTGCGGAGTCCCGTGGTCCTTATTATTTGTGCCACCTGGGTTAGGCCGCCCGCCTCCATCCAGCTTTGGCTTCTGGGACAGTTGCCCCACCGCCATCCTCCGCCCCTCTCATCCATTGCCGGGACAGGTGCTTAAGCAGACAAATGGCATTCATAACCATTTGGTGATCGTAACCTTTTGGAAAAGCACAACCTTTCAGAGAAGAGCCAAAAACCCATTTGAGTAGAATCTTCTCAAGTGGCATACAACCAAGTGTAATATGCAAGACAGTGTCTTCAGTTGTTAGATTGAACCTATCGTCTCTGATCTGTTAGGAAAACAGAGATTTGCCAGTGCATAATGTTGGAAATAGCAACCTTCTTCAAGCCTCCACTAGTTATTTGTTATGTATATCATTCAGAATGCTTACTGTATTATATATGTATGTATTGGTATGCAGTTTTCCTCAACTCTGTGTTGTGGGAGGGGCTGCAGACCATGTGATCAGATCTGGGCTTGTTCAGGACTTAGACTCTATTTTAGAAAGTATGCTTTCAGACGCCAGTAAAGGTAGAAGTAATTAGACTTTCAATGTAGAGACTTCAGTAGACACAGTACAGTTTAGAAGTTAGTTGAAACAGATTAGCCAGAGACTCTATTAGACCCTCAGACCAGAGAGATGCTTTAGACTATGGACTGTTGATTATGAGAAAGATGCACTGCGTTACCTACACAGAGAAAGTACTTCAAATCTCAACTGGATTGATATGCAAGGTACCTCTATGCTGAATACATGAAGTCTATGAGTAAACCAACTATGTAACTTTCAAAGAAGTCTGCTTATTTTGGTCTCTTGAGAGCATGATTTAATCCAAGATGTTTTAAGGGAGAGTAGATGTTTTTTGACAACTGAAAGTATACTTCTGAAACTCGTGTGTGTTTTGTGCCTTGGCATATCTTTGTCCCTAACAGTTAAAAGATATATCTAGTAGGCATGGTTAGGTACCATCAGAATCTTCGTAATTCGGTATAAATTAAGAAAAAATACCTTTTCGAAGCGATTTTGAAGTTTTAAAGAAAACCGGAAGTCCCTTTACCCTTCCAAAGCTTTTTTCCGCCATTTTTTTTACGACTCATGAAGTGAGTCGGAAATTATTCAGCTTTTCCCTGCTTCTGGTCCCTGGCCTCGGCTCAAGCCAGAGAAGCCAGTTTTAAACCAGAAAAGGAAGGAATTTCCTGGCCTTGGCTCAAGCCAGAGAAGCCAGTTTTAAACCAGAGAAGGAAGGAATTTCCTCCGCTTGCTTTTCCCCGCTTCTGGAGTAAAACAACTACTTTCAAAGTAAAGACCACCCAATGAAACAGGAAATAACACTTTCAAACCATTTACAAAAGGATTCAGAAGTCTCAGAAGTTTCAAAAAGTTTTGATTTTTTCCCCCTGGAATTGACTTTAGAATCGAACCACCAGATTCGGAAGTCTCAGAAGTTTGGAAAAGTTTTGAACATTTTTTCTGTGAAAATCGGAATTGACTTTAGACACCAGCACCCCCTACATCCGAAACGAGTTTTGAACCATTTTTGATCAAACAAACCTAGTATCTAGCTATCCAATCCAATCCAATCCAATGCAAAACTTTATTACGGTCACTGACCAGCACAAAGTGGGGCACAAGTGCCCTGGGAATGGAAACACAGCTCCCCAGTGAAACAGTTATTAAAAAGCAGATTAGAAAACAGTTTAAAATCATAGTCTGAAAACACGGGTTAATGTAACAGGTATGGAACCGAGTTGGGGGGGGGGGAGACTGATAGGAGGGGTCAAAACACTGGGGAGCACTAAAGGGGATGGGAGGGGCACATTACAAGTCTAGTAACATTTCAACTGTAACATGTTGCTCTAACTACATTCCCAACAGAGTGTTGCCTTGTGGGGTCAATCATCATCTGCAGCACAGAACTTCACAACACTGTAAATTATTGTATTGCTAGACTCCGAAAGCAGCAGAGTGGAATAATATTTTTCGCTGTGCCCTGGTTATTTTAGAAGCCATGCTGTAATGAGATTAGTTCTAAGGTCTCTGTAGAACATGCATTGAAGAAGCACGTGCTCAGTTGTTTCTACATGACCAGACTCACAGGGGCATAGCCTCTCCTTGAATGGGGTCTTACGATACCTCCCCTCCAATACAGCCGATGGGAAGGCATGGCATCTTGTCAGGGTAAAAGACCTTCGGTGTTTGAGCACCTCCAGGTCTGTTAGGTATGCCTTGGGGGCAGTGGGGTATCTACTGGCTTCCCTAATAATGAAGGTTGGGGAACAGGCTAGGTCCGACTGGAACTCTATGTTCAGGATCCATTGCTTAATGAGATCTTTGGCTTGGTCCCATCTCATGCTTAGCAATTGTCCTTGGGAGAAACATAGAGTTGCAATCTTTGCTGCCACTGTTTTAGTCCATTTGGACTGGAAGTTGTCCCTTGTGGTTAGGAGGGCAAGACCATGTGGGGGGAAGGATAGGCATATCCAGTAGTTGAGAATGGCTGTCCATATCTCGCTTCCACTTTCACAAAGCCTTAGGGTGGTGTTAGAGACACATCTGGGAGCCTGGAGGGCGGCTCTTGGAAATTTTGATTGAACATTCTCTAGTGGGGCATAATTTTAAAAGGGTCCAAGCTGGGCTCCATAGAACATTTGTGTGATTGGTTTAGCTTCGGAAAGTTTAAGAGATATCTAGGTATATCAGTTTAACAGCTGAGAAACCTAATTGCCTTGCATGAATACTGATGGATATTTACTAAGGAGAATTTGACTCAAGCAAGTTTTTAACTCTTCTCAGGGAGATTCCTGATTTTCCCAAAATTGTGGTGAATGCCCATTCCCAAAAGGTTATAGAGATTTCCATTTCCCAAAAGGTTATGGCATCATTTTTTCAAAAGGTTATGATTTCTAAGAAGATCATGCCTTTCCAAAGATCATAATTTCTCCTAAACATAAAAGTAGCAGTGCTTCAGAAGTGTTTTTCAGTGCCCAAAAGCATATCTAGTTCTCTTCCACAAAAACAACTTGTTTTATATCATGCACCCAAGAGACTCAAGAGACAAAAATGAAGTAGGCTTTGGTAAAATAAAATATTTGGTCTACCCACAACCTTCATGTGTTCAGCATAACACAAGTACATAGCTTGTCAGTCCAGTTTCAGATATGTTTGAGATAATCTCTGTCCCATCTGGTCAGGAACATCTCTCTTACAACAACAGCAGGCATGTGTTGGTCTTAGGAGTCTAAGGAGAATCTAAAATGGAGTTTGAGGTCTGAGCTGTTGTACTCTGACCTGAATTCACCTTTGCATCATACAAGAGTCCAGGATTACTAACTAAACAGTTTATTAAAGAGGTGAAAGGCAATACAAAGCAATGGGGAAAAGGCTATTAAAAGGCGATCGTCCTTACATCAGACTTCAGTTCCAAAAGGGACAAAGTACACAGAAAATACAGGAGTCAAAACATAAGCATAAATCCATAATCAGGAACACGGGAACGTCTTCCAAAACATGAATCCATGAACATGAGCTCAAAACTTTCCCAAAGAACTTAAACATAGACTTGAATGTGAAACAAGACCAAGGTGTGCATGGTAACATATCATTGTCTGCTCTAACCCATTTAGTAAACAATCCTTTAATTTAAGGACCACAAAGCCATGAAGTCATGCCTTTGACATCTGCTCTGTTGCTTCAAGGATTTCTCACTCTGTTGTTTCTCACAGAGTCTCTGTGACCTCTGTAATTTGGCTCCTTCCTCTCTGAAACTGAGCCTCAAACTCCTGCTAATTTAAGGTGTGTTCCCAGGGGCAAGATCTCTCCCTTCCAGCTCCTCATCTTTTGTTGATAAGGAATGATTGGGGGAAAGGTTCTCCCTATCTTCTGAGGCCACAGCATCTCCCTCTCCACTCTGTTGTGAAGCTATTTCTCTCTCACCAGACACAGACCCATTCTCCCAGGCAGAATTGTGATCTAAAATCTCTTCATTTCCCACACTGAAAAGCCCATTAGTCCTCACAACCTCTGATCGAACAATTCCCTCATCTTCAGCCTCTGGTTGAACTACAACATGAGTAGTCTCAGATCAGATCATGCGGTCTGCAGCCCCTCCTACAACCTCTCAGGAAACAGAACAAAAGGGGACTCGGGCGGCTTACAAATGGCACAAAGTGCCCAAAACAGAGCATAAAACGAACCACAAAATACAAGTATAATAAAATAAAAACATATGGCATACAAAACAACAATTAAAAACAGTGAACAATAACCTATAGCAACAAGCTCCATACCAGAGCATGTATACAAAACAGTAAGCAAACAGAATCATAGGTTAAAATTACAAGAAGAGGCCTGAAGAAGGTTGTAATTTCCAACAAGATATGCACATGTCAGAACCGGAAGGCGCTTAGGTGTGACATTTCATGTGTCATGTTGACAAACTGGACACAGGATCAGAGAGTACAAATGGCAGGAACCGGGAAGTGTCGTTAGCATACAATAAAGGATAAAATATTAGCCTTTCAGGCATTCTACCTACCAAGAACTATATTTGGCAAAAGAAAACCCTAAAACAGAAATTGAAGAATGTATTAATACATATTAGAAAATAAAGTATATATGGAACCACTGATCTCAGAAAATGAGACTGAAGAAACTATAGACAATTTTAAAACCGGGAAATGACTGGGAATGGATGGATTAGGATCAGAATATTATAAGAAATTTGAAACAATATTAATACCTGAATTGAAAGAATTATATCATAAAATAATAAAAGTTGAAATGCTCCCGCCATCATAGGAACCATCTCTGATTATGTTAATTTTAAAACTTAATAAGGATCCCACAGATCCTGGATCATACAGACCTATATCTTTGATAAACCAAGATGCAAAAGAATTAACCGCAATAGTGGCAAAAAGAATGAATAAATTTATATATAAATATATTCATAAAGGTCAATTGCCCACGATTGTGTGTGTATGTTTTTGACCCTGGTGCAATTCATGACATGGTTTGCTACCAGCAAGTATAGCTCCTGTATGGTCTATGAGAAATCCTTTTGTAATAAAGCACCTTTCCAGTAGAAACAAAGCTAATGCAGAAAGGAAACTGATAGCACCATTGTGCTTTTGTACATTGTACTTTCCCCACGCATCCATCCATCCGCCCCCCCACCCCACCATCAACATTGCCAAGGCTGGAGGTTTGGTTTCGGCCTAATCCAGGCACGTCCGGTGACTTGTCTGCATGTGCTTCCCATGGGCCTCTGCGTGTGCTCAGGACCGCTTAGGCTCCCAGGCCTTCTTGTCCACGGTGCTCCTTTGATCATTTGTATTCCCTGTTCTGGAGTGATGTGACGTCTTTTGGTCAGAGAAGAGGAGTATGTGAAAGTAAACGTCAGGCAGCGCTTTGTCATCTGTGGTCCTCCAGATGCCTTAACCAGCATGGAAAACAATGCCAGAGCAGGGTTGTGTTACACTGATCTTCCCATTGCTCCCACCCCAAAGCATTTGGAAGGGTCTGACATTAAGGAAGGCGCCCAGTCTGAGCTTTTCCATCTGTGTGGTTTGGTGTTTCTGTGGCTCGTCTCTCTTTGTGCTGCCGGTTGGAGGGGACCCCGTGGATAGAAATGCCCAACCCTGTTATCACATGATGTTCCTTAGTTCATTTGGGTGCAAAAGATATGACTGTTCAAGATACTTTCTGAGAAATGGATGGTCCTCTCAACTATCATAGAAACAGAGGTGGACCAGACCCTAAGAACCATTTTGGCCAACCCCATTTGACCATTTAGAAAGGCTTGATTACGGGTTCCCAAACTGGAATTGGGTGGGATTGAAGAGGCATACAGGTGCATGTGTGTGTTGATGACCACACCAGGTGGTCATACAGGGCAATGCTAGTAGGGTTGGTTGCAGGAAGCCCCCCGGTGAGCCCTCTAAGCCCTTTTCTCAGCCTGCTTCTCTGTCCTCCTCTATTCCCCAATTTCTCCATCCCCAACTCCATCCCTGCCTTCGCAGCCCGACGGGCAGCAGCCGGTACGCGTCTTCGGCGGAGCTCAGTCAAGGCAGTTCCCAGCTCAGTGAGGACTTTGACCCTGACGACATCAGCCTGGATGAGCGGGACGGTGACTCCTACCACTCCTGCCACAGTTCGGTCAGCTACCAAAAAGACTCGCCATGTTGGGACGAGGAGGAAGAGGACGACCTCTACCTGGAAGATGACGAGGAGTTTAAGGAGGAGTATAGTGACAACGAGGAATATTACCCTGAGGATGAGCTGGCTGAACCCGAGGCGTACTCCCGGGAAGCGTTCCCGCCAGAGCCAACCTCAAAGGGAGCACAACCGCCAATGGCCCCATTTGCTGCTGCATCACAGGCTCAACCAAAGACGCCTGTGTCACAAACCCAGCAACAAGCAGCACAGCAAAAGCCGTTGCAAACCACACCGCAGCAGAAGCCACAATTGGCGGCACAGGCACCACCACAAAAGCCACAACAGGCCCAGCAGACGGTGCCGCCAAAGCCAACACCAACACAGCAAAAAACCCAACAGGCGCCTCCAGCCGCTTCGACGCAGCAGAAAGTGCTACCGCCACAGCAACAGCAACAGCAACAAGCACAACAGGCACAGTTGAAACAGCAGCAGCAGCAGCAACAGCAACAGCAACAGCAACAACAAGCACCGGCTCAGCAGAGGCTTCCACCACAACAGCAGCAACAGGAGAAGAAGGAAGAAAAGGCCCAAGATGTTCCTGAGGTCCAGCAGGAGGAGAAAGTAATTCCGCCAGAAGCAACCCCAACCCAAGAGAAAGCTGCTGAGGAAGAACTCCCCAAGGTGGATGAGAGGTAAGACCAGCAGTCACAGGGAAGGGGCTTCCATACAAACTGGGTGAGTTCACACAGTCAATGGGACATCTCTTTCTGGTTGTGGTCCAAAAAGCTGCCATTTCTCAGGGTCTTGGACCTTCCTAAGATAGACTATATCTGGGACTGGCACCCAGATACCTCCAGTTGGCCAGACAGGGCCTTATGGGTGGTGGCCAGGAGAGGTTAAACTTGAAACTTGGCTCTGGTTTGCTGCTAAAACCATTCCAAGAGGAGTCGTGATATCCCTTAGGAGAGGATTTGTTGTGGTCTGTTGTCAAGCCAGCTTCAACTTTTGGTGACCCCATGGAGATCCATCAAGATGACTTCAAAGTATGGATCTCCATGAATGAAAAATATGTCAACTGGCTTATTGTGAACTCACGATGGGAGTTCCATCAAGTTAACTTCAACTTATGGGTCACCATGTATGGGAGATCTGAAAACCAACTTATTGTGACCTCATGATGGGAGATCTATCAAGTTGAGTTCAATTTTTGGGGACCCTATGGATTGGTGACCTCCAGCTTGCAGTCCCAGGATGGTTGCTTCCCTATACATCTGGAAAATGGTATTCCACTTTTCCACGTATTTTTAGATATGGTTGTGAAAACTGTACAGTGAAGAAAAATCTCCCTTAAAGCAGTTCTGTTTCTTGAATGTTTTGCTGGATTCCTGGGTAATGGTTTCGTACACTGTCTTCGCAAACTTCTTGGTGGAGATTTAGAGGAAGTTATACCTCGACAACTTTCTCGTTTGTAGTTCCAGGGAGAGAGAGGAACCTGAGGTGGTCGACCCCAAAGCCCGGGCAAAGGCCAACTGGTTGCGGGCCTTCAACAAAGTGTGCATGCAACTCCAAGAGGCAAGTATCCCTTCTGAATTGCGGAGTCTCCAAAGGTTCTGAACTCCTGAAGAAGTGATCTTGCCCTCTGTCCTCCATGAATCTGATATAGTTCTCTTTGCACCTAAAGTTACTTTGCTGGTGAAATGTTTTATCAATATGGTTTTCCAACTCATAGCGAGTTCAGACTTAGCATATCTACCACATTTGTCTCTGATTCAACCAAGTTGCTATTATGTAAGTTTGGATTTGAGTTGATTTCTCCCTACCCAGTGATCCCCTTCCCCAATCATCATCTTCCCTTTGAGTTGACCGTCTCTAAATTTTTGTTTTGCTTTGTTTCTAGACTCCACCCACCATCTCTTTTTTCGTTCTCTCCATTTTCTTTTGGTTCACCCCAAAGCTGCCTTGCCTTCACTTTTCAGTTTGCTCCGAACCACCATCCATCCTTTGTCTCTGTCCGAGTCACTGAATGAACACAGGTACGTCTTTATGCCCAGGTTGGCGGATAGGAAGCCGGGATGGATTAAAGGATAAAATAAAACACATTGGTAGTAAATGTAGATAAGATAATGCATTGTTAGACACAAATGCATTGGCTATAATCCTATTGTGTAAAACTGGTGGAAAATACAGTTCTAATGGACATATAGTCACACACCTGCTGAATGATTAAGTGTGTGATGATGTGTAGCTTAGGTGACATACTGAAAAAAGCTGAGTCATGACCATGTTACATTCATGACGAGGGTTGCATCTTTTGTCTCTGACTGATGATGAGCAAGCAATGGGTATATCAAAGAGGGCAAGAAACATGTGTTCTCACTCTTGCCATGCAAAATCTCTTGCCATATGTCTGTTGCTCGTGAATCTGTTTTGCTTACATCATGAGTATATCGCTGTATATGCCATTGACTGATAGGTGATCAGGGGATCCTGATCTGTGTGTATATATCTGAACATAGAGCAATGTGTCAAGATTAAAAGCCTCCTGTGAGTTTGTTTGAAAACTGAATCAGAGAGTTTTTCTAAAACAGTGATGGTGTGGTTACGCTGTGCCGGTAACTGATAAGCACTCTGCTGTGTATAGGTTTATTTTGGCTTGACTCTGAGATATTCAGTCCAGTATGCAGCTTATCCAAAGAGGGTGTGATTGGGAAAACTACTGCCTCGACAGTAAATTCCAGGTTTAATCCAGGCTTGGAAGGAACAAAATGCTAAATCTTATGTTGGTTGGAGAGCCAACTAAAATCCAACATGGCTTATTCATCCCATTGACTTGGGAAGCACAATTTAGCCTGTAACTGAGTCATCAAATTCCAAAGACCATTATTGATAGGAGAATGTAAATACCTGGAAGGGCTCCCCATTCACTGTCCTTTCATGATACCCCAAGATATACTATTTTGTTCTGCCTTTTGGATGCTTGCTTGTTACTAGGCCATTGGATCGGTCTCCGAAGTCCTCCAAACCATCTTTCGAATTATTTACATTTGGTTCCCCAAGTCTGTAGTGTTTCAATGGGTTGGGATTTTATATTGGTTTGAATTATTGTAGAAATGGGATCCAACATGGGATAAGATGAAGTCAACATGATGGATCTCCATGAATGGGAGATGTGTCAACCAGTTTATTGTGAGCTCATGATGAGAGATCCATCAAGTTGACTTCAATGTATGGATCTCCATGGATGGGAGATGTGTCAACCAGCTTATTGTCATCTCATGATGGGAGATCCATTGTTGACTTCAACGTATGAATCTCCATGAATGGGAGATGTGTCAACCAGCTTATTGTCAGCTCATGATGGGAGATCCATCATTGACTTCAGCGTATGGATCTCCATGAATGGGAGATGCGTCAACCAGCTTATTGTGAGCTCATGATGGGAGCTCCATCAAGTTGACTTCAACATATGGGTGTTTGTGAATGGGAGATGTCTCAACCAGCTTAGTGTGACCTCATGATGGGAGATTCCTCAAGTTGGGATTTTATATTGGTTTGAATTATTGTAGAATTGGACTCCAGTGTGGGATAAAATGTTTACCGACTTAGATAGTTTTCATTAGCGGAAGCCCTTGGTGTAAATGTACCTGGAATCATGTACACTGTTATAAATCTCCTCCTTGGAAGTGTGCCACCTGCTCCCTTAGATGTGACAGTCAACTAAGATCTTCTGAATTCGTCTTCTTGTTCTGCTAACTTTGGGATTTTCTGTTTTTTAGGCTCGAGGTGAAGGAAGCGGGGAGTCTAAATCCTTGTGGTTTAAAGGCGGGTGAGTTATTGCTGTCGGCGATGATCTCAGGCTTGAGAAACCCCAATTGTGGAAAGACAAGAATGACACTTACAGCACTAAAAAGTTTATAGCCTCTACGGATCTGCCTCTAATTACTTTTATGGTAGGGTTGGCCCAATAATGGATCCCATACCAGAAGGATATCATGGTCAATGGTATCAAAAATGTGTCAAGAAGTACAGCAAAATCCAAAGGGACTCGCTTCTTTGTCCAGTTCCAAGTGAAGATAATCCACCAAGGCAACCAATGCCTGAAACTAGATGGAAATGGATCCATCTGCCAACCTGAACCAAAGAAGGTGGAAGATGTTGAGGTAGTGATAGAAACCACTGGAAAAGAAGCTGGGCTAGGGGCAGAGCCAGAGTAAATTGAGTCCCCTTGTGGGGAGAAGGGCAGGATAGAAATGTAATAAATAAATAGCCTATCAAGCTCCACCCCACTGGAAAGAAGCCTGGCTAGGGGTAGAACCATAATAAATGGCCCATCAAGCTCTGCCTCCATTGGAAAAAAACCTGGATAGGGGCGGAGCTGGATTAAATGGACCATCAAGCTCTGCCCCTATTGGAAAAGAAGCCTGGCTAGGGGCGGAGCCAGAGTAATGACCCATCAAGCTCCGCCCCCCATTGGAAAAGAAGCCTGACTAGGGGCAGAGCCAGAGTAAATGCCCCATCAAACTCCGCCCCATTGGAAAAGAAGCCTGGCTAGGGGTGAAGCCAGAGTAAATGGTCCATCAAGCTCCGCCCCATGAGAAAAGATTCCTGGCTAGGGGTGGAGACAGAGTAAATGCCCCATCAAGCTCCGCTTCCATTGGAAAAGAAGTCTGACTAGGGGCAAAGCCAGAATAAATGGCCCATCAAGCTCTGCCCCATTAGAAAAGATTCCTGGCTAGGGGTGGAGACAGAGTAAATGCCCCATCAAGCTCTGCCCCTATTGGAAAAAAGCCTGGCAAGGGGCAGAGCCAGAGTAGGGGCAGACCTACCAAGTCCCACCCCTCTGATCAAGAAGGACACGCCCACCTTTCCTAGATCTGCCCCCCAGTTTCCCCCATTGTCTGTATGTCTCTGTCCCCCATCCTCTTTCCAACCCCTTCCCTCCTTCCGGTCCCTCCGTTACCTGACCCTTTTTGTCTTTCTCTCTTCCAGGCCTGGTGGCGGGTTGATCATTATTGATAGCATGCCTGACATTCGTAAAAGAAAGCCCATCCCTTTAGTTAGCGATTTGGTGAGGTTCCACTCAACACTGCTCTTGCGCTGCCTTTCCACCGTCTTCCCCTCCCAGCCGCTGGCTTTTACTCGCTTACGGGATTGCTCTGGAGCTGGGTTAATGGGAGGAGAAAGAGATTGGCCATGTCAACGATATATCGATTTAGTTGATATATCACGATTCAGTTGATTGTAACCTCGTCCAGTGTCCAAACTTTCCAGCGACTTTGCAAAGTGGTGTTTCCAATTGACACGTTTTAAAAATATTATCTAGGGGAGAACGGAATGAAGCGAAACCCAGCAGTTGAGAGCGGAAATGTCCCAATTTGATTCCCACAACGAAAGCACACAAGGACTTTTATTTTGCATGCACTATCTAGGTCCATTGAGCTCAATGGCTAGTCCTTTAAAGCAATGCCTGAGAGATGACTCAGTTACTCTTCAGGATGACAATTTTGAGGGTCCAGCAACCAATATGACCCATAGAAGTCATATGCCCCTCTTCCTATAGTAATCCCTTTCTGTAGTTAGGAGAATATTTATGGGTTGCTGTGAGGTTTTCGAGTTGTATGGCCATGTTCCAACAGCATTCTTTCCTAGCGTTTTGGCTGCATCTGTGGCTGACATCTTCAGAGGTTCTGTTGGCAGTGAGGCAAGTGGAGTGTGTATATATCTGTGGAATAATGTCCCGGTGAGAAAAAGAACTGTGGTCTGTTTGAAGCAAGTGTGAATGCTGCAATTAGCAAACTTGAATAGCATTGAGTAGCCATGAATCTGCAAAGTCCATCAGTGAGAGTATCTGCATAGAGGTAGCCTACCAGTTGTTGCTTAGAGGCACCCTCCGTTTGGGAGATGTTCACTGGCCCTTGATTGTTTGCTGTCTGGAGTTCTCCTGTTTCTGAGTGGTATTCTTTATTTACTGTCTTGATTCTGGTGTTGTTGTTTTTTTTAAAAAAATACTGGTAACCAGATTTTGTTCGCTTTTATAGTTTCCTCCTTTCTGTTCAAATTGTTCATGTGTTTGTGCACATGCCTCTAGGCAGATACCCTCACTGATTGACTTTGCAGCTTCATGGCTACTCAAGCTTGCTCACTGCAACATCCACACTTTCTTCAAAGAGACAAGGGTTCTTTCTTCCACCCTGGACATCATTCTATAGATATATATATACACTCCACTTGCTTCACTGCCAACAGAACCTTTGAAGATGCCCCAGATGCAGGGGAAACATAGAAGAGAATGCTACTGGAATAGGGTCATCCAGCCCAAAAAAACTCACAGCAACCCAGTGATTCTGGCCATGAAAGCCTTCAATAACACAGAATATTTATGCTTTAGTAATTTTTATTTTAGCTCAGAGAATACTCTCTAGGAATCTCTAGGTCCTCTAGCATGATTTTGGTGGACCTCCACTGGCACTGGAGAAGCTCGAGATTCTGAAAGAAGTCATAATAGAGAACCTCAGGCCATGCCTTAAGCTCCAGTTACCACAATCCTATGGGAGAAACCACAACACTCAACCGAATATGGAATCAAGACCCTATTGACACATCTCATTATCTAATTTAATCCAGTGAGACTCATAAGGGTGGCCTGGAAGTGAAAAGGCTTGACTTCTTTGGAAAACTCGGAGGGAACAACGGTCCTGTTCTCCGTTATCACGGCTCCAGGGTGCCTTGCGCTGCGCTATGCTGCTGTCCGCTTTGCTTTGCTAATACGGCTCGTTTTATCTTTGTTCTCTTCCTCCTTCTTCCTTCCTTCCTTCCGCTGGCTACCGCTTTCTCCTCTGTGACGCTAGGGGTGCGGCGGTAAAGTTTCTGCGCTGCATTGACAGCATGCCCGACATTAAGCCCGGACGTAAATCTCTTCCGCTGGTCATCAGCGATCTGGTGAGAAGGAGGTGGCGGAGAGGGGGTGCCCTTTTCCCTGTGACCCCATAAACCCCTAAGCCCTTTTTGAGAACCCTGCTGGACTGACAAAAATAGGAAGTAGGTTTAGTCTATTCCTAAAGGTGCTGAATGTACTTTAAGGGGAACATGTACTTTGATTTATGGTGACCCCATGGTTGGGAGATTCACCAAGTCAACTTTCACTTATGGTGAATCTATGAAGAAGAGGTCAGTCAAATTGACTTAAGGTGACCCCATGGGTGGGAGATCTATCAAGTCAATGTTGACTTATGGTGAAGCCATGAAGGAGAAACCTGTCAAGTTGACTTATGGTGACCCCATGGATGGGAGATCCATCAAGTCAACGTTGACGTATGGTAAATCCATGAAAGAGAGATATATCAAGTTGACTTACGCTGACCCCATGGACAGGAGATCCATCAAGTCAATGTTGACTTATGGTGAATCTATGAAGAAGAGGTCTGTCAAGTTGATTTATTATGACCCTGTGGATGGAAGATCCATGAAGTCAATGTTGACTTATGGTGAATCCATGAAGGAGAGATCCATCAAGTTGACTTATGGTGACCCTATGGACGGGAGATCCATCAAGTCAATGTTGACTTATGGTGAATCCATGAAGGAGAGATCTGTCAAGTTGACTTATGGTAACCCCATGGATGGGAGATCTGCCAAGTCAATGTTAATATATGGTAAATCCATGAAGGAGAGATCTGTCAAGTTTTTTTCATGTCAGTAGTAACTTGAGAAACTGCACATTGTTTCTGGTGTGAGAAAATTGGCCGTCTGCAAAGACGTTGCCCAGGGGACACCCGGATATTTGATGTTTTACCATGTCTCATGTCCCTGCATGGAGAGCTGGAGCTGACAGAGGGAGCTCAACCCACTCTCCCTGGACTTGAACCACTGACCTGTCGGTCCGCAGTCCTGCCAGCACAAGGGTTTACCCATTGCGCCACTGGGGGCTCCTAAAATGTCAAGTTGACTTATGGTGACTCCATGGATGGGAGATCCATCAAGTCAAGTGACTTATTCCAGAAGTCCTTATGGGGTGTGTGAAATTGGTATCAAGGACCTCTTATTCTGGAGCAGAACTGTCTGGGAATTAGGTTAGCTCTTGATGCCTTCCATATCAGTGGGGCAATGGATCCACTCCAGGTTGGCATTGAAGCTTTGAAGGAGCTCTGCAAGGTGGTCCTGAATTGCTTCAACACCTTGAAAGGTAGCCAAAACCTGAAGTATATTCCCCACTCCATTGTCATGGGAGCTTTCAGCTGTTGCTGAATATTCTAAGGCTTTTGGGGTAGGTTTTCCCCCTTTCCTTCATTTCCAGTTTGCCTCTCTCTTCCTGCTTTTTGCTGCCTCTTGGGCCCACCATTCCTCTTCCGTCTCCTTTTTTGCTCTTCAATACTTTCTTTCGATGTTGATGCTGCTGCTTTTGTGCCTTACTTTTCCTCCCCATGCCCTGGGTGCAAATTCTGTTTTTTTTTTAATCTTTGTGGTGATGGGAGGGATAACAACGACCAAGAGTCCTGTGCCTTTATGAACCGTGGGATTTGAATTACAAGATGCCTTTAAGGGTGTATTTCGGATTGATGGTGGTCAAAATCAATATATAATAAGAGATCACCTTTGTTATTCTGGGGAAATTATGCTAGAAACAGTGCAGAAAGCGGTGAAAATTCAGGATATGAAATCCCACCAAGGTAAGGCTCTGGGTCTTCTTCAACTTGCTGAAAGTAGACCCAACAAATTGACAAAGTTAACCTATTTGTTGACCTTATTTGGGCCAAAAAAGGATTCAAGCCACTTGGTTCTTAACTTTCAGTCTGAGGTGGTCCTCCAAAAGGAGATGCTCCAGTGCCATCATCTCAGTGGGCCATAGTGGCTGGGGATGATGGAAAATGGAATCCCATAAACGTCTGGGGGAGGGGGTATTTTTCAGTTTAGCACATCACATTAACTCTTTCTCTTTTCCTCCTTTCTCATTCCTTTTTGGCCACCGCCTCTCCATAGGCGATGGTGAGTATTTCCCTTTGAGTGTATTTTGCCTACTTCCTGAAGCTCATAAAACCTTCCCCATTAAATTGATTTATCAGTTCTGTTCAAATGACAAGCAAAGCCTATGCGGATAATGCAAGACCCCATTTCGATGGGAGAAGCATGTTAAAATCAAATAGAAATTTTGCTATTTGAGGGCTGTACAAGAAAAATAATGAAAATGGACTGGGACAGATAAAGTGTAGTTTTTAAAAAAACATAGTCAACTAGAGCTAACTTTGTAACTGGGGGAGTCTCTTTGACTGCTATGTCCACTGCAGCAAGATTGTTATATGCCAAACAATTCCATTCTTTTCAATATAATAATCTTGCTGCACGGGTTATGTATCACATATATCACACGAGAATTTTTTGTATGTTTTTCCACTTGATCATATAAATCAGATTTATTTATTTATCGTGTCAGAAGCAAATTGAGACTATAGTTATAATAGTCTCAACAACCATAAACAAAGGTAGAAACTTGGCATTAAATTAAATTTCCTTTGACCAGAACTTGGCCACTTGGAGTGCCTCTGGTGTGGCTGTAAGAAGGTCCTCCATTGTGCATATGGCAGGGCTCAGGCTGCATTGTAGTAAGCGGTCTGTGGTTTGCTCTTCTCCACACTTGCGTGTCGTGGACTCCACTTTGTAACCCCATTTCTTAAGGTTAGCTCTGCATCTCATGGTGCCCAAACACAGCCTGTTCAGCACCTTCCAAATTGGCCAGTCTTCTGTGTGTCCAGGAGGGAGTTTGTCATCTGGTATCAGCCACTGATTGAGGTTCCTGGTTTTAGCCTGCCACTTTTGGGCTTTTGCTTGCTAAGGTGTTCCTGCAAGTATCTCTGTCGATCTTAGGAAGCTATTTCTTAATTTAAGGCATTGGTTTGCTGGCTGATATCTGAACAAAGGATGGGCCTGATATGTCCTTTCATTACTAGCTGCTACTTCCCAATGGATGTGAGGTGGTGCAATATAGTAAACAGTATAATTTCTCCAGTGGTGTTGGACGTAGGCATCCTGTGATAATGCGGCTTGTCTCATTAAGAGCCACATCCACTGTTTTAACGTGGTGAGATGTATTCCACACTGGGCATGCATATTCAGCAGCAGAGTAGCAAAGCGCAAGGGCAGATGTCTTCACTGTGTCTGGTTGTGATTCCCAGGATGTGCCAGTGAGCTTTCGTATGATATTGTTTCTAGTACCCACTTTTTACTTGATATTCAAGCAGTGCTTCTTATAAGTCAGGGCATGGTCCAGGGTAACTCCCAGGTATTTGGGTGCCCTGCAATGGTCCAGTGGAATTCCTTCCCAGGTCATCCTCAGAACTCAATGTGCTTGTCTGTTCTTAAGGTGAAAAGCACATGTCTGCATTTTAGATGGATTATGAATCAGCTGGTTTTCTCTGTAATAGGCAGTAATAGAACCTAAAGCTTTGGAGAATTTCTGTTCAGCCATTTCAAAGTTCCCTGCTTGAGTGGTGATGGCACAATCATCAGCATAGATGAAACTCTCTCTCCCTTCTGACAGTGGCTGGTTATTTGTGTAAATGTTAAAACATTGATGGAGCAAACACACTCTCCTGAGGAAGGCCGTTCTTCTGTTTTTGCTTGAATTCAGATTGAATGTAAAGCAGTTCTTCTGCAGTGGGTTGTTGATTTGTCGGTTTCTTCTTTCTTACAGTCTTTGGTCCAGTCCAGGAAGGCGGGGATCACATCCGCACTTGCATCAAGCACTTTAAACAATGAAGAGCTAGTAAGTATCATGATATTTGGACACAAATTGCTAGGAATGGGTGGCCATGGCCTTCCTCTGAGGCTGAGAGAGTGTGACCAAGTCACCCAGCCAGTTTCCAGGGTGGAGATAGGGATACATTAATAGTGACTATGCAGTCACAATGCAACAACAGAGTCAACAGTGAAGGGGAAAGGAAAGGTGGATGACACAATGGAATATCAGAACAGTGAAGAAAGAAATCGAGTTCTCTAATGCCTTTGTTTCCTTCCCCAGAAAAATCATGTTTACAAGAAGACCCTCCAAGCCTTAATTTATCCTATTTCTTGCACAACCCCCCACAACTTTGAAGTGTGGACTGCCACCACCCCAACCTATTGCTACGAGTGTGAGGGCCTGCTTTGGGGCATCGCCCGCCAAGGGATGCGGTGTACCGAATGTGGGGTGAAGTGCCACGAAAAGTGCCAAGACCTCCTTAACGCCGACTGCTTGCAAAGTGAGAATCATGGAACCATACACAGTTGGAAGGGGTCTCCATAGTGTTAGAAGGGACCTCCATAGAGTTGCAAGACATCTCCATAGAGTTAGAAAACATCTCCGTAGAGTTGGAAGAGTTTTCCATAGAGTAAGATCTTCATGGAGTTGGGAAGCACCTCTATGGAACTGGAAGGCATCTCCATAGAGTTAGAAGGCCTCTCCATAGAGGTAGGAGGGGTCTCCATGGAGTTGGAGAACATTTGCGTAGGGTTGAAAGGGTTCTCTATAGAGTTGGAAGGCATCTCCATGGAACTGGAAGGCATCTCCATAGAGTTGGAAGGGCTCTCCATAGAGGTAGAAGGGGTCTCCATGGAATTGGAGAACTTGTCCATAGAGTTGAAAGGGATCTCCATAAAGTTCAAAGAATTATAAGACAAGTGAAAATAGCAATAAATTCCATGTCTTTTCTTTTCTTTGCACCCAGGGGCGGCGGAGAAAAGTTCCAAGCACGGCGCTGAAGACCGTACACAAAATATTATTATGGTGCTGAAAGACCGTATGAAGATCCGGGAACGTAACAAACCAGAGATCTTTGAGCTGATCCAGGAGATCTTTGCTGTGCAAAAAGCCACCCACACCCAGCAGATGAAGTCAGTCAAACAGAGCGTGCTGGACGGGACTTCCAAGTGGTCAGCCAAGATCAGCATCACAGGTAATGCAAGGACAACCTTCTGGTTGTTTCTTCCCCACGCACACTCCTCAAAGTCCATATTTGGGCCCTTGAGCCAAATAACTTTAATCCTCTTTTCTGGCCATGATCTCCCACTCATCTTGTCCTCCTTTGTTTTCCTTATTCCTGTCTGTCCATGGGGATGTTCTCTATGGGAATCCTGTTCTTCATACAAACAGTTGTGTGTGCCCAAGGCCTGCAGGCGAAGGACAAAACGGGCTCCAGTGACCCTTATGTGACCGTCCAGGTTGGAAAGACCAAAAAGAGAACCAAAACCATCTATGGGAATTTGAATCCAGTCTGGGAGGAGAACTTCCACTTGTGAGTGAATCCCTAAACCCACCATCAGCCCACTCCCATGTCCTCTCCAAGAATGAATTTACACAACTTTCCCTGAAAACATGAGGCAGATAGAAATCTAGAGTTGGAAGAGGACCATACAGTCCAACTCCATGTTCTCATTCTTATCCCTTGGTTTTCTGAGGCAGCATGACTTTCTCTGGCCAGGTTTCTCACAACACCAAGAATCCAAAATTCATCAAGGAGGAGTGACATTTCCCCAAATGCTCTAGTTTGGGGTTAGCTAGTTCTGGTGGTCCCATCTTGATGTCTGTCTGGTTTGAAGGACACAAAACTATTGGGTTATGCCTCTCTTGATGGCAATCTACTGTGGGGCTATTCAACAGTTCTTATCCATGACTCCCTTCCTCAATTCATTTTCTTGACTTCCTCCAGCGAATGCCATAACTCCTCTGACCGAATCAAGGTCCGGGTATGGGATGAAGATGATGACATAAAGTCAAGGGTGAAGCAGCGTTTCAAGAGGGAATCCGACGACTTCCTCGGCCAAACGATAATTGAGGTTCGGACACTGAGTGGAGAGATGGACGTCTGGTACAACTTGGGTAAGCCATTACAAACATATGGGGTGGAGTAACCTTGATAGATCTTGGGCTGTCAAGTCCTAAGACCTAGAGAATGGGACACCTCTCCAAGTGGACCAGGAGTGGTCCATTAGAGCTGAGTCCAAAGGAAACTCAAGATCGCAAGAGCAACATGAAATATCTCCAATGGAACTATGTAGCTGCTCTAGATGTTCTTCTACTGCACTTCCAAGATAAGCAGCAGAGGTGGATGCTGGGAGCTGCAGGTTCACATGTTTCCCAGCCCTTGGAACAATTGTTGCTGCAGTTGAATTGGTGGTTTAGCAAATCCTGGATTTTCCAACCACCAACTCATATGTCATTTCCCCACAAACTCCCAAATAAACAAACAAATGGAATAATAGTGAAAGCCTAGAAAGACTCATCATCCAGTGAACATAACCCATAGCAAATACGAGCAACTTACATGCAACAACCAGAAAATAACCATGTTCCCAACTCCAGTTATGAATTGATGGATTCTTTCAGATAAGCGGACGGACAAATCAGCTGTATCGGGCGCAATCCGGTTGCACATCAGCGTGGAGATAAAAGGAGAGGAGAAAGTGGCACCGTACCATGTGCAATACACTTGCCTCCATGAGGTGAGTGGGTTACAAAGCTCTTTGGTGTCATTGATTATATAGTGTGGATTAAGAATTTCGGCATCTTTCTCTTGTACCCTTGGAAGGACTGCTTTGGTTTGCCTGACTCTTCTCTCCTGGTTTCATATCCCAACGGCCCATTAGAACCTTTTCCATTTCGTGACGGACATCCAGAACAACGGCGTGGTCAAGATCCCGGACGCAAAGGGGGACGACGCTTGGAAAGTCTACTTCGACGAAACGGCTCAGGAAATTGTGGATGAGTTTGCTATGAGATATGGGGTGGAGTCCATCTACCAGGCAATGACGTGAGTCTATGCCCTTTTTCTCTATGAAATTAATCTATGCGTCTTGTGTGCTGTCAGGTTGGCTTTAACTTGTAACAACCATCTATATGAGAAACCCTTTGGAGGCATGATTATAAACCCTACTGATTCCTTGGGATCCTCTTTTCTAGCAGGTCCTATCTTGCAATCTATCCAAATATGAAAGCCTAAGAGTGCACCTACACTGTTGAATTCATACAGTTTGACACCACTTTAACTGCCGTAACTCAGTGATATCCAATCAGGGGATTGGTAGTTTGCTTTTATACCATTTTCTCACCTTAAATTACACTCCAATTGACTTTGGGTTGGGATATTTTGGCCTCAAAGGTTGCTTTGAGAGCCCATGATGCCTAAAGCTTTAAAGGGAGGTTGTTGAGGTGCCAACAAGTGACTTTCAGCCAACCTATGGCTAGGTTTCAATCCAAATGGTTTCTTCAAGGTCATGAACGTTGTCCCCAATTGGTTCAGCAACTTGGTAAGCACCTTCAGATTGAGCCATAAAATGGAACGGACCCTTGGGACAGGTCATGGAAGCATTGAATCACAGAGTTGAAAGAGGCCACAAGGGCCAACTAGTCCAACCCTATTCTGCCAGAATTTACTATTTCTTGTTTGCAGGAGTGGAAGAAACAAAAAGTAAAAACACACACAACACCCCTGCTAGGTAGGCACGTGAATTCCTTCTCTCATGGCCTCCTCCAGCTGCACAATGGGACAGACTGTCTCCAAGTCAGGCAGTTAGTTCCAGTCCCCAAAGCACTGCAGAGTCTTGGTCACACTTAGCAGAGATTTTATATCAGAGCCTCTGACCTTGTATAGTAGCTCACCAGCTTAAGTAAGCACACTTGAGCTCTAGCTTTCATCCAGACTCATTTGGAGGTTTATTCTTTAGTCAATACTACATCTAACTATTTACAGGCCTACTATCAGTATACAGAGATACTCACAAAGATATCAAGACACTCATACAACAAGGATGGCGATGGATTGCAGATGCAGAGAGGTCATGGCAAGGAATCAAAAATGACAGAGAGCAAGCTCATAGCAAAGAGGAAGTTGACATACAAGCGGTCCCTCTAGGATCACATCTCTACTCTTGTAACCCTTTCAGTGGACTGTTCTGTGAACACATGTGAATTGTATTTTTCCACACTGGAGGTATATGCAATGCATTTCTGTCTAATACAGCATTTCTGATCAGGAAATGCTACTTTTGGGCACCCCAAGTGCAGTGTTTTGACTCACCAGGAGAGCCCAGGAGTGCACCTCCATGAAAAGAGAGGAAAGCCCCAAACTCATGCTCTTTTTCTCCCCATTGGTCTTGTTTTCCAGGCACTTTGCCTGCCTCTCCTCCAAATACATGTGCCCTGGGGTGCCCGCAGTCATGAGCACCCTCTTGGCCAACATCAATGCTTACTATGCTCATACCACTGCCTCCACCAACGTCTCTGCCTCTGACCGTTTTGCTGCTTCCAATTTCGGGGTAAGTCCGATGGTGCGTAGAACACTCATTTCTTACTTATACTGTCTATGCTTTCTTTGGGAGGGAGGGGGGTGCATGGTGGGAAAGGGGGGAGCGTACCAAAAAAGTCGCCACAAAATGCCCAAATGTTTGTCCATGTCCTTTTTACCATTCCTGACTCCTTCTTGTAGGAGACTCCCAATTCCACCCCAAATTTGGAGAATTTCACTAAGTGCCTAATATAGACCAAATAGTATATTTATGCACACAGCTTGAAGACTACCATGACTTGGTGTAACTGGGAGCTACATTTATCTTCAGCTAGGTCCCCATTTTGGAAAAGGGGAAAGACGACAGATGCAAGAAGAACTGGGGAAAATGTTAATTCAGCGGTGACTTTTTGTTACGGCCCCTTCTAGGAAGAACCCGAAACCTGACCGAAGCTTCCTGATATTAGGGGTCCCTGTTCTGTCATGCGCTGGGCCTGTAAAGAATTGCCTTTAAAATAGGACGTGCAACTTGAGCCCAGCGGGAAGCCAGGGCCCCCCGAAGAGAAGTTCTCAAGGATTTTCCACCACAAATGGTCTTTAGATGGCTTGTGAAGTATAACTAAGCCCTTTATTAATGAACAATCAAACAGAAACTTCTCTTCTCTTCAATAAAGTTAAACAAATGCTTCCAGGCTTTTATGCAACTGGTGGCTTCCTAATCTTGTCCACGAAGGACAGGCAATTGTCGTCAATAACTGTTTCTTTACTTTAAAGGAAAATCCCTTTTTTAACTTCTCCCAGGCTGACTGTAATCTAAGCCTTACTGATGTGGGCTCCGCTACCGGGTCGAACTGTCTCGAGCACCGAGTGGACCTACCAGTAAGGCCAGTAGATTCTCCAGCTGGAGTTCTTTGGTCTTCCAAACTGTTTACCCTCCGAAATTCCTCAAAGCTTTAGGGCTGTTTCCCTGGAAATCTTTGGAAATCTTTGGATGCTCTTAAGACTGTTCTCCCCCGGAAAGTCTTAAGGGTTGAAGCTTTTGTACAGGAGAAGCTTGTACACGTCCTCTAAATTAGCTTTCCTTACTGAGACTAACTAAAAATGGCTCGCTTCCCTTCCCAATTGCCCTGAATAGGGGGCGGAACCAAAACTTAACGATGATGGACAGGTGACTTGCCCTACGACTGCAACCAAAGGAAGCCACCTTTCTGCAGAATCCCTGAAAACTTGGACTGCAAGCAAACATTTAATACAAAGCAAATAAAGTTGGAGCTCCTGGTACAGCCATACCAGCACAGTCCCAAACACCAAAGAGTCTTTCTGAGAATCAAAGAATGCCATTCTGAAATAAAATGATAGGGAATATAGCTATCAGGCTCTGCTTGAAAATGTATATGCAGCAAGAATTCTATACCTCTCATCCATACAAAGGTTTCAAGAGTGGTTTGACCCATCTCAATGCATAGAACAGCATAAGGCACACATCTAGGGAGCCCCACTACTTTCTGGAGAAACTTGTAATGTAGTATATTAAATGACTTATTGATTGCAGAAATCCAAATAAGGGAGCCATACAGTAACAGAGAACCAATCCTAGCCTCAAAAACTTGGAGGTCAGCGGGGATATATTGGTTACCCTTACTGTAGAAAAAGAAGGATATTGCTGCAAAGTTGGTATGTGCCGAAGCCATTACTGCTTGTCACTGTGAGCGCCATGACAGGTTATATCTATAGCAAATACCAAGGTATTGAAAGTATTTGACCCGTTCAGTTTTGTGGCCCATGATCTGTCAAGACATGCATAGTTTTCCACTTTTTGGCAAAAATTAGAGTTTAGGATTTAACATAGCTAATTTGCAGTCTATTTATTTCACATTAATTTAAGGCTGATACTAGATAAGGACAATAGCACAGTATCATCTGCATATAAGAGTAATGGAACATGGATAGAATAGAGCAGGGGTCCACAAACTTTTTAAACAGAGGGCCATGTCACAGTCCCTCAAACTGTTGAAGGGCCGGATTATAATTTGAAAAAAACATGAATGAATTCCTATGCACACTGCATGTATCTTATTTGTAATGCAAAAAAAAAAACACACTTAAAAACAATAATTAAAATGAATAACAATTTTAACAAATATAAACTTATTAGTATTTCAATGGGAAGCCTGGGCCTGCTTTTGGCTGATTGTTGTTGTTGTTGTTGTTGTTGTTTTGTGCTTTCAAATAGTTTCAGACTTAGGTTGACCCTGAGCAAGGGCTGGGTAAATGAGCTTGGAGGGCCATATCCAGCCCCTGGGCCTTAGTTTGAGGACCCCTGGAATAGAGCTTGGTGGCAAAGCAATGACTTAAGTGTTTAAGGCCAATACTAGATAAACACAATAGCATAGTATCTGTATATAAGAGTAAGGGAACATGTGTAGAATAGAGCTTGGTGGCAAAGCAATGAATTAAGTGCTAAAAACCTATACTAGATAAGGACAACAACACAGCATCATCTGCATATAAGAGTAAGGAAACATGTAGAATGGAGGTTTGTACTATGACCATTCATCAATGCCAAAGTCTGGGGTAAATCATACAGGAATATGTTGAGCAGAGTAGGAGCCTTTAGAAGAGCCATAAATGTCGTTTCCAACTAATTCATTTATGGGCTTCCTCCTTTGTAAGGTGGCTTGCATTATTCCTCCCTTGGTTCCTTATCAGGATCATTTTCAAAGCCAGCTACATCCCAAAAATGAGAGATTGTAAAGCTAGATACATCACAAAAGGAATCCCTTGCAAATTTGTAATATCCCAATAACCTTTGTTTACTCAAAAGCTTTAGAAAGATTGAATTCCAAGCCATAAGGTCTGCAGTAGTGCCTTATTTTGTTCCCATAGAATAACTCTAGTTCTTCACATTTCCAAATGTATCACAAGGAGAATTAGTATTCACAACATTGGTAAATCTGGATGCAACTGAAATTTACACCAGGAAGTCTTCCAGAGGGTAACGGGATGGTTTGTGTGAAAGAGATGTTGCAGAGTCCAAAACAAAATATATGAAATAATGCAGAAAGCTATTTCTGAGGTCATTCCCCTTAGTTCAACCATAGTTTTATTTTCAATTATCCCACATGTTTCTCTGCTGGTCCATGATCCATAAGATGTTACCTCCTCATAGGCTTCAAGTGCAATGAATGAAGGGCCTTCTGTACTGTGGAAGAGTTGGAGATCTTTATTTTGAGATAAGATGTGAGAGCAGAATATGGAAGGGAGGAGACAATCCACAGAAAACAGACTGGTGGACCTAGAGGTTCCTCAAGATGTGTTCCCTAGGTCTTCTAGACTCTATGGTCAAGCCTTCCAGAATCTGATCAAAGGATCATGGGAAAGGCCTAGTGATTCTTAGAGATGTGTTCCCTCTAGAGATCTCTACATCCTTTGGTGTGATTCGGTGATCAGCCTCTGGCCAAAGTTGTTCATAAAATCAACATGGAGGACTTTAAGAGCCTATATTCAACCCACAATATAGTCACCAGTTGTCCTCATATCTCCAGAGACCCAAACTACTCCATCTAGACTTCTCCTTCTGCTTGTCCAGGAAGAGAGCCCTTTTTGGGCAGGTCATGGACCAAGCTTCTCCTTCCACCAAATGTGGAAGATCACCCTCAAAGGTTGAATTGCTTCTCGCATGACAAAAAAGTTCAGATAAAATAGGCTAGAATCGTTGGTCCTACTTCTTTTTTGGCCTCTTTCTGGCCCAAAAACTACTAGGGTCTCTATCCAATCAGACACTAGGAGCAAGGACACTAGGACACTAGGAGCAATAGGTTTATTTGGCCAAATCTTCCTGCCAAATAAACCTATTTCCTGCCAGATCTTCCTGCCAGGTGGAGCAATAAAAGAAAAATTACACACCAAAACCAAGACGCAGCTTAGCTTTATAGTCAAAACTTTGAGCATACTTTCAGCATGTGCACACAAAACTATTTCATTCACCTTTTTCTTTCCCCTTTGTTCTCTTCTGGCGCGTCTCTTATCAGTGTTGTGTCAGCAGTAGTTTTATTAGTTTGGATTTTCCCCTAAACTTGAACTCTCTGCTCCTTTTGGTTACTCACTCCTTTCCACTCCGTAGCACATGCAAGACTTCGTTTGAACTTTATTTTGGCTGGTAGTTTTTTATTTTTCCTAGCTCAAGTCCCTTCAGTTTGTTGGAATTGAACTTAGCCTGAGCTAAAGGACGTTCCTCACCCTGGTCAACATTTTTCTAGCAAATCCATGGTCTATTGGCGGACAATGTGTTTGGCATGCTGATAGGAGCAAATAAAATAAATTTCAGTTACAACGTTGAAAAAGATGTCCCTCTGCACAAGATGCCCTCTGCTGACCAGAACTAGGTGGCCCAAACTTCAGAAGAAACTGGATTTGTGCATTATATGCCTTTTGTAGTCTTAAGCTATTTCTCCTTAAAACCCATGATCCAGAGAATAATCCACAAAGTCAGCAAGTGTAGAAATATCAGTATTATTTCAATGCTGCAGTTTTAACCCTGCTCCATGTATGGTGAGAAGATCCAGGAGATACTTCCCATTTGCACTGCGGGGAATGACCTTGAATTCTGGCCCCTTTCTAAACGACTCTGCCTCTCTGTTTTAATGGGAATATTCAAAATTCTTCCTTATATGTGTGTGTGTGTTTCTTTTCTCAAAAGTCAATTGCTGGAGATTTGTTCATACACAGTTTTTTGCATTGGGTTTCTACCCTCCTCAACAATCATTAACCTTCACTTATATGTCCTAAAACAGTGGGCTTTGTCCTACCAAATATTAAAGATTCGGCTTAGGGAGAAATAGAGAACGGACAGGTCATGTATCAGTGGAATGGGGAATCCAGGTTTTCAACTAGCTCTCAGTGAGCTCTCCATTGTGTTAAACCTCTTTGGGAATGGGTTTCAGGACCTTGGAGAGCTCTTAAACCTGGAGTGGATTTCCTAGGTCAGAGTGAAGGACTGGGCGCCAAAATCTTTGCTGATGTGTATTAACAAGCCTCCAGTGACACTTCTGTATCTAGCCAGACATGTTTTCTTCAGTTAGGGGTTGCTTATAGGTCTTGGTAGCGAGTACTGATGTCTCTGTTTCCGTGTCCGAGCCGCAGCCGGACGTAGAATTTGAATTGAAATCGTTTTTGATGCCGCGAATGTCAGGCTGTGTACAAATCTTGTTTCTTTCTTTCTTCTTTCCTCTCAGAGAGCCTAAAAATTGGGCGTTTTCCCTCCCCCCCAAAAAAGCAGACTGTGTGGCTTTAACCCTCTGTGTGCCATGGCCGGTGCTAAGGCGTGCTACGGAGGCTGTGTTGTGGCGGATGTGCATCTGTGCTCATTTTTTTGCAAGGATTGCTTCTCGTTGTCTCTCGTGCATTAGGGCTAGCGGGAGAGGCAGGGCGAGGGAGTGGGGTGGAAAGGGGTCGCAGGGGGTGGGCAAACGGGGCTCGGGGAGGTTCTGTGGAAAGGAGCGGACACACAGCCCCTTTGAAGCCCACCACTGGGGCAGGAAAGTGAGACACTAATGGGACAAGGGAAGGCTGGATGCACTACATGGAGGACTAAGAAAAGGAGACTAGGTGACACAACTTCCAGGCACAAGCAGTTTATTGAAACATAACATTTGACCCAAAAATACACACAGTGGACTCTCAGTTAATTGGCATCCATGGGGGGTTGGTCGATACTGTTGCACTCTAGACTTGGAACACCTTTTCACCCAGCACCACACAGAGTCCAGTAGCTACTAACTGCAGCTGTTTATTTACAAAGCCTGTACAAAAGGGAAAAAAGGGCATTTCCCAAAAAGCAGTAAAAAGGTGCTATGAAATAGTAGTAGTCCTTACATACAAAAAATGAATAGTCCAAGGAACCGACATTGGAATCCCAAACATCCCGTCTCCTCTGCAACTGCCGGCATGTCTTTCTCATCTGAGGCCTGCAAATCACCCTGATCACATGCATACTCGTCAGTGGGAAACCCATTATCCCTCTCATCCTCTGAGGAATCCCCAGCATCTTGCTGCTGAACAGATGCCAGATCAGTGTATTTTCCAGTTACTTGAGAATTACAATTCAAAATAGGCCTAACAGAGGTGTGCATTTTTTTGTTAGTCCTCGTAAGTCATATCAAATTCATTAAAATTGTACATACGAGGCAATATATGACACGTGGGCATGGCCTGTACCAAAAATTAAAGAATCTAAACCCACCCAATACTTTTTCATTTTCATTTTGTAAATCTAGGAAGCCTCCCAAAGTCAGTTTCATTTTCAACATAAGGAAGCAAAGCAAAGCCAAAAAGGCTGCCTTTCCTCTTTAAATTAATGACTTTTCGTTGTGAGGAGAAGGAAAGCAGGGAGCAGAGTTTGCTGGGAAAGAAAGCACAGAACTCTGGGAAATGTAGTTTGGGAAGGCAAAGAGCCCTAGGACAGAGAATTCAAAAGGCTCTGCCCTCAACTACATTTCCCAGAATTCAGCTCAGCATCAAAATGCCCCAATTAGGATAGAGGAGAGATTTGTCCCTCCAGGTCCAGTGAATGGTTGAATCTGCAAACAGAGGGACTGGCTGATACTTTAATACTAGTAATTAAATTTTTGCTAGGCTGGGAAGAAATCCCTAAATTTGAAGTTTTATTGGTGAATATGAGAGACATTCAATGAAATAACTGTTGTGGCTTTTCTAAAAAACATTTTTGTCAAAACGTTTTTTAAATCCCTAAAATCAGTAGATATATGAATATTTCTAAAAGTTGGGGGGAATGATCCCCTGTTATCTTGTGTCATTGTATAGACAATTCAAGGAGATAGCTCTTGTAGCTTTTTTTAAAAAAATGTTGTTTGTTAAAAAAAATTAAAAATCACCAAAAAATCTGTGAATAAGTGAACCGTTCTGAAACTTGATAGGCTAACAGTGGTAAATGTGTTCTACCATTGTAGTGAGTTTCACCCCAATAGCTGTAAAAATGAGGGAGAAGGGAGCCCCTGAATTTTCCCCATTTGCACAATTACTATGATGAAAGAGTAACGAAATTTCGTTACTCTCGTAATATTAACAACATTTTCACCAACTATATTTTAGAAACACATTAGAAACAACACGCCAGCACCTAATTTTGCAATTTGAAACATTTTTTAAATTCTTGCACATTTATTTACAGTATTTATAGCCCGCCTTTCTCACCCCAAAGGGGACTCAGAGCAGCTTTACAGAGCACACATATGGCAAATGTTCAATGCCGCTTATACAATTGACAAGGACAGACAACAGAAACAGGGGTAAAGGCAGTTTTTCCCATCTTATTTCCAGCATCTTGGAGGTTGTGCTTGACTCCGGCCATGGGGGGTGGGGTGCTGTTGCTCCATCTTCCATACCGAGGAGCTTCCCTCTGATTGACGTCCTTAAGGGCACCTTTATTACCTCCCCACTAAAAGTGGAACCTATTTTATCTACTCACATTTCTGCTTTCAACTTGCTAGGTGAGCTGAGGTTAATAGCAAGTGCTTACCTGGACCTGGGCTCAAACTGCTGACCATCTGATTGGCAGGATTTTTCTGCAGCACAGTGGTTTAGCCTGCTGTGCTAAGTCTGGCCCTTCTAAGTAACTAATACATACTCCATACTATACCATCCCATAAACTCTGTATTGACTTGATATTAAAATGGAAATATGGGATGATAATAATCATGATCATAATATTAAACTCCCGTTTAACTGGCACCCATGATTGATGCCGAATAAATGTATTTTCTGGACACTTGAGAGTCACTATTAAAAATAGACCTGACTCATGCTATATCTTAGAGTTATTACCATATAGTCAACTTGGATTCCTACAAAAAAGAGGCCAAACTAATATTATACTCCAGACTGTACCATACCATGGACTCTGTATTGATATTAATATTGAAATACAGTCACTAAAAGCAAATGCAGACAAACTTAACATAGTTTTTAATTTTGAATATGTTTTTATGATTTTTAACTGAATTTTTAAAATACCAATGATATTTAATTCTGACTCGTAGATTTTTAAATTGCTTTTAACATAAGGTGCTTTGAGTCTCCTGGTGGAACAAAAAATTGGGGTACTACTACTAATAATAATAATCACCATCATAATAATAATACCCTTTTACCGTTTTACTATATTATAAATTAGGTTTTATTTAAACTATTTTTTCCTTGCTTTTTTTGCTGGTTACTTGAGAGTTCTGGTTAACTGAGAGCCTACTGCCTACTCAAGGTCTGGGAGACATCTGCCGAAAAATATTTCCAACAGAGATGCGTATCGTCTCATTGCCTCTTCCATCTTGGCAAGTGGGGAAAGGACGTTTTTCTGGAGGAAATACTTCTGGGGCCACCGTGTATATATTTTGCATGATGTGGCCTTGTTTTGCATTATACACATACACACAATTGTGTTTTAAAAACCAAACCACAACCAGGGCATGGGTGACTAGATAGGAAGCAACGCAGCACAGTTCCAGATTTCCACTCACTTTTGAGGAGCTCTCCAAAGTCCCAAAGCTGGATTTCAGGACCTCGGAGAGCTCCTTGAAAGCCGAGCTTAAGGCCTTAGTATATATATATCACAGAAACAGTAAGCTGTTCAAGGGGGTGGGTTGACCAGCCCCATAGGGCTTTTTTAGGGGAAAGGTATGGGGGTCATTTAACGGGGGAAGGCTTACGGGTGACTCCTCTGAAAAGGATCGTTTTGCTGTTTGCATGCTATGTCGCACCAGCGCAAAGTCCATGTCCTTTCTGCTTTGCTCAGAAGTCTTGGGGAAAGTGGGAAGGGGAGGTGGTATGGGGCAGAGGGTCACCGGTTGGTGGGAATCTTCCACCTATCATGAACAGGTCTGTAGGGTTCGGATAGATCTCTTTCCTCCTCGGGAAGAAAACAGACCAACTCAGGGTGGCTCTTGGGCGTTGCTTTTAGTCTCCTCTCTTGGGGCCCGGCTTCTAGGAAAGGACAGAATTCTGAATTCAATCACAAATAATACACTCATTCAGAGGTGAAGTGGTAAATAATACCCAGAGCCGGGTCCTAAAAAGTCACGCAGCTGGGTTGATTCTTGTTAAGAGGGTTTCGCCACCTGGGTCCTATGTCAATGGAAGATTCCCTTTGTTCCTGATCTGTAATCAATGAGGTTGAGGGGTACGGAAGACCCAGAATAACCCTAACCAACCCAACCATCCTTAGGATAAGAAAAGGAATCCATTTTGGTGTCCTATATTCAGATTCCCTGTCCCAAAGTCTTCTCCCCAAGCCAGGTTGATTTCTTAATTGAAAGCCTTTGCTGTTTAAGCCCAGTTGAGTTGGTGCCACAACAAGATCTCGGGTGGGGTGCATGAACATAGAGGGGGGGTCAGCGATCTGCTGTCTTTAATTTCATTTACCTGCTTCTGGGGCCGGTTTCTTTCCACAGAAAGAACGGTTTGTCAAACTGCTGGACCAGCTCCACAATTCCCTTCGGATCGACCTCTCGATGTACCGGGTAAGGATCTTCTCAATATTGGGGGAGGGGATGGGACAATGCTTGTACAGGACCAAGCTGGAGTCTCCTTAGAAGTATTTTAAGATCCTTTCTTTGAATGTTCATCSTGGTATTTCCTGGTGGTGGCCCATCTTCTAAAATGCRATATACAATGCCTGGTATTCCTTGGTGGCTACCCATCTTAGGAAGTTCCTGATGCAATGCTGGTGTTCCTTGGTAGTCAACCATCTTCAGAAATGCCATATACATTGTCTGGTATTCCTTAGTGGCCAACCATATTCTGAAGTGCCATATACAATGCCTGGTATTTCTTGGTGGTCAACCATCTTCTGAAATGTCATGTTGTCTGGTATTCCTTGGTGGCCAACCATCTTCTGAAATGCCATATACATTGCCTGGTATTCCTTGGTGGTCAACCATCTTCAGAAGTGCCATATACAATGCCTGGTATTCCTTAGTGGTCACTCATCTTCAGAAATGTCATGTACAATGCCTGGTATTTTTTGGTGGTCGACCATTTTCTGAACTGCCATATACAATGGCTAGTATTCCTTGATGGTCAACCATCTTCTGAAATGCCATATACAATGCCTGGCATTCCTTGGTGTTTCTTCCATCTCTGCCCTTTTCTCCCTCTACAGAATAACTTCCCTGCCAGTAGTCCTGAAAGACTACAGGACCTCAAATCGACCGTAGACCTCCTGACCAGCATCACCTTCTTCCGGATGAAGGTATTTAACAGGCCTTCTGTTTGGTTTCCAGAGATTGATAGACTGAATGGGTTTCTCATGGTTCTGGAGCTAGGTAGTAGTAACTGATGACTTCCATGCTAATGAGGTACAGCAGTGGTCCCCAGTCTTTTTGGTGGCTTGGAATTCAACTCACAGAAGTTATAGCTTGAACAACAGTGAGGAATTCTGATAGCAGAAGTCTGTAACAAATAGTTGCACACACCCCATTTGCATCAACCTTTGCACAGGTCCAGGAACTTCAGAGTCCACCACGAGCCAGCCAGGTGGTCAAGGACTGTGTGAAGGCCTGCCTCAACTCAACGTATGAATACATTTTCAACAATTGCCATGAACTCTACAGTCGCGAATACCAGACTGACCCGGTGAGTAGGAGAAGTGGGCAGGGAAGTTCTCCAAGATGCTGAACTAAATGAGAACTTGGGAGGAGGTCTCCGAGTTGGTGTACCAAGAAAGAGTGTGGGAGGAGGTTTCCAGTTGGTGGACCAAGAGAGAGCTTGGGAGGTGGTCTCCAAGTTGGTGGAGCAAAAGAGATCTTGGGAAGAAGTCTCCCAAGCTGGTAGACTAAGATAGAGCTCCAAGTTGGTGGAGCAAAAATGAGCTTAGAAGGAGTTGTCCTCACTAAATGCATCTATAATAAGGTAGATGAAGTGAAAGCCTTCTCCCAAGGACTTCAAAATTCAGATCGTATGAGATCCAGATTTTCCAGTAGGAAAAATCTGAAAAGAATAGAAGGGACAGTCACATTGTTGGTCTTCCTTCATCTGAGATGACTTTTTTTCTTTACCCTTCCTCCTCCCTGTCTCCTCCTAGACCAAGAAAGGCGAGTTGCCACCCGAGGAACAAGGCCCCAGCATCAAGAATCTGGATTTTTGGTCCAAACTCATCACCTTGATCGTCTCCATCATAGAAGAGGATAAGAACTCATACACCCCTTGTCTCAACCAGTATGTATGCGAACCTGTGTTTGACCCTCCCACCTCTGATAAAATAGTTGTTTTGGGGTTAGGTGGAAATGTTGCCCCCTTTCCATAGGAGTTTTTCCACCATCAGGCCAAATTCATGCCATCTCCAACTTCTTTTCAGGTTCCCTCAAGAGCTCAATGTTGGAAAGATCAGCGCCGAAGTGATGTGGAACCTTTTTGCTCAGGATATGAAGTATGCAATGGAAGGTGAGTCTTTTCCATGAAAACCCAAAGGAGTCTGTTGATATGGAAGTCAGTGGTAGAGTTCGGGCAGACCTCTGTGGTTTCCAGTTATGGTCCACTTGTACCATTTTCTAGACTAAAAAAAAATCATACAGAACTAATGAATGGTGGGGTCATTTCTGTGCCCAAACTAACCAGGATCTGGCCATGTTGGAACCAATGAGAGGTCCACCATCATCTCCTGCAGCCTTTTTGCTTGGCCATAAAAATAACCCAGCTGCTTCTCTTTCTCTTCAGAGCATGACAAACACCGCCTTTGCAAAAGTGCCGATTATATGAACCTGCACTTTAAAGTAAAGTGGCTCTATAATGAATATGTCACAGACCTCCCGTCCTTCAAAAGCCGTGTTCCGGAGTACCCTGCGTAAGTCATGGGTCAAAGAAATAGAAAAAGAAAACAAAAAGATATTACATGTAGAAATATATGTGAAATGGAACTAACGTTACAACACCACTAAACTTCATTTTCCCTCTCTTGCTGCAGGTGGTTCGAACCTTTTGTGATACAGTGGCTGGATGAGAATGAGGAAGTTTCGCGTGATTTCTTGCATGGGGCATTGGAACGGGACAAGAAGGATGGGGTAACATTTTGGTTTGGATATTTGTTTCAGAAACATACATTGAGACAGAATGATTAAGCAAAGGGAACAGCTTAGTAGATGGAATGCTGCAGATGTAGTATATCTTCATTCCAGGAAGGACCTCAACAAGTTCCCCATGATACTCTTGCAAATAAAGTAGTAAAATGTGGACTACTGTTGATTGGGAATTGGCTGACCATCAACTGGTTCCTCTTCATCCTGGAAAGAAGTGACTTATGGGGTTCCACCAGGTTTTGCCCTGGACCCAGTACTATTCAACATGGGATTCCTTAACATATCTTTCCACTTGAGGATTTTATTTAGTTCCTTCATAGCAGCCCTTCCAAACCCTAATCATCTCCTGAGTGCCCAACAGAGTGCCCCAAACCATTGAACTCTGTTTTGGAAAGTCCCTGATAGAGGTCTTCAAGACCTTGAACCTGATCTAGGAAAGACTCAGATAGAGATCTCTAAGGCATTTAACCTGGTCTAGGAAAACTCTGATAGTTCCAAGGTGTTGAACATTTTGGTTTGGATAGATCTAGGATAGACACTGACACAGGCCTCCAAGATGGTGAAGCTGATCTGGGAAAGACTAATAGAGGTCTCCAAGGCATTGAAGCTGGTCTAGGAAAGACTCTGATAGCCTCCAAGGTGTTAAACCAGGTCTAGGATAGACCCTGATAGAGGCCTCCAAGACACTGAACCTGGTCTGGGAAAGACTCTAATAGAGGTCTCCAATGCATTGAACCTGGTCTAGGAAAGACTCTGATACAGGCCTCCAAGACGTTGAACCTGGTCTTGGAAAAACACCCAATGAAGCTCTCCAAGGTGTTGAGCCTAGTCTGGAAGATTCCTCACTAGAGTTCCCCCAGGCTCTCCAAAGCTCTCCAAGATTGATCTTTCCCTAGAAATGATCAATCTAAGGTAGCTTGCAATTTCTCGCCACAAGGAATGCATCTTCATCCTCTTCATCCTCTTTGTCTCCCTGCAGTTCCAACAAACCTCTGAGCACGCCCTCTTCTCCTGCTCCGTGGTCGACGTCTTCTCCCAACTCAACCAGAGCTTTGAAATCATCAAGAAACTGGAGTGCCCTGATCCCCAAATTGTGGGTCACTACATGCGCCGGTTCGCCAAGGTAAGGAGAGGATCTGTGTCATCGGAATTCAGATCTCAAAGTTGTCGTCCACATCGTGGGAGCTATATTCCAACAACCACATCCACTCTCCTTTGAAGATATGTTCATGGTCCAATCTAGGACCAAGGTCCTCTCATACTTTCTCTTCTCCTGGCTTTGCTTTTCAGACCATCAGCAATGTTCTCCTTCAATACGCTGAGATCATCTCTAAGGATTTCGCTTCCTACTGCTCCAAGGAGAAAGAGAAAGTGGTGATGTATCCCATCTACCTCTCCCTACCCTTGCATGACCATGAGGGCATTGCCCACTAGACTTTAGAATGGATAATGCAACTTTAGATCGTAAGTGGGAAACTGTTGAACTCGATGAGGTCCTTAAATGATTGTGTATATATCCCAGTCATGCGCCTAGGATGCCCTTCCAAAATTATTCATCCAGATATAGAATTTGCTCGGCCCACAAAGCTAGGAAAGGCAGGAGGAATGTTTCCAATGAGTCCAACCATTTCTGTTTTGTTTTGTTTTATTTCAAATACCGCCACAGAGGAGAGAGACCACGCCACCACAACCGGTTGCCAGCACAGTCAAGGTGGGTCTATTTGGGGTTTGGTAGAACTTGAGTGGGGAGATATATATGTCTTTTTGTTGCTGTGTGCCTTCAAGTGCTTCCCAACCTTTTGTTTCGACCAGGTCTTCTGTTTCCTCTTAGTATTTATTTATTTATTTATTTATTGCCTCTTGGCTCCTCTTCTAGCCCTGCATCCTGATGAATAATATACAACAGCTCCGTGTCCAGCTGGAGAAGATGTTTGAGGCTATGGGCGGAAAAGAGGTTTGTCTTTCTCAATGAAGCTGATCAATGTAGTAGTTAAGCTGCAATGTAGCTAGTAGGGCTGTGCGATCGATGGAAAAAAAATTCAAAACTCATTACACAATTAGGGGGTGCCTGCATTTCTAACATGTTTCTTAAGTATTGTTTGTGAAAATTTTGTTACTACAACGAGAGTAATGAAATTTTGTTCCTTTTACATTATAGTAATTGTGCAAGTGGGGAAACTTCAGGGGCTACTGTTGATTGGGAATTGGCTGACCATCAATGGTTCCTCTTCATCCATCATTTTTACAGCTATCAGGGTGAAATTTGCTACAATGGTAGAACACATTTGCCACTGTGAGCCCACCAAGTTTCAGAACGTTTCGCTTATCCACAGATTCTTGGGGAATTTTCAAAGTTTTTATAAACAACATTTTTGTTGCACTCCAGGACTGGAAACACCTATGTTCACCGCACCACACAAGAGTCTGGGTATATAAGCAAACAGTTTGTTGTAAAAGCATATAAAAAGCATATACAAATCAGGAATAAGAAAGGAAGATATATAATCCAAATGTCTCATAAAGTACCAAAGGTGACAAAGTCCAGGAACAACCAGGAATCACAGATACTGCATAAGTCCACAATCAAGAAGGTATGACTAATAAAACTTGAACAGGAGTACATGAACAGGAACATAGAAACTTTCAGGGTATATTAAATCCAAAATCAAAGCTTGACTTGAACCAGGAACAAGAGAACTCAGGCATACACAGGGTTGCCTGAACTGACCTTAAGGTAAACAACTTGTTGTTTAATAGACACCCATGAAATCATTCCGTTTCCCGTTAATTTCCTTCACAACTTTCCCACATAATCTCTCTGAATGACGTAATCTATTTTCAGCTCTGATTCGTAAATGAAGACTTTTGTTTATCTCGGTAGCTACAGGTGGGTTCTCATGGGAACCTTATCACTCAGCTCTTCACTCAATTCTTTATCTGCTGTTGCTACTTCTGACTCCCCTAAATGCCCTTGAGGCCCTGCACTTTCCAAGCCGGTTTTCTCACAGAGAGAACCATCATTTCCCAGACTTGAGAGCCCATCACTTTGTACCACAGGAAAGCTCACAATCCTCTCTAAATCATCAGTTAAACCATCAGCATCTGGTGGCTGATCAATAACATCTTTTAAAAAACCTACAAGAGCTATCTCCTTGAATTTTCTATGCAATGATACAAGATAACGGGATCATGCCCCACAAGTTTCAGAAATATTCATACATCTGCTGATTTTAGGGAATTTTTAAATTTTTTGACAAAAACGTTTTTGTAAAGTCACAACTATAATAATAATAATAATAATAATAATAATAATAATAATAATAATAAACAACTTTATTTATACCCTGCTACATCTCTCCCAGGGGGAACTCGGGGCGGCTTACATGAGGCCACGCCCATCAATACAATACAATAAACACAGTATTACACAGAAACATAAAATGCAAAAACCAATATAATAGACAACACAGCAATATAAAATCAAACATCAAACACAAAGGAATTTCACTGGGCAGGGCCAATTCAAGAATAAAGTTTACAATTTTAAAAACACTGGGAGATAGGGCAGTGTAAAAATGTCATGAAGGGGGGAGGAAGGATTTAATTGCACGAACCAGATTACCCAATAAAACTTCCATTAGGGATTTCTTCCCAGCCCAGCACAGAGATTGACTTACTAAAAGTATCAGTCAGTCCTCCTTTTTGCAGATTCAACCACTGAGTGGAACTCTGGCTGGCTGATGCGATGCAGGGACACATCCTGCATCCACATCCTGACTGCGGCTTCCTGATGCTGAGCAGAATTCTGGGAAATGTAGTTTAGGTCTGAGCCTTTTGCATTCTCTGGCACAGGGCTCCTCACCTTCCTAAACTACATTTCCCAGAATCCTGTGCTCTCTCTGTCTCTTCCCCAGTGAACACTGCTCCCTGCTTTCCCTCTCCTCATAGTGAGAAGCCACTCATTTAAAGAGGGAAGGTAGCCTTTTTGGCTTTGCGTTTCCTTGCGTTGAACATGAAACTGACTTTGAGAGGCATCCAAAGTTTATAAAATTCAAATGGAAATGTATTGGGTGTTTTGATTCTTAAGTTTCTGGCGTACGTGTTGAATGTCACATTATAAGGACGGATTGAACAAATTTGATCTGAATCATGACGCATAACAAAAAAATTGCAGAGCCCTAGTAGCTAGATAATCACAGCCATGTCCACTTGGATTGGGATATTCCCAAATGGTCTTCCCAGTGGATTTAAATGGCAGGGGGGAACTCCATTGCCCATCAAGTGCTTGAATTGTGTGACCTTCCGCTTTCATAGCTGGACACAGAAGCGAGCGACATCCTCAAGGAGCTGCAGGTGAAGCTCAACAATGTCTTGGATGAACTCAGCCGGATCTTTGCAACCAGGTACGGTCCATTGGAGAAGGCGGGGGATTCTGCAACTCCCAGGAATCCAAAACTGGGGTCAAACTGCATTTGTTCGATAGCATAGATGCATTTGTGTGATTTGTCCTCCTCTTTACTTCCAGTTTCCAGCCACACATCGAGGAGTGCGTGAAGCAAATGGGTGACATTTTGAGCCAAGTCAAAGGCACCGGAAACGTGCCAGCCAGTTCTTGCAGCAGCGTGGCCCAAGACGCCGACAACGTCCTCCAGCCCATCATGGACCTTTTGGACAGCAAGTGAGATGAGAGAAATCCCCCCAAAGTCTTCTTTGGCTCTTCTTTTTGCTCCCATTACATTACATTGCTGATCCTGTATCCCCTTCGGTCACCCGATGAGATCCTTTCCCCTGTTGACCACCGAACGCTTGGCTTCTTTTACTCTTGGGACACTTGCCCACTTTTTTCCTGATATAATTCCTAAAAGGGTTTAAGGGATGGGACGAAATGTGAGTCTTTAAATGGCTTGACATTGGTGTGTGGACAGTGAGGGAGAAGGCCTACCGATCAAATTGGGAGATGCTTGACTCCAAAATGACCCCGAAACAGATTGGAAAGGGATGAGAAAGGTACAGTGCTCCATTTAGGCAGAAGATAGGAAATACAGATACAGCAAAACCTTGAGTTACAAACGAACCGATTTACGGGGTTTTGAGATAAGAGTAGTCGTTTGGTTGTGGTTTTGCTTTGACATAAGAGCTGAGGTTTGAGTTACAAGCAAGTGTGAGAGTCGCCACTTTAAGCAGGGCATTTGAGGGAGCAACCAGGAAAGCTTCTTTCTCTTGTCCTTATTGCTGTTATTTCTGCAAAACTCCTAGGGCTTTGGGAGATTGTGGGAAAGCCGAGGTGTCAGGAGTCTATCATTACTAATAAGAAGTTAATCAGGATATAAGTTTACTAAACTTCTATCCTGATTAAAATTGATTATTCTTCTACTTGATCATTTCAAAAGAAATGTATGGAATTGCTGTGAGTTTTTCAGGCTATATGGCCATGTTTCAGCAGCATTCTCTCCTAATGTTTCGGCTGTATATGTGGTTGGCATCTTCAGAGGTTCTGTTGGCAGATAAGCAAGTTGGGTGTATATATATCCCTGTGGAATAATGTCCAGGGTAGGAGAAAGGACCCTTGTCTGTTTGAAGCAAGTGTGGATGTTGCAATGAGCAATCTTGAATAGCATTGAGTAGCTATGAAGCTTCAGAGTCAATCAGTGAGGGTCTCTGCATAGAGGTATCTGCACAAGCATGTGAACAATGTCAACAGAAAGGAGGAAACCATGAAATAAACAAAATCTGGTTACCAGTATTTTAAAAAATACCAGACTCAAGGATCACTACTCAGAAACAGGAGACCTCCAGACAGCAAACAATCAAGAGCCAGTGGACACCTCCCAAACAGAGGATGCCTCCAGGCAACAAAGGCTAGGCCCCCTCTATGCAGATACTCTCACTGATTGACTTTGCAGCTTCAAGGATACTCAGTGCTATTCAAACTCGCTCATTTCAGCATTCACACTTGCTTCAAACAGACAATGGACATCCTGAACAACATTCCACAGGGATATATACACTCTACTTGCTTCATTACCTCTATGCAGGGGCCCTCACTGATTGACTTTGCAGCTTTAAGGATACTCAATGCTATTAAAGCTTGCTCATTGCAGCATTCACACTTGCTTCAAAAAGACAAAGGTTCTTTCTCCCACCCTGGACATTGTTCCAGATATATTTTATACACTCCAGTTGCTTCACTACCTCTATGCAGACACTATGACGGATTGACTTTGCAACTTCATGGCTCCTCAAATGCTAACTCAAGCTTGCTAATTGCAACAGACAAGGGTTTTTTTCTCCCACTCTGGACATTACTCCAAAGGCAAGGCTACTCAACACGACTCAAGTTTGCTCATTGCAACGTTACTCTTGCTTCAACAGGCAAGGGTTCTTTCTCCCACCCTGAACATTATTTCACAGGGGATATATACACGCCACTTGTCTCACTTCCAACAGAACTTCTGAAGATGCCAGCCACAGATGCAGGTGAAACGTTAGGAAAGAATGCTGCTGGAACACATTGACAACCCAAAACCTATTATTATTATTATTATTATTATTATTATTATTATTATTATTATTATTATGCAATAGACTCTCAAATGAGTCGACAGTGTGATACGGCAGTGAAAAAAGCCAATGCGATTCTAGGCTGCATCTATAAGCGTCTAGTGTCCCACTCCTTCACATTCTCATCTTGCTGTTGTCTTTTTCTGCCAGCCTGACCCTTTTTGCGAAAATCTGCGAAAAGACGGTCTTGAAGCGGGTCCTGAAGGAGCTTTGGAAGCTGGTGATGAACACCATGGAGAAGACCATCGTCCTGCCACCGTTGACCGACCAGACGGTGAGTGCCTGGCTTAAACAACCAAGTGTCTAGCCCTCGGTGTTTGTTTCAGTGTTTGAACGGAAACACCTTCCTAGCTCCGGTCACGATCTGGAAATTAACGGATTAAAATAAGAAGCACGTGAACACCTGCATTGGGCAGACGTGTCCACTTCTTGCATATCTATCAGTGTGCAAAATAATCCCAAACTGTCCACCTGCGTGGCTGAGAGAGTGTGCCCCTTTCCAACCGCCCACAAATACTAGCGATGTGTACAACTAGAAAACACAACTGAAGGACAGTGAGGCTCTTATTTCTAGGTTGGTTTTGGTGTGGGATAAGGTCCAAAACAAGGTCCATCGATAGCAAAGATATCGTAAATCCCAAATACTTTCTTAGTCCGATTCAGACATGTAGACAACATGATGAAAACCGCAAGTTCAGAAACATATCAGTGCAACAAAAATCCACTTTGCGATGGGACCTTGAGAGTCGTAGTTTGACAAGGCCTTTCGCCTTCTCTGCCCAAGAGCGCTGGAACCGCAATAAACTACAACTCTCGTGTCTTTGATGCAAAGAAAAGGAACCGGCGCCTTGCAAGTTGGGTCCCAAACGACACATTCAATCCCATCAATCTATAACTCCCATTGATTCATTTAATTCAGGATTAAAGTCTGGGTTAGAGCTCTGAGATGGTTGCAAAACCCAAGTTCTCAATGTGAACAAGCAATGAACTGTCGAAGGCTTTCATGGTCGGAATCACTGGGTTGTTGAGTTTTTCGGGCTGTATGGCCACGTTCCAGTCGCATTCTCTCCTGACATTTCGCTTGCATCTGTGGCAGGCATCCTCCGAAGTTTGTTCAGAGATCTATTGAAATGAGGCAAGTGGGATGTGTGTATCTATATAAATAAAAATGTAACGTTCGTTTGTGGGATTAACATAACTCATAAACCACTGGACAAATTTACACCAAATTTGGACAGCATACACCTAACAACCCAATGTATGTCCTTCACTCAAAAAATTGATTTTGTAATTTGGGAGTTGTAGTTGCTGGGATTTATAGTTCACCTACAATCAAATAGCATGATAGAATTGAACCAAACGCGGCACACAGGACTCCCATGACCAACAGAAAACACTAGAAGGGTTTGGTGAGCATTGACCTTGAGTTTGGGAGTTGTAGTTCACCTACATCCAGAGACTACCATGGACTCAAACAATGATGGATCTGGACCAAACTTGGCACGAATATTCCATATGCCCAAATATGAACACAGATGGAGTTTGGGGGAAATAGACCTTGACATTTGGGAGTTGTAGTTACTGGGATTTATAGTTCACCTACAATCAAAGAGCGTTCTGAACCCCACCAATGACAGAATTGGGGCCAAACTTCCCACACAGAACCCCCATGACCAACAGAAAATACTCAAGGCCATCCAGTCCAACTCCCTTCACCAGAGCAAGAAAATGTAATCATGATATGATTCACACACAGAGAGATATAGTATCATAGATTTGAAAGGGACCCCTGAAGAAGGACAATTATATGTTTCATGTCCCAGAGTAGGCAAACCAGACAATCTCCACATCAACACTGACAAAAAAAAACCCCCAAGAAATACTGTTTACCCACAAGCATAAAGAAATTACATTTATTAGAAACCAAAGCTTTCTCGTTACTTTATTTTCCAGACCACCAGACTGGGCCACAGCAACATGTGGCAGGGGACGGCATGTGTATATGTGTGTGTGTGTGTGTGTGTGTGTGTGTGTATATATATATCTATATATATATACACATGCGTGGATTAGCATAGAGTAGCCTTGCAGCTGCAAAGTAAATCACTGTTGTTGTCTGGAGGCATCCTTTGTTTCTCCCAAGCTTGCCAATTGCAACACTTAACTTGCTTCAAATAGACAAAGCTTTCTTTCTCCCACCCTGGACATTATTCCACAGGATAGATATACATCTCACTTGCTTCACTACCTCTATGCAGAAACCCTCACTGATTGACTTTGCAAACTTCATGGCTACTCAATGCTATTCAAGCTGGATCATTGCAACATTCACACTTGCTTCAAACAGACAAGGGTTCTTTCTCACACCCTGGATATTGTTCCAGATATATATTATACACTCCAGTTGCTTGACTACCTCTATGCAGAGACCTCCACTGACTGACTGCAGCTTCATGGCTACTCAATGCTATTCAAGCTTGCTCATTGCAACATTCACTCTTGCTTCACACAGACAAGGGTTCTTTCTCTCACCCTGGACATTATTCCACACACACATATATATACACGCCAATTGCCTCATTTCTAATAGAACTCTGAACAAACTTCTGAGGATGCCAACCACAGGTGCAGGTAAAACGCCAGCAAAGAATGCTACTGGAACATGGCCATACAGCCCAAAAAAACTCACAGCAACCCAAGCAAAGAACTGTTTCCAGCAGAAGATGTATTGATTCAGGCACCTACTGCTTCCGTGAAATCAATTCCTAGAAAACCCTGGGTCGATGGCTCAAAACCGACCAAAATCAAGGTGGTGCGGGCAAACTTGTTGCATTTTGAGGGTTTGGGATTTGTAGTGTGGGGATAGGAGAGGCGGATTGGTGGGGACGAAAAGGGGATGGGCCACTCAAGTGACAGTTGTTCTTTTCACTTGCTCCGCTCCTTCCACCTGGGCAGATGATTGTAAGTATGGCAGGTCAACCCTGTCTGTCTGTCGTCCTCTCTCTTCTTGTGCCTTCCCCAACAAAGTAACTTGAGCTGGTTTATCTGTCGTCCTGTGGCTGGCTATCTTGTTCCCCTGCCCCTTTCCGTGCCGTCTGCTCCCTTTGCCCCCCCCCCCCAAACCCACCCAAATGTCTTGGCCTCTTCTTGTTCTCTGCCTCCCTTTCGCTGTCTGGTTTCCTGGGATTGTTTCTGGGCGGGGATTGGTGGATGGAGCTGGGATTGCAGGGAAGAAGGCATTATATGGTGGACATTGAACATAAAGGCTGAACCCTCCAAGACTGAATGTGAGTCTTAATGGATGGATGGATGGATGGATGGATGGATGGATAGTGGATGGATATATGGATGGATAGATGAATGACGGCTTTAAGGGACTTCCCCAAGAGGAATCTTTCAGATAGATAGATAGATAGATAGATAGACAGACAGACAGACAGACAGACAGACAGATAGATAATGACAGTAGATGACAGACAGATAGATAGATGACGATGGATAGATAGATGAATAGATCAATTGATAGATAGATAATGTATGCTGGCTTCAAGGGACTTCTCCAAGGGGCTAAACCCTTCAGATAGATAGATAGATAGATAGATAGATAGATAGATAGATAGATAAGAAAGGATGGGTAGATAGAAAGATAGGTAGGTAGGTAGGTTGATGACATTGGGTGGGTTGGATGGATGGATGGATAATGGAAAGATAGATAAATCAATAGCTTGATGACGATGGATGGATGGACAGATAGACAGACATATGAATGCTGGCTTTAAGGGACTTAAAGGGCCAAAGCCTTCAGAGATAAAGACACCAATAGATGGATGACAGTAGATAGATAGATAGATAGATAGATAGATAGATAGATAGATAGATAGATAGATGACAGCACATAGGCATTAATAGCAAATCTTGTTCCACTTTGAGATTAAATTCCAAATAACAAATCTCAAATATCTTCCCTTTCCTTCCTCTTACTTTTTCAAATCTAAACCTTCCTCCTCCTCCTCTTCCTCCCCATTATGCCCCATTGATCACTTTGTGATATTATTTCTACAGGGGACTCTTTTACGAAAACACGGCAAGGGGACAGAGAAGGTAACTTGCTGTTTCGTGCTCTTTGACTGTCTGTGGCCACAGAGCCTGAGCAGGGACTTAGCCAGCCCAGAGAGAGATCTAGGAGTCAGGAGATTTGTAGTTCTGTGTCGTTGAGGTGTGTCTTGTGGTTTTTGTCATCTGTTTCGTCGGAAGTGAGTATCTTGTCTTTTTCGGAAGGTTGTCCTGCCCAAGGATATCTACAGGATCTTGAGATTTGTTTGTAGCGGGGTTATTGAAGAGTAAACACACACAACACCCTTGCTGAGTAGGCACGTGAATTCAGTCCTCTCATGGCCTCCTCCTCCTCCAGCTGCACAATGGGATAGACTGTCTCAGATAAGCAGTTAGTTCTGATCCAAAAAAACAATGCAGAGTCTTGGTCACAGTTAGCAGAGAGTTTATAGCACAGCCTCTGACCTTGTATAATAGCTCACCACTTTAATAAGCACACTTGAGCTCTGGCTGTCATGCAAACTCCTTTGGAGGTTTATTCTTAAGGTGTTGCGTTATACAACTATTTACAGGTCTGCTATCAGTATACAGAGATACTCACAACCATAGCAAGACACTCACACGATGAGGATGGCGATAGATTATAGATGCAGCAATATCAGAGATGGCAGAGAGAAAGCACATGGCAAAGAGGAAGTGCACATACATGCCACTCCAATTTCTCCCTCCAGGAGTCACAGGAAATGACTCAGCCGTCCCTCTATAATTACATCTCCACTCTCTTAACCTTTAAGTGGGCTGTGCTGTGGACACATGTCCATTAGAACTGTATTTTTCCACACTGGAGGTACATGCAATGCATTCCTATCTTACACAACATTTTTCTACCTAACATCGTTGTCCATTGACTTCTGCTGGAACTACAACTCCCAACATTCTCTAACATGATGCTATGGCATTGAAAGGATATGAAACTGTTCCAGATTTAGGTCGAGCATTAGGGGAACCTTCTAGTCGAGCCACGGAACCTGGGGATGATGGGCTTTCCTCTGGAAATCTTGTAGTTCATTCAAGCATCCAATTGGGCCGACCAATTCCAAAGAACAGCTTTAATGTGTCCTGCAGGTGGGGTTGATTCTAAGGCCCAGCATCCCCAGGCACAGTGAGGATGATGGGATGTGTAGTCTGACTCGTCCCGTGGATGCTGACCTTTGCTTTGGCTAACGGTGCCAACAGTCCTGTTTCTGTTTTTTTCCAGAGTAGGGGGAAGCCCTCCAGCCACACCGAAGTAAGGAACCACAATTCAAACCTGTAGCTTGCTTGGTTTTATTTTCCTTCCCCTCCATCTGTTTGTCTGTAGAGCCCCTCTTCCCCCATCTTCTGTCCGTTTGGCTTGTGGTTTATGAAATCCCCTTTGTCTGTTTGCCTCTTTTCTTCGTCAGTTGGGCAGATTTTGGGACTCTTTTCTGCGGTCAGTGTCTCTGTCGATCCCCATTTGGAAACCACAAATGTATATATATCCCATTTTCCTTCCCCGGTCTTGTTTCGCGACTTGCTTTTGGCCTATCTGTTTGCATGGGGATGGGGTTGTAGGGTGGGTATAGTACCTGTCCTATGGTATATATAATTTGTATACTGCCTTGGGTTCCAATCTTGGGGGAAAGATGGAGTAATATTATTTCTCTCTATATATAGAAATGTGAAAATATGTTTGTCCCACAAAGGCTCCTACATGGCTTGAGGGATCCGGACCAAACTTGGTACATATTTAACGTTTGTGATCCTACTTAAAATACTGGTAGAGTTTCAGTTAAAAAAATCTACCCCTTTTGGGGGTAGGACACAAAAAAATAATAATTAGGCATGTATGTATGCAATTCGGATGTAACCACAAGAGGGGAGTATATAGCCAGGAAGGCTATGTCAGAAGGAGAAGTGATAAATCGAAGAGGGCTAGAACAGGGGTCCTCAAACTTTTTAAGCAGAAGGCCAGGTCACAGTCCCTCAAACTGTTGGAGGGCCGGATTATAATTTGAAAAAAAAAAACATGAATAAATTCCTATGCACATTGCACATATCTTACTTGTAGTGCAAAAAAACTTTAAAACAATACAATAATTAAAACAAATATAAACTTATTAGTATTTCAGTTGGAAATGTGGACCTGATTTTGGCTGATGAGATAGTATTGTTGATGTTGTTGTTGTTCTTGTTGTTGTGTGCTTTCAAGTCATTTCAGACTTAGGTTGACTGAGTGAGGGCCGAGTAAATGACCTTGGAGGGCCGTATGCGGCCCCCGGGCCATAGTTTGTGGACCCCTGGGCTAGAAGGTTGCCATGCAGACATTCTAGGATGACAATAACCTTGCCATGGAGACATTCTAAAGGAGAGTTTCAAGTATGGCTGGCCTTGAAGTGTGGCATATTGGGAATCTGGGAGATCTGGTCAACTATAGAAACTCACATTCAGCCTATTATTACTATCATTATCATTATCATCATCATTAGCTTGGGTGCCCAGCATTGCCCGGATTATTTGTAAAAGTCAATATATTATTGTACAAAATGCATAAGGTTGTGGGTAAACTACAACTCGCATAATGCCAAGTTAAGCCCGAAAAACTCCATCAGTCCTTAAAGTGTGTTATGTTGGGCAAGTTTGCTCTAGATGCATCATCGGTGGAGCTCAGTGTACTCTCTGGCTGTAGGGTAAACTACAGCTCCCACTATGGTGAGTCAGTCACCTCAAACCTCTCCAGTAGGTTGAGTTAGTCATGGAGGTTCTGTGTGCCAAGTTTGGTCCAGGTCCATCATCGGTGGAGGCCACAGATTCCCTGGTTATGAGTGAACTACAACTCCCAGAAAGCAAGGTCCATTCCCACCAAACCCCTCCAGTAATCAGATTTTGGCATATCTGGTATGTGTGCCAAGTGTGATCCAGATCCATTGGTGTTTTGGGTTCACAGTGCTCTTGGATGTAGGTGAACTACAACTCCACCAAATCAAGGGAAATTTCCCCCCAAAGACCTCCAGTATTTTTTGCTTGTCATGAGGGCTCTGTGTGACAAGTTTGGTCCAGTTCCATCTTTGGTGGAGTTCAGAGTGCTCATTGATTGCAGGAGAACTATAAATCCCAGTACCAACAGCTCCAAAATGTCCAGGCCAATTCCCCTCAAAACCCACCAGTATTCAAATTTGGGCATATCAGGTATGCATGCCAATTGTGATCCAGATCCATCATTGTTTGGGTTTATAGTGCGCTCTGGATGTAGGTGAAGAACAGATCCTATAAATCCCGCCAAAGACCTCCAATATTTTTTGCTGGTCATGGGGGCTCTGTATGCCATGTTAGTTCGAGGTCCATCGTTGGTGGCGTTCAGAGTGCTCTTAGATTGCACGTGAACTATGCACGTGAACTATGCACCTACAACTCCTATACATCATGGTGAATTCTCCCCAAGCCTCTCTAATATGTTCAGTTGCTGATCAATTCCTGTTTGCTGTGTGCCATAGAAAAGCATAGGAAAGGGTTAAGGGAGAGGCAGTGGGCGGGGTCATGCAAATTCCACACCAATGGAGAGAGAAAGAAACACTGGGATGTCTGTGGTGGAGAAAAAACACACAATCTAGGATGGAATTATCCCCCAATGGAAGCTTTCACAAGGGTGGTGGGCAGTATGGCGTTTGTGGAGGACATTGGCAGAGCTCTTGGACGTGTTTATAAGCTGCAATGTCATTCGAGGGAGGGCCTCTGGTGTCTCCTGAGTAGCCAGAGCTATAGCTATTTGTGGAAGTGGGCACCCCAGCCACACACATACATACATATTTTCACTTTTATTATGAGTATAGAAGATAGATTATTATTGATCTGAACACCAGGCTAGGAGTGGAAACACATTGGATTCCGTTGGACTCATCCCTCTCCCTTTGTCACACTCTCTCAGCCACAAAGAAAGGGGCAAATCTGGTTTTCGGTGAGGGTTGTGTTTCCTGCAAAAACTCTGCAACAAATGCATCCCAAAAACTGGGAAGAATGGGGCCAAATTGGGAGCGGCAGTTTTGTGTATTATTCTTGACTGAAATCCGCCATCACATCCCTAAGCTGCAAACTAATTCTGTGCAGCAGTTTCCTGAACTACAAACACTCATTCCTTTTTTTGTTCTTCCCTTCTTCTTTTTTCCTATCTTTCCTTTATTCTCTTTGTCCCCCGCTACAGGGCACACAGATGATTTTCAATGCAGCCAAAGAACTTGGCCAGCTTTCGAAACTCAAGGTAAGAAGTTCCGCTCTTTGGATGGTCATTTCAGACATTTTGGCACTAAAAACAGGTATGCCTTTATAAGTTACAGAATTTAAAGCTATCAATAGGGGATATCAAAGGCATCATGCTTTCTTGAGGGTCACAAAAATTATTCTTAGCTGCTGTGAAATCTATGATTACTACTTTTGACTATAAAGATTGAAAGATTGCTGTGCCCATTTAATGAGGAAAGGGTATCCATGTTGGAAAAACTGGCAGGATAGGTGCATGATTTATAGTGTAAGGGATCACGGGTTTAGGGTGCTGGGTCCCTTTTTGAAGAAATCCACAGAGTCCAATAGGTTCATGTAAGACACCGTTTATTCAAGCTGATCAGCATGAGGCAGACAGACAGCACTTCTGTATGTGCTTCCCCCTCGGCTTTTGTAAACCTTTATATACTCTCAAGTAAACAAGAATATTTTTGTAATGGAAAGTACTTTGACCTTTATTCTTCCTGTCTCTTGATGGAAAGTACCTTCTTGCACCTGCAGACTTTGCGATTAACCACAACCTTTGTGCTTAACCACAATCCAACTTTCTATGTAAGCTCGAACTTTGTATGACCTCTACATGTCACCTCTTGTTTTTTTAAAACATTTTCTTCCATGCTGCTAATTTCATTCAAAGCCCCTTGCTTAGCATTTGCTAATTTCACTCAAAGACCCTTTCAATAGTTTTCCTTTTGATCACACCCTCCCTGGACTGATTGTCTCAGAGGCAAGATATAAAAAATCAACCCAAACACTGCAGAGTCTTTTATCAGTAGTCAGCAGAGTTTTTACTGCACAGCCTGTGACCTTGTGCTGCTCACTGTTTTAAGAAAACACCTTAGACTCTGGTTTTCATCCAAAACTCACAGTAGAGGCTATAATCTTGACAGGTTGCTTTATGTACACACACATGAGGATTCCCTGATCTCCTGTCAATATATACTTAGATATACTCATGACAGTTATCAACAACAGATGTACAGCGAGAAGCAAGAATCACGGCAAGAGAGAGTAAACAATTTTACTGTCTACTTATAAACTCATTGGTTCTCATGATCAAACAGAGGCAACAGTGAATGATGTAGTCTTCGTCATGCCTGCCATATCGTCATGACTCAGCTTCTTTAGCCTGATCCTGAAGTTTCACATCACCTCCTGCTTAACCATTCAATGGAAGAGTGCGACCACATGTCCATTAGAACTGTATTTTTCAACCGGTAATGCAAAATGGCGTTAAAGTCAATGCATTTCTATCTAACAGTGCATTATCTGCCTAACAATCCATGCTTTGTTCCTTCTAGGACCACATGGTGCGTGAGGAAGCCAAGAGTTTGACCCCCAAACAGTGCGCAGTTGTGGAGCTAGCCTTGGACACCATCAAGGTAGGCTAATCTTAGGATTGGGGTCTCTCGTAGGAATGTGTAGTGTCCCATACCTTGGACTATTTTGGCCTCCATTCTCTGAACACATTCCAGCTTCTCTTGAATTTTGCTATCAGGACTGAACTCAGTATTATTCCAGGTGAGGTTTGGGCAACACAGAATCGAGTGAGATTATAAATTTCATTAGATTGCCATTGATGTGATTTAGAAATGAGATTGGGGTTTGTTTGTTTTTTGTTTTGTTTTGTTTTGTTTTTTTGCTGCTGCATCACACTTGTGACTTATCTTCAATTAAAAGTCTATTACAGGGGTTTTCAAACTTTTTCAGCCGCTGAGCCATTTTTGAAGCAAAAGTTTCAGGTGGAGCCCCAAGAAATGTTTATATATTATATTATAGATTATATAATCCATACATATTATATAATCTTGTTTTATTTTGTGTCAAAAGCACTGCATACATAAGTATAAAATTGATAACAAATAGAAGGAGCACAAGCGGCTAAATAATTTTTGACCAAATCTGAGAACACAGAAATGTTGGACCACTCTAACAAGCACCATGTCAGACTACACAGAGAAGCCAGTGAAATCCCCAAGGAGCACATGGGCAATTTCAACAGAAAGGAGGAAAGCATGAACATGAACAAAATCTGGTTGCCAGTATTACAAAAAACTCTAGAATCAGGACAGTAAATAAAGAGCAACACTCAAAAAACAGGGGAATTCCAGACAGGAAATCAGGGCCAGCTAACACCTCTCAACCAAAGATTCCCCAGGCAGGAAGCAGCCAGGCTTTGAAGCTGCAATGCTATTCAATGCTAATCACGCTGCCCAATTGCAACATTCACACTTGCCTCCAACAGCCAAGAGTTCTCTCTCCCACCCTGGACATTATTCCACAGAGATATAAACCTCACTTGGATAGTTTCCAACAGATTTCATAATCTCCAAGGATGCTTGCCATAGATGTGGGTGAAACGTCAGAAGAGAATGCTTCTGGAACATGGCCATACAGCCCGGAAAACTCAAAGAGCAACCTGGAGGACCTATTGATTCCTGGAGATGATGTGTCAGTCAGATCTGTGTATAATCAAACCAGGGCCAATTGGACTTTGTTGAAAGGGCCTCTGATCTTCTGCTGAGCCCAGAGAATGGTATGATTTTGATCGGTTTCCCCTCTTTCTCCCTTTTCCGTCTAGCAATACTTCCATGCCGGAGGGGTTGGGCTCAAGAAAACCTTTCTGGAGAAAAGCCCGGACTTGCAGTCCCTGCGGTACGCCCTTTCGCTCTACACACAGGCCACCGATCTGCTCATCAAAACTTTTGTCCAGACGCAAAACGCTCAAGGTACGCATAATCGAGATGATCGGAATCATATTCTTCGAGCAGCCGAACTGCCTCCTTGGAGATTCTTAGTCTTGGGTTGGCTTGGGTCCTCTAGCAAAAGTACGGCTCATAGCAAGCTCGATTGAAACAAAGGACTTTTGGTCCAAGGATGTGGGTGCAAGGAGGTGTCCCCCAAAAAACAGGTGGGACTAGATTTCCCCTCCTATTCCGCAGTTTACAAGCAGGTTCCTGCTCTTTCTCTCCCTCAATAAAAGCATGTTGTACTACTCTGCTTTCAGCCCAGCCAGGCGGTTCAAATCTTTATTTACTTACTCAAGCAGTAGTCACAGCAAGAGAGAAAACACTTCCTGATTTATAGCCAAACGCTTATCAGCTGTTGACACCTCTGGAATTTTACCCACCGGTGTCTTACTCTGCCTTCTAGGCACTCATTGAAACATCATCTTTAACCTTTTGATGATCTTTTTTCTTCACATCCCTTAAGGATTATCTTTTTCCTAATACGTGTAACTCCAACAAAAAATAATATAGAGTCATACTGAAGGACCTAGAAAATGCCGAAAGGGGAGATTTTTTGTTGGGAGTGGATAAACGAAACTGCAGATATGGGGATCGTACTGTACCATAAAGACACTAGATCTTGATCTGGATTTTTTTAACCTCTCTTTTGAATTCCTCAGCTGCATCTACAAGCCAATGTTTGTTCTGATCTTCCTTTTCTTTCTTTCTTTCTCCGGTCTTTTGCCTCTTTCCATACCTCCTTTGGCACGCTCATTCTTTCACCACCACCCCTGTCACTCCCATATAACCTCTTGCTCTTTTTTCCCTTATTCCTCTTTCTCTTCTTCCTCTTTTCGCTCCTTTTCTCTCAACCTTCCTTCTTGCTCTTTCTTTCTTTTCTTTCCCTTTCCTTCCGTTCTTTTTCCATCATTAGTCCATGGTGGAAAAGGTGTTAGGTTTACTCTTAGTGAAGAAACATATCCCGAAAAGGGTACGTCTTGCACTGTCCGTCCCCGTAACACTCCTTCCTTGCCTCAAACGCACCCATCCCAAAACCCATTGCCCCGGCCAGGGCTAGTGAAAGTCCTGGGACTGGATCCTGGATTGGGAGCATGTCTAGAGCAGTGGTTCTCAACCTGGGGTCCCCAGATGTTTTTGGCCTTCAACTCCCAGAAATCCTAACAGCTGGTAAACTGGCTAGAATTTCTGGGAGTTGTAGGCCAAAAACATCTGAGGACCCCAGGTTGAGAACCACTGGTCTAGAGAGTGGAGCCTGGTGGCACCCAATCCTGGTTTCAATTTAAGGGAGCTCCCAAAAGTCCTGAACCCAGTCTTTAGCAATATTCACTACCTCGGATAGTAGGGCTGTGCAACACTATCGTTAGTCCTCGTAAGTCGTTAGTAATTTGTTAGATTCGTGCAAACGAATCACTAATAAGAAACATGCAGGAAAGGAGGGAGAAAAATTTAAGAATCCAAATACTCACCAATCATTTTCATTAAGGTTCTGGCGCAGTGGGTTAAACTCCTGTGCCAGCAGGACTGAAGACCGACAAGTCGCAGGTTCAAATCCGGGGAGAGCGTGGATGAGCTCCCTCTGTCAGCTCCAGCTCCCTATGCAGGGACATGAGAGAAGCCTCCCACAAGGATGGTAAAAATATCAAAACATCCGAGCATCCCCTGGGCAACGTCCTTGCAGACTGCCAATTCTCTCACACCAGAAGTGACTTGCAGTTTCTCAAGTCGCTCCTGACACTACCAAAAAAAAAAAAATCGGAAGCCTCCCAAAGTAAATTTAATTTTCAGTATAAGCATTAAGAATTGCTAATGTTGAAATGAAGATCCAGGCTGCTTTTTTTTGTCAGTCGCCATAAGGGCAGCTGGGCAGGAGATGGGGAACATAGCATTCTGGGAAATGTAGTTTGGGAAGGTGAGGCCCCTTGTAGCAGAGAATGCAGAAGGCCCTGCCCTAAACTACATTTCCCAGAATGCAGTGCTCAGCATCAGAAAGCTCCAGCCATTTAGAGTCAAAGAATAATAAATAAAATTATTGAATCTACAAAGAGGACTAAAGTAAAGAAGTAATAGTATAAATCTGTGCTAAGTTGAAGTTCTGTGGTTAACTGTCATATAGACACACTGTTAGGCAGGCATTCAAGGGAAGTACTGTTGTGGCTTGGTGGGTGGATAAATGTTTTCAAAAATCCCCAAAAATCAGTAGATATGTGAATCTTTCTGAAACTTTCGAGGATGGGTGCTCTGGTTATCTTGTGCATTGTATATAAAATTCAAGTATTATTATTATTAAACTTTATTTGTACCCCGCTAGCATCTCCCGAAGGATTCGATGCGGCTTACACAGGCCGAGGCCTCAAACACAACATAACAATACAATCTAAGCAAATAGATTATAGTGGACGACTGTAACATTCTAAAACTTGGTGGGCTAACAGTGGAAAATGTGTGCTCCAATTATAGCGAGTTTCATCACAATAGCTCAATTGCTCAACAAAAAAGTAATGAAAAATGCAATACTTCGTTATAGTTACCAAAATCTTTAGGTCCATAATTTCGGAAACACCCTCAAAAACGATCCGCACCCCTCCCCAATTTTGTAAGGAGTATTGAAACATTGTTTTCATCGATTGCACAGCCCTATCAGATAGCTCTGTTAAAGCTAAAACCTGGAAGGGATTCACTACCCAATGGAGGTGGGAGCTGCTGTACACCCTTAGGTCTATGGAGGGGGTGACCACTTTGTGGCTGGCCCTGACCCTTTCCCCTTCCCATTGAAACTAGCCCTGTACCGGGTGCTGATTTTCTCCTCCAGCTCTCCCTCCCTGCATTAGAATGGACCCCCCCCTCCCCGTTCCTGCATTAGCCTACCAACCAATGGAGGAGGAATTGGAGGCGACTCCATAGGGGTTGGCACTATGTACCCTGTGCCACTGGCACTCAGGGGTGTTGGTTTGTTTAAAGCCTCTTGGTTTCTGGATTGGACGAGTCTTTGCATGCGGCTCGGGAATTGGGGCAATGTGACAATGCTGGGTGCGGGCTCCGCTACTTTTTAATGGCAAGGGGAGACCAAAGCATGCAGCAGGAGGAGCATGCAGGGAGAAAGTCTGTAGATCCAGGTAGTCATCAAAGGCTTTGCCCTCTTCCTCCTTCCCTTTCCTTCCCATTTTACTATCATGTAGTAGAAGATGGAGCATACCGCTAGTTTCACATCTTTCCTGTCCTTTCTCTGCCCAGTGAGATCATTTGTTGCAGTCACTTATGGGAATAGTAATCTCTTCCAATTAGGCTAATATTTTATGAGATAACACTTACTTTGGGTTGCCTTCCCTGAGATTGCATCAGCAATCTGATTGTATCAGCCACCTTGATTGCATCAGCCAATAATCCCTTAATATAGTTCCTTTTCCTGGGTTTGTTATGTGTCCGTTTCCTGTTTTAAGCTTGTTTTTGTTAAGATGGATTTATGCAAATTACACTTTTAACATTAAATACACACATTCCACAGTACAAAACGTTTGATACTTTAGAGCAGGGGTCCTCAAACTAAGGTCCAGGGGCCGGATACGGCCCTCGAAGGTCATTTACTCGGCCCTTGCTCAGGGTCAACCTAAGTCTGAAATGACTTAAAAACACACAACAACAACAACAACAACAACAACAACAACAACCTTATTTCATCAGCCAAAAGTAGGCCCACACTTCCCACTGAAATACTAATAAGTTTATATTTGTTAAAATTGTTTTAATTATTGTATTGTTTTAAAGTGTTTTTTGCACTACAAATAAGATATGCGCAGTGTGCATAGGAATTAATTCATTTTTTTTTCAAATTATATTCTGGCCCTCCAGCAGTTTGAGGGACTATGACCTGGCCCTCTGTTTAAAAAGTTTGAGGACCCCTGCTTTAGAGTTTATGCTTTACAATGGATGGGAAAAGTAACACCCTCCAAAGTGATAACCCCCTATAACCGGCTCTCTATACCTGGAAAGGTACCCAAAGTAATTGGTGTTCCGTCTCACCTTTTCCTCTCTTCCCCGTTGCATTTTGACGACTCCCAGTTTGGACTGGCACCTCTCCAGGGCCATCCAACACCTCCCTCCAAGCAAGTGGGTCCGTTTGGCTCCCTTCCTCCCCTTTGCCCTTCTGTTTTGCCTTTGCTGCATGCGGAACTCCTCCGTGGAGGGTGCCTGTTTGAATGATGGATCGGTACCGGACTTTGGGGACCTTGTGGTGGGAGAAGTTACAGAATGGGACAGCACTGTTAACAATGGTCGGTTTTACGCATATAGGAGTGGTCTACATCGTTGTTTGGCTCAGGTCACCAAAGCTCACTGCAGGAGAAAGCAGATTCGCGTTTTCTTGCATGGGAGGACAATGAGAAATCATTGTTTTGTGGGAACATTCCTTTCCTAAAAAGCAAAAGATTAGCGGGCACCCAGTGATCAAAAGAGTGAGAAAATGACCTGAGCCCATCATCATGTTAGTGGGGGGAGGGGGGGGCTTCTGAGAGGCTTTTGGATTACACCTCCCATCATCCCCAGCCACCCTGGACCGGTCCTGGCCAAAAATGATGGGATGTGCAAGCCAACACATGTTGTGCCTCTGGGCGAAGGTTAGATAGAAAGCTAATGTCTGTTCTATACCTCCTTACTACTGCTTTGCCGTGCAGGATCCGGAGTGGACGACCCGGTTGGCGAAGTCTCCATCCATGTGGAGTTGATCACCCACCCTGGGACAGGAGAGCACAAAGTAACGGTCAAAGGTAAGCCCAAAATCTTTAGAGTGAGGGACTCTATTGCCTCTTGTTGGTTATTCTGTATATGTATAGAAGTCCTTCTCCTAATTTTCTCATCTCCTGGGCTTCTGGACAATGGAAAAAGTCCAAAGAGGCAGAGCTAACACTYACTCTGCAGGACTGTTGTAAAGTTTCATGGTAGCTGGAGTGATATCTAATCATAGTATATACTTTAAGAAGTCRTCCAATTTGTTTTTATTATTATTAATCATCTTTATTTCTACCATTTTCAAATTACAATGAAAGAGGGGGAACAATCAAATTGAAGAAAAAAATTAATAATAATAATAATAATAATAATAATAATKATKATCAACTTTATTTCTACCCCGCCACCATCTCCCCAATGGGAACTCAGAGTGGCTTCCATGGGGCCAAGCCCGGACAACATAATACAGCAAAACATATACAACAGACAACAACATTATCAAAATGACATTAAAAATAAATAAATAAATAAATAAATAATAATAATAATAATAATTCCAATAGACACAATCARGATAGAGATGACAATGGGCYGGCCACATATTCCAATTTTTTTAAAAAACAAACAATTAACAGACTATGATGAGATAAAATAGGAGRAGGACGTTTAAATGGAACTCATAAAACACACAGAGTTGTGGGATAGAACATCCTATTTGGAGGGCACGAACTCCATTAGCCGAAAACGTTGAGGGGGTGTAAAATATCATGCTGTGTACCTACTTGCCAAAGGCGCAGCGGAAAAGCCAGGTTTTGAGGTTCTTTTTAAATGTTTCCAGTGAAGGGGCTTTCCTGATCTCCCCAGGTAAAGAGTTCCAAAGTCGGGGGGGGGGGCACAGAAAAGAAGGCTCTCTCCCTTGTGCTCACAAGACGAGCTTGCGAGATTGGTAGAGGCAAAAGGAGGAAAGAAAGAAAAAGAGAGAGAGCAAGAAAGTTTGAGGGGAAGGGGTTGTAATTAGGGGTAGTTGGGTGGGAAAAATGGGAGTGAGGTGGGGACTGGGAGTAAGGTAGGGAAGTGTGTTAGACTGGGGAGGGGAGGTAAGGATTGGGGGGGCGGGTGCTTCCGGTTTGATCCGCAGGGAGATAGTCTTTCAAGTACATTTTCCTCTATGAGTTGTAGACAATTTTTGATTTGATTTGATTTTACTTATTATATTATTATTAATTTTATTTTTCCTGTTATCCATTTAGGTAGTTAGATTTGAAGTTTCAATTCTTCCTGCAAATATCTTCTGAGTGGTTCCCAATTGGTTTGGGTTTTTTGTTTGTATTTGCCAAGAGTTGCGACAGTTTGTCCATATTCGTATATTCTATTATCTTGGCTAGACAGTCCAGTTAGAGGAGGATCCTTTCCTTTCCATTTCTTGGCTGCTGTTATTCTTGCTGCTGCAGACAAATAAAACAGAATCTTCTCATTTTTCCCTAATTCTAGATTTGTTATGTTCAATAAATAGTATTCTGGTTTCATATCATATTTAACCCTAATAATTTTTTGAGTTATGCTTGTGCATTGATGTCCTCCAATTTGGAATCATGGTCTTTCTCCCACCAGTGGTGGCTGCCAATGACCTGAAATGGCAAACATCTGGCATCTTCCGGCCCTTCGTTGAAGTCAACATCATTGGGCCGCACCTGAGTGACAAGAAGAGGAAGTTTGCCACAAAGTCCAAGAATAACAGCTGGTCCCCAAAATACAATGAAAGCATCACATTGTGAGTAATCTTTTTGTTACCAAACTGGAGAGCTTCAAATATGTTGGAGATCCAGATTCAGCAATAATCTTAGTAGAGTAGCCAATGTATTCCCAACTTAGTAAGAGCCCTCAGGGTACTGACATCCAGGTGCAAATTGATTAATTACCTTGAAGAGCCAGTAGGTCTCATCTTAGTATTCAGGTCTCATTTTAGTAGAGTAGTGAATGCATCCTCACCTTAACAGAGTCGCCAAGACACTGAAATCCAGATGTGAATAGACATTGCACTTTGAAGAACTCCTCAAAATGCACTAGAGATCCAGGTTCATCTCTCCCATTAGCAGATCCAGGTTCCACTCTCATGTTAGTAGACCCAGGCTCAGCTCTCACATTAGTAGATTCAGGTTCGGCTCTCACATCAGTATAGCGGTGAAGGCACCCCAGTTTTTAACAGAGCTCTCGACAGTTCTGCTGGGCTTCTGTGTCTAATATTGTACTTCTTTCCCTATCACTCCCCACAGCACCATGGGGACTGAGACGGGTCCTGAATGCTATGAGCTCCAGGTCTGCGTCAAGGATTATTGCTTTGCCCGGGAAGACCGGACGGTGGGCATCGCCATCCTGCAGCTGAAGGACATCATGCAACGCGGGAGCTGCGCCTGCTGGCTACCCATGGGCCGGCGCATCCACATGGACGACACGGGCCTCACGGTGCTGCGCATCCTTTCCCAGCGGAACAACGACGAGGTGGCCAAAGAATTTGTCAAGCTGAAGTCGGACACGCGCTCGGCCGAGGAGGGCAGCACCAGCTAAGGCCCTTTCTCTCTGGTCTACCGTCCAGCCCTTCCCTCCCTCCAACGATCTGCTCAAAGGGCCCGTCCTCGCCCCTTCCCTCTTTTATACAGCCATGTTGAAGCCATAGAGTTCTCCAAACCACCCTTCATCCTTTCCCCGCCCCTTTATTTGGGAGTCTTGCTCCCACTGCCAAGGATTGTTCCCTCCCAGGCCTTTCCATCATGCATTGCCAAATGTCACACATGCCTTTTCTCCTCCAAGCCACGAGGAGGAAGACACGAGCAAGGGAAAGGGTGGCCCTTCTAAGAAATAGGGAGAAAAATACAACCACAACAGCCACAAGAGAGCTTGGGTGGGTTTTGACAGTTTGGTTTGCTTACTGTAACTGGAAAGCAACCAATTTGGAGACTTCGAAAAATATGATAACTGCCCAGAGGGGAAGGAGGAATGCCACTAAAGATTCTTTCCTGCTACACAATTATAGCACTACTACCGTATATACTTGGCATTTCCTGAGTATCTATCATTGGGACCACAGCCCATTTACGTTCTCCCTTCTCCAACTTCTCGAGTTCTGAAAAGGGCTACTTTCCCCCTTCTCCAGCTCTTGAGAAAAATCTACTTTCTCCCTTCTCCAGTTCTGAGGAAAAAATCTACTTTTTCTCTTAACTGGCTCTGAAAAGGCCTACTTTTTTCTCCAGCCTAGTTTCTCCCTTCTCCAGTTCTAAGATTTACTTCCCCGCCCCCAATCTCCAACTCTGAAAATGCCTACTTTCTCCCTTCTCCAGCGCTGAAAAGGCCTACCTCACAACATTTCCATGGCGTCATGGCTCTCTTTGTGGCTCTTTCCTCCCTTCTACTTCACCAATCCAGTGACATCACAGAGGGACACTTCACCTAGCCTTTGTGGTACAAATGAGCAGACAAACATACATACATACGTTGACTTTTATATCTATAGATAGATGGTTCCTCTAACTGCCATGGCTGCTGCCGGCAGGATGCTGGGATTTGTAGTTTGGCTCAGAATTTCCATGAACTGTATAACCCAGTATTCCACAGGACCAAACCATAGCAGTTAACAGGCAATCGTAGTGCTGTGGTTCTGTAGTGGAAACGGGATCAAAGGAAATACATAAGAGCTGCAGAAGGTTCCGAACCCCAAGGCATTGAGCATCCCAGCTCATTACCTCCACCTTTCTCCATAAGATCTGCTTATTCTGTCCCAAAATCTCAGGCAGAAAAGGAGGTTTTCCCCATCCCTTCCTGCTATCTTATTTTATTTTCAGTGAAGAGCCCAAGGATCAGATGTTGGACCTATGCAAGGCAAGGATCCCACCAACGAGCTTCCCGCCCACCTCCCCAAAAATATCCTGGGATTGTATCGGTTATTGATGCCACTGCAAGAAAAGTACCTGGACCAGAGGGAGAAATGACTGTTAAGCTAATGGACATTTTAATAGCAAAGGGATCCTTTTGCTCCTTTCGAGGATCGCTCATGGGATTTGCTTCTTCCAAACAACAGGATCCTTCCTCTGGCCGTTTCTGGTTTTTAAACATATATATATATCTATATATTTATGTCTCTATATTTCCATACAATTTGCCTGGGACCAAAGTGTCAGACGTTGAGTTGAATGTTTACACACACAAACGCAATCATTGGTTGAAACGTTGTTTTTTTTAAAGAGGAAATAAAGACAGGGAAGGGAGAAGGATCTCAACCATTCCTGATTGGGAGATTATTCTGTCTTAACTGACTTTCCCCTGTAATACTTTTATGTTTGGCATGTGGTCAAAAAATTACCAATATGGGATGGCAATCAAATCAAACCGTTCAAAGGAAGTTGGGGAAGACAAGGCTGAGATTTTAGACCGAATGCGTCTTCATGTCGTCTGTTCTGTACATAACGTTTCCTTCCCCGAAGTGGACCGAGTGACCGTTTCACCAACAATGGATGCATGACCAGTGAGATGTTTTGCACTATTTTGAAAAAAAAAATGGGGCTCTATACAAATATTTTATTAATTGACATGACCAAAAATAAATAAATAAAATGTTAAAAAATAAAAGGAAGACTGTTTGCAGACTATTTTGTTTTTGTTCATCTCCCAAAGTTGAAGGAAGTGGCCTAAAATCAAAGACCTTATAATACGAACTGGGCCACACCATAAATATATAATATATGTAATATAATATATTGCATATACATATAATATTTATAGTATTATAATATAATGCGACATAATACTAATAATATATTATCATTATATATTTATATTACATGTAATATTACTAATAATATTACAATATAATGGTATAGTACAATATAGTAATATTTAATACTGATATTGTACTATGCTAATAATATATTGTATGTATATATATCTTGTAAACCGCTCTGAGTCCCCTTCGGGGTGAGAAGGGCGGCATATAAATGTTGTAAATAAATAAATAAATATACATATCTATATCTATCTATCTATATGCTTTGTTCGTTTTGAGTGACATCATAACTCAAGAACCGTTGGACTAATTGCCACCAAATTTGGCCACAAGACACCTACTAACCCAAGGAGTGATCATCACTAAATAAATTATATGATTTTGGGAGCTGTAGTTGCTGGTATTTATAGTTAACCTACAATCAAAGAGCATCCTGAACCCCACCAACAATAGAATTGGGCCAAACTTCCCACACTGAACCCCCATAAAAGCACACGACTCTTCTGACATCTCCTTGTGACCCCCAGGTTGAGAAATGCTGCCTTCAGGCCATCCAGTCCCAACTCCTTTCACCGGGGCAAGAAAACATAACCAAAGCCCTCCTAACAAAGAGCCATCCAGCCATAGCTATAGCTATAGATGATTCACACACACATATACATGTATATGACAGATATGGTATCATAGATTTGAAAGGGACCCCTAAAGAAGGACAATTATATGTTGCATGTTCCAGAGTAGGCAAACCAGACAACCTCTACACCAACACTGACAAAGGAACAAGAAATACTGTTTACCCACAGTATATATGTGTGTGTATATATAAACAATATATGTGTGTGTATATATTTGTGTATATGTGTGTGTTTGTGTATATATGTGGTGTTACGCTTGCGTTGTAATGTATTTTTTGTTTTTTTGGCTTTTTAAGTTTCTTCTGCTTTTCCGTTTTTTTATGAGTGATGGTCACTCGTTGGCCTGATAGGCGATGCAACAACCCATATTTATTATTTATACTAGCTGCCCTCTGCCACGCGTTGGTGTGGCCCAGTTCGTGTATATGTGTTTTGTGCGTGTATATATTTGTGTATATGTGTATATATGTGGTTTGTGCATACATCACAATGGGGTTTTTTTTTGCTTTTAAAATCTCTCCCACTGTGTTGTTCAGTGTTTTTATTAGTGATGGTCACTTGTTGGTCTGATAGGTGTATTGTGTCCAATGTGATGGTGCGAGTGGCGCCACCTATGTATAGAACTGTTAGTTGTAAGATTTAGAGTGTTTGTTGTTGTTGTTGTTCATTCGTTCAGTCGTCTCCGACTCTTCGTGACCTCATGGCCAGCCCACGCCAGAGCTCCCTGTCGGCCGTCACCACCCCCAGCTCCTTCAAGGTCAGTCCAGTCACTTCAAGGATGCCATCCATCCATCTTGCCCTTGGTCGGCCCCTCTTCCTTTTGCCTTCCACTTTCCCCAGCATAATTGTCTTCTCTAGGCTTTGCTTTCTCCTCATGATGTGGCCAAAGTACTTCAACTTTGTCTCTAGTATCCTTCCCTCCAATGAGCAGTCGGGCTTTATTTCCTGGAGGATGGACTGGTTGGATCTTCTCGCAGTCCAGGGCACTCTCAGAACTTTCCTCCAACACCACAGCTCAAAAGCATCGATCTTCCTTCGCTCAGCCTTCCCTAAGGTCCAGCTCTCACATCCGTAGGTGACTACAGGGAATACCATGGCTTTGACTAGGCGGATCTTTGTTGCCAGTCTGATGTCTCTACTCTTTACTATTTTATCGAAACTGGACATTGCTCTCCTCCCAAGAAGTAAGCGTCTTCTGATTTCCTGGCCACAGTCTGCATCTGCAGTAATCTTTGCACCTAGAAATACAAAGTCTGTCACGACCTCCACATTTTCTCCCTCTATTTTCCAGTTGTCAATCATTCTTGTTGCCATAATCTTGGTTTTTTTGATGTTTAGCTGCAACCCGGCTTTTGCGCTTTCTTCTTTCACCTTGATTAGAAGGCTCCTCAGCTCCTCCTCGCTTTCGGCCATCAGAGTGGTGTCATCTGCATATCTGAGGTTGTTAATGTTTCTTCCAGCAATTTTCACCCCAGCTTTGCATTCATCCAGCCCCGCACATCGCATGATGTGTTCTGCATACAAGTTAAAGAGGTTGGGTGAGAGGATGCAGCCTTGCCGTACGCCTTTCCCAATCTTGAACCAGTCTGTTGTTCCATGGTCAGTTCTTACTGTTGCTACTTGGTCCTTATACAGATTCCTCAGGAGAGAGACAAGTTGATTTGGTATGCCCATACCACGAAGAACTTGCCACAATTTATTATGATCCACACAGCCAAAGGCTTTAGAATAGTCGATAAAACAGAAATAGATGTTTTTTCTGAAACTTCCTGCTTTTTACCTTATCCAGCGGATACTGGCAATTTGTTCTCCCGTTCCTCTGCCTTTTCTAAACCCAGCTTGAACATCTGGCAACTCTCGCTCCATGTATTGCTGGAGTCTTCCTTGCAGGATCTTGAGCATTACCTTACTGGCATGAGAAATAAGGGCCACTGTACGGAAGTTTGAGCAGTCTTTCGCATTTCCCTTTTTTGGTATGGGGATATAAGTTGATTTTTTCCAGTCTGATGGCCATTCTTGTGTTTTTCATATTTGCTGGCATATGGCGTGCATCACCTTGACAGCATCATCTTTTAAGATTTTAAATAGAGTGTTGTATCATGCTTAATCCTGCCCCTTTTTACTTTGCTTATGTATAGTTGTATGGATTGGTTGCTTGTAGCTGTCAATCAGTACTGTTTGGCTCCACCTCTTCCTGCAAGAGGGGAGAACTTCCTTTTTCTTCTTCATTCTGCTATCAGAGTTCGTACCAGATGGACATGAGTAAAAGACTTGATTCTAAAGGACCCTGATTTAAGTTACCTCTTAGCACCAGTTCTGACATCCGCCGGGAAGTGGCAGCCAATAGCGAAAGGACCAAGGCAGAGACATCTCCAGCTCATCCCGTTTGGGTATCAGCCAGCACGTCAACGACTTAAATCTAGACATAGTTTTCTAAGATCTACAGAGACACTCGCTGGAACACCTCAGCAAGCGAGAGTCCAAAAGTGGCAGGCTCAAACCCAGAACCTCAACCAATGGCTGATACAAAATGAGAGACTCCCCCTGGGCACACAGAAGACTGGGCGACTTGGAAGGCGCTGAACAGACTGCGCTCTGGCACCACGAGATGCAGAGCCAACCTTCAGAAATGGGGCTACAAAGTGGAATCCTCGACATGCGAGTGTGGAGAGGAACAAACCACTGACCACCTGCTGCAATGCAACCTGAGCCTTGCCACTTGCACAATGGAGGACCTTCTTGCAGCAACACCAGAAGCACTCCAAGTGGCCAGATACTGGTCAAATGACATTTAATCAACTACCAAACTCACAAATTTTGTATTTTGTCTGTTTGTTTGCTTTGTTCTGTTAGAAATGTAATATAATTGACTGGCTGCCCTGACACGAGAAATAAAATTTTAAAAAAACCCAGTTCTGAGGTTTTTTACCCCTGGGACTCATGCTTTATGTCCAGATCGTCCTGGACAATTATTGAGGAGACCCAGGCGCCTTCAAGCCAGTTCTTTTGGCACCAAAGGAAGATCCTGAATCTTCAAAACATAGGCCATCTGAACTGGGGTTGTGGTTTGCTCCGGCATTCACAGCCATTGAGGAAAGAGGAAACTTGGTGAGGCTTCTCAGCTTCAAACCCCTTGGACCCAGGGCTAATTGAGACTGTAATGTATGTTTTCCTTCACCCCTCTAAAGTTTTCCAGCTCGTTGCTTTGAAGAAATGACTTTGTGATAAATAAAACTTATTTTGAGCTATTTACAGCGTTTTGGGTTTTTGGGAGTTCCAGTTTCCTATAGGAGGGCAAGAAGCAATCCCCTGGGGGAAAGATGCCACGTTCATCCCTCCTTTATTGAGAATAATAGCCCCCAGGCGCGATGGCACACCAAATTTGGTGTCAATTTGTCCAGTGGTTTTTGAGTTCTGTTAATCCCACAAACTGACACTGAAGCCGAGCACCCCTCCCCCCCAGAATGGGGGATGGTGACTTGTAGTCCTGCAAAGGGCAAGGGCACCATACTGCACAGTAGGGGGTTAAGTCTTGGTCACATTGCCAAGGCACTGACAACAACAAGGACCCCACAAGGCTTTTGGGAAACGGCTGGATCTTGGGACTTCTGCCCTTCGTGAGAGTTGTAGTTTCCCAAGGACCAAAGTGTGAATCAGTTGCAGCACAGCTGGGGTTTCATCTGCCAGCCTTCCCAATGATCATGGACTCTCTGCCTGCATGTCTTGGACTTCAGTACATACTATCTCCCTCATGAACTTTCCTCAAAGACCTTTTAAAACATTGGACTTCAGGCTTCTTCATGAAAATTAATCCTCTTATTAAATATACTTGGGATGTGGGACAAAGATGGGGTTTTGTTGCTATGAAATGCTTATGATTTGAATGTATGTATCTTGCTATGAAATATCTTTTGTCCCCTTTACCCTTGCCCTTTGCCCCAAAAAGGCGACCAGGAAAAACCACTCAGTGCCCGAGGGGGCTGTTGTTCCCTCGAAACCAACCTTATCACAGACATTTGCATGGACAATAGCAACTGGAAATTCTTTGTTTATTTTCTGAGTTGGTCTGGTAAACAGAAAATTTCTCTGGTCACATTTTAATTTAATCACAAAGGGGTGAGACTGGTCCCAGGGATCTTCTTGCCCGGCTCTGTTTGTTTCATCCAAAAACCCATCAAAACCAACACACCTTATCTGATCCTGGAAGGGGAAGACTTGAATCAAATGATTATCCCAAATCACTGATCCATCACAAGAACAAAAAAAACTAGTTTCCTTGGCTGGCTGATCCCTCGGGCACAGGACAGTGGAATGTTATCATCCTCTCTGGACACAATGTCCCTCTTCCGTCCTGCCTCCCTCTCCCTGATTTGCTAAGGAGCCGAAGAGGGAGGGAGTTTTGAAACTTTCAAACCTGTATTTTGCTATAAATATGCCTCTGATCAATGTACTGATATGCTTGCATGTGAATGATCACTGCAATTGCATCCGCTTCAGCTGAATCGCTCATTAAACCTCGATGCCTCTTCTTCGCCTTGGCAAGAGTCTCATTTCAATTATTAATATTAATAAAATTGCTGGAATCAGGCTTCTCTGACGGCTCGCCAAGGTCATGGGCCCTGTTTGGAGCGGTCCTAGGGGTCTCTCTTACTGGGGAGACCCTCCTCAAGTCCGTATTGACTTCAACATTACATTTTTATTGATATACACTAGCCGTCCCCTGCCACACATTGCTGTGGCCCAGTCTGCTGATCTAGAAAACAAAGTAATGAGAAAGTGTTGGTTTCTAATATATGGAATATCTTTATGCTTGTGGGTAAGCAGTATTCCTTGTTGTTTATTTATTTATTTATTATTTATTTGCTTTATTTTTATACCGCATTTTTCAGCCTAATTCGGCGACTCAATGCGGTTTACAATGCAATTTATATAACAATAACAATTAGTTAAAACACAACATACACGACAGACAATACAAGACAACACAACATAGTCATCAACGCCTCAGTAAAAATCAGATTCCGTTCTCATAATCCTTCTACCATTCCTTTGTTCATTTATACCGTCTTCATGAGTTCAGTTGCCTTGTTGACCGAACGCCTGTTCATAGAGCCACGTCTTGACCTTCCTCCGGAACTCCAGCAACGAAGGGGCCTGCCTGATGTCTGCGGGTAGGGCATTCCATAGCCGAGGGGCCACCACCGAGAAGGCCCTGTCTCTCGTCCCCGCCAGCCGCGCCTGCGACGCAGGCGGGACCGAGAGCAGGGCCTCCCCGGACGATCTTAACGTCCTCGTCGGTTCATAGGTGGAGATGCGTTCGGAGAGGTAAGCAGGGCCAGAACCGTTTAGGGCTTTATAGGCTAAAGCCAGCACCTTGAATTGTGCCCGGTAGCGGATTGGCAGCCAGTGGAGCTGGCTCAGCAGAGGAGTGGTGTGCTCCCTGAGTGCCGCTCCCGTTAGTAACCTGGCTGCCGAGCGCTGGACCATCTGAAGCTTCCGGGCAGTCTTCAAGGGCAACCCCACGTAGAGCGCGTTGCAGTAATCAATCCGGGATGTAACCAGAGCGTGGACTACTGTTTCTTTGTCAGTGTTGATGTGGAGAGTGTCTGGTTTGCCTACACTGGAACATGCAACATATAATTGTCCTTCATCAGGGGTCCCTTTCAAATCTATGATACTATATATATCTGTGTGTAAATCATATATATCAATCTATATCTATGGCTGGATGGCTCTTTGTCAGGAGGGCTTTGATTACATTTTCTTGCCCTGGTGAACGGAGTTGGACTGGATGGCCTTCAGTATTTTCTGTTAGTCTTGCGGGTTCTGTGTAGGAAGTTTGCCCCATTTCTGTCGTTTGTGGGGTCATCGACGTGGGGGAGGGAAGGGTTACTGACGCAGCGATACCTATCCAGCCGCGCATGCGCGTGGAAAGCCTCGCGCTCTGTCAGCGGCATCGTCCAACCTGAGAGAAATTAGAACAACGCACCGTTTTAAAGGCGCCCGTTCTGAAATATTCTAATTCTTCTCTTTCTGTATTCGTGAAGAGGAGGAGGTAGGAGGAGAAGGAGGAAGGAAGGGGTGGCTTCCATTCAGGCATATATTATAACACGCACACCCCTACATCCATTTGGTTTCTTCCGTCCAACGTGCCAGCAGGCGGCGAGTGCGCATGCGCAAAGGTTGTTGACGTTGGGGTGAGTTGAAAAAGGACTTTTCTTCACTTTTTCGACTATATATAACAGCTATTAATAATAATTAATAAAGGCTTAATATATAATCAATATAATATTATAGCAATATAATAATATAATATGAATATACTTACTTAGGCGATCCCTCGTAGACCTCCAAGTTCGATGTCCTGGGGATGGGTCCGTAGGTGCCTGTGGAGCCCTATTCTTGATCTGCATCTTCTCCCACAGTGAGGGCATTGGTTTCCAGGTGGAAGGCGGTCTCGGTTGGGGTTGGCTTGATGCGCCTTCCTCTTGGCACGTTTCTCTCTTTCATCCTCCATTCATGCCTCTTCTAATTCTGCAGCACTGCTGGTCACAGCTGACCTCCAGCTGAAGCGCTCAAGGGACAGGGCTTCCCAGTTCTCAGTGTCTATGCCAGAGTTTTTAAGGTTGGCTTTGAGCCCATCTTTGAATCTCTTTTCCTGCCCTCCAACATTCCATTTTCCATTCTTCAGTTCGGAGTAGAGCAGCTGCTTTGGGAGACGGTGGTCGGGCATCCGGACAACGTGGCTGACCCAGTGGAGTTTATGGCGGAGGACCATCACTTCAGTGCTGGTGGTCTTTGCTTCTTCCATCACGCTGACATTTGTCCGCTTGTCTTCCCAAGAGATTTGCAGGATTTTCCGGAGGCAGCGCTGATGGAATCATTCCAGGAGTTGCATGTGACGCCTGTAGACAGTCCACGTCTCACAGGCATAGAGCAGGGTTGGGAGGACAATAGCTTTATAGAAAAGCACCTTGGTATCCCTATGGATGTCCCGGTCCTCAAACACTCTCTGCTTCATTCGGGAAAATGCTGCACTCGCAGAGCTCAGGCGGTGTTGTATTTCAGTGTTGGTGTTGACTTTGGTGGAGAGGGGGCTGCCAAGGTAGCGGAAATTATCAACGTTTTCTAATGTTACACCATTAAGCTGTATCTCTGGCACTGGAGAAGGATTGCCTAGTGACTGCTGGAAGAGCACTTTGGTTTTTTCAGTGTTCAATGAGAGGCCAAGCTGCTCCTATGCTTCTGCGAAGGTGTTTAGAGTGGCTTGTAGATATTCTTCTGAATGTGCACAGATGACATTGTCATCAGCATACTGGAGTTCTATAACAGATGTTGTTGTAACCTTGGTTTTGGCTTTCAGTCTGCTGAGGTTAAATAGATTGCTGTCTGTCCGATAGATGATTTCCACTCCGGTGGGAAGCTTCCCATCAACAAGGTGAAGTATCATAATGATGAAGATGGAGAATAAAGTTGGGGCAATAACACATCCCTGTTTGACGCCTGATTCCACCTTAAATGGGTCACTTTGGGAGCCATTGCTGTCCAAGACCATCATGTCATCATGGAGGAGCCGCAGGATGTTCACAAATTTGTTTGGGCACCCGATTTTTTGGAGGATGGTCCAGAGAGCGCTGCGATTCACTGTGTCGAATGCCTTTGCAAGGTCAATGAATGCCATGTACAGAGGTTGATTTTGTTCTCTGCATTTTTCTTGGAGCTGTCGTGCAGTGAAGATCATGTCCACGGTTCCTCTGGAGGGGCGGAAGCCGTTCTGGGATTCTGGGAGGGTGTCTTCTGAGAGGGGCAGAAGGCGGTTTGCAAGGATTCTTGCGAGGATTTTCCCAGCGGAGGTTAGAAGGGAGATACCTCGATAGTTTCCGCAGTCTGTTCTTTCCCCTTTTTTGAAGAGGGTGATGATGGTGGCATCCTTGAATATTTTCACAATATGAATATATCACCAATATAATATTGATAATTATTTAACAGCTGGTACTAATAACTGTTAAAGGGTTAATAGTGTATCAGTATAATATTATCATATCAATATCATAGTGTAATATGATTTCAATATGATATTCACCCATTAACAGCTAGTAATAATAATAATACTAAGAGGTTAATATCATTTCAATATAATATTATAATGATATTATATCAATATAATATTAGGAGCCCCCGGAGGTGCAGGACTGACAGGTCGGAGGGTTATTTATTTTATTTATTTCATGCATTTCTACCCCGCCCTTCTCCCTCCCCTCAAAGGGGGGACTCAGGGCGGCCTCACACAAGCACCATACGATGCTATCGACATGTAAAACAGTCCAAAATATATTAAAAACATTTAAAATCATTAAAACATATTATACAATTCATTAAACAGTAAATTAAACAAGCCAGTTAAAACCAAATCCAAGGGAGCAAATGAGCTCCCACTGTCAGTTCCAGCTCCCCATGGATGATTTTTACACAAGGATGATTGATACACAGGGATGATTTTTAAAATGCACCAAATAAAAGATGTGTGTGTGTGTGTGTATATATATATATATGACACACTATTTATTTATTGATATCCCACTTTACCTCTCCATACGGAGACTCAAAGCGGCTCACAATCAAAAACATTACAACTTCAAATATACAATTTTAAAACAGAATATCATTATATATTATTAGGAGCCCCCGGCAGCGCATTGGGTTAAACCCCTGTGCTGGCAGGACTGAAGACCAGCAGGTCACAGGTTCGGATCCAGGGAGAGCGCGGATGAGCTCCCTCTATCAGCTCCAGCTCCTCATGCGGGGACATGAGAGAAGCCTCCCACAAGGATGGTAAAACATCAAAACATCCAGGCAGCCCCTAGGCAACGTCCTTGCAGACCAGTTCTATCACACCAGAAGCGACTTGCAGTTTCTTAAGTTGCTCCTGACACAAAAAAATTATATCTCACTAATATAGTATTGATCCTTTAACGGCTAGTAATAATAATAATAATAATTGCTAAGGTGTTTGTTTATTTTATTTCATGTTCTAAAGCATTGCATAAAATAAATAAGTTTAAAAATGATAAAAATAGTGGGAGCACAAGCAACTAAATAATTTTTGACCAAAACTGGGCAACAGTGACTGCATTGTCTCTAGTTTTAAGCAGTTCTTCCTCTGTGCACGAGGCAGGGCATGTTGGCAACAATAAAGGTGCTGAGTTATTTATTCTGCTCCACAATCGCACATGGTGGAGGTTTCTTCTAGGCAGGGCCATTTTACCAGGTTGTCTTTTGATCTGCCCACTTTGCTTCTGAGTCTGTTCAGGGACTTCCATGTTGCACATTCTTGATTTGCCCCTGGTGGAAGACCCTCATGGGGGGGGGGGGGGGGCATCCAGTTGGAATTGCCTGGGTTAGCTGTCCAGAAGGATACTCTTGCTGTTGCTGGAGGAATATTTGGAGGAATGGTAGTTGTCATAAAGCTTTTCCTTGATTTGAGTCTATTGGGAGGAGGCTTCTAGCCATGCAGTGAGTGGCTTCCAGAGTGTTCAACCTCGCAATTGGCAGCAACGTCCCATCGCACATCTCGCAATTGGCAGCAACGTCCCATCGCACATTCCATTATGAGAGAAAAGTAGGCTAGGAATCCTACAAATAATAGGGAACGGAAGGCACTTTTTCCGGTTTTGCTGCAATATTTTGGGAAAGGCAGCCAAGGAGCGACTTCCAAAATGCTTCATCTCAGCAACATTTGCTTCCCAAAGGTGTCATTTCTCTCCCTCATAAATAAAATAATAGGCGTCTTGAGATAATTAAACACAGTGAGCAAACATTTAGATGCAGTCTCTTCTTGTTTCTTTTCTCCATGCTCCCTAAGCTGGTCCTCACAGGGATTCATAATAATAGTAATATCGAAATGCATTTTATTATATGTATTTATAGAATTTTTACAATGTTTATTGTGGTTTTTTTATGCTGTAACCCACCTCAAGCCACGAGGAGAGACAAGTAAGAAATTATTATTAGTTTCTTAATGTTTTATATTTTTATTATTATTAATATTAAGAACGCTAATCTGGCTGGCTAATTGCAACATTCACACTTGCTTCAAACAGACAAGGGTTCTTTCTCCCATCCTGGACATTATTCCACAGGGTTATATATATATATATATACTCCACTTACTTCACCACCTCTATGCAGAGGCCCTCCTTGATTGACTTTTCATCTGCAAGGCGACTCAATACTAATCAGGCTCACGAATGGCAACATTCACACTTGCTTCAAACAGACAAGGGTTCTTTCTCCCATCCTGGACATTATTCCACAGGGTTTTATATATATATACTCCACTTACTTCACTACCTCTATGCAGAGGCCCTCCCTGATTGACTTTTTATCTGCAAGGCGACTCAATACTAATCAGGCTCACCGATGGCAACACTGACACTTGCTTCAACAGACAAGGATTCTTTCTCCCACCCTGGACATAATTCCACAGGGATATATACACTCCACTTGCTTCACTACCTCTATGTGGATACCCTCACTGATTGACTTTGCAGCTGCAAGGCTACTCAGTGCCATTCAGGCTTGCTATTTGCAACAGATGAGGGTTCTTTCTCCTACCCTGGACATTATTCCACAGGGATATATACCCTCCACTTGTCTCACTGCCAACAGAACCTCTGAGGATGCTTGTCACAGTTGCAGGTGAAACGTCAGACGAGAATGCTGCTGGAACATGGTCATACAGCCCGAAAAACTCACAGCAACCCAGTGATGGCCATAAAAGCCTTCAACAACACACTCCTAAATCCCTTTCACAAGGATTACAACTTCTTTTGGTCCAGACACTATACCCATATTAATTCGGCTCTGAATCGCATTGACCTTTTTCTGCTGCCATGTCACACACTTAGCTCATGCTCAGCTTAAGGTCTACCCAGACTCTGAACTCTCACAAAAAAGTGTATCATGTTCACATGTTCACTGTCTCCTTTTCTTTCCAGCTTGGAGAGTTGGCTCCTTCTGTCTGCCCACCATGGTGACAGAACAGGAAGTTGAGCAAATCGGGCAGGTGCTGGCGGACCCCCAGCGGTCACTAACAGCCCGCTTCCGGGCACTGTTCACCCTCCGCAACGTGGGAGGCCCCGCAGCCATTGAATGGATCGGCAAGGCTTTTGCGGATGATTCTGCACTCCTCAAGCACGAGCTGGCCTATTGCCTGGGACAGATGCAGGACGAGCGGGCCCTCCCCATCCTCGTTGCTGTCCTCCAAGATCAGCGCCAAGAAGCCATGGTCCGCCACGAAGCCGGTGAGAAGAGGCGGGGAGCATCGGGCATGGCTGGAAATCCGCCTACGCAAAGAAGCCCATGCACTCTCCATTTGAGCCCGACTCCAAGGCCTGGGGGAGTGGTTCATTATAACTGTTAAAGGGTTAATACCATACTGTTATAATATTATAACATTAATATTATATCCATATAACATTATAGTATGTATCTGTATAACATTATAATATGAAAATCCATATAAAGTTATAGCATTAATATTGTAGCCATATAACATAATATTACTTATATCCGTATGACATAATAATATGAATATCCGTAATGTTATAATATATGTCCATATAATGTTATATTAATGTTATATCCATATAATATAATATGTATATACATATAATGTTATAAAATGTATCAATATGTTATAATATTAATGTTATATCCATATAACATTATAATACTTATATCCATATAATGTTAATAATATTTATAATCCTATAACATATTAATAACATATAGTTATAATATTAATATTACAGCTATATGACATATTACTTATATCCATATAACATAATATTAATATCCTTATAATGTTATAATATTAGTATTACATCCATATAGCATTATACTAATATATTATTTTAACATATTACTATATCATATAACATTATAATAGTAACATATCCATACTATATAATATTAATGTAACCGTATAACATTACAACGGCGCTCCATGCAGTCATGCCGGCCACATGACCTTGGAGGTGTCTACGGACAACGCTGGCTCTTCGGCTTAGAAATGGAGATGAGCACCACACCCCAGAGTCAGACATGACTGGACTTAATGTCAGGGGACTACCTTTACCTTTACCTTTATAACATTACAATATTAATATTCTATTAATATAATAATGACCTTTTAACAGCTAATAATAATAATACTTATTGTCTTTTACAGGTGAAATAGCAAAAAAGTGCTTATTAATTTTATATTTATTTACACCTTGCCTTTGTCTCTTGATTAAGATGACAAAATCAATGGTTATTATTACTGTATTTTTTCCAATTCTAAGATATATATATCCCCTCTTATAGCCATCTCTTAAAATGGGGTGCATCATAGAATCACAAGTGGGTTCTTTTAATATATTTGAATGCAGTATTTTTGTATTTATTTACATTTCGCTTTTATGTCTTGAATGAAACGCGAAAAGTAATGGTTACTATTACTGTACTTATTATTATTTCTATGTATAAGATTTCCAGGCATTTCTTTCATTGCTGTATTGTTGCTGTTTTTTTTTATAGGGGAGGCATTGGGAGCTATTGGGAACCCCAAAGTCCTGGACATCTTAAAGCAGTATTCCGACGATCCCGTAATTGAGGTATCATAATTATTGTACAAGTTCATAGAATCCTAGAGTTCGAAGAGACCTTTTGGGCCATCCAGTCCAACCCCATTCTGCCAAGAAGCAGGAAAATTGTATTCAAAGCGCCCCCAAAAGATGACCATCTAGCCTCTGCTTAAAAGTCTCCAAAGAAGGAGCCTCCACCACACTCTGCGGCAGAGAGTTCCACTGCTGAACAGCTCTCACAGTCAGGAAGTTCTTCCTAATGTTCAGGTGGAATCTACCTTCCTGTAGTTTGAAGCCATTGTTCCATGCGTCGTAATCTCCAGAGCAGCAGAAAACCAGCCTCCTCCCTATGACTTCCCATCACATAAATATACCTGGCCCTCATCATGTCTCCTCTCAAACTCCTCTTCTGCAGGCTAAATATACCCAGCTCTTTAAGCCGCTCCTCATAGGGCTTGTTCTCTAGCCTTTAGAAGTATCCGTTTGCTTTTACAGCTAAGACACATGAGTCCTATACTCAATTGCATTTATTTATCTATATATCTGTTTCTATATCCATAATAAAAGTGAAAATATGTATGTATATGTGTGGCTGGGGTGTCCACTTAGACAGGTTCCCACTTCCACAAACAGCTATAGTTCCCACTACTCAGGAGACATCAAAGGCCCTCCCTCCAATGACACTGCAGGTTATAGTGAGCGCCATGAACATTTACAAGAGCCCTGCCAATGTTCTCCACAAACACCATACTGCCCACCTCCCAAGTGAAGACTTTCATATGGGACAACAATTTCATCCTAGATTGTATGGGTTTTCTCCACCAGGGACATCCCAGTGTTTCTGACTCTCTCAATTGGTGTGGAATTTGCATGACCCCACCCACTGCCTCTTCCTTAACCCTTTCCTATCAATTTCTATGACGCACAACAAATAGGGGGCATTGATCAGCAACTGAACATACTAGAGAGGTTTGGGGAGAATTCACTATGATGTATAGGAGTTGTAGGATCTGGGATGTGTCGTTCACCTGCACTCTGAACTCCACCAATGATGGACCTGGAACTAACTTGGCACACAGAAGCCCCATGAACAACAAAACATACTGGAGGTCTTTGGAGGGATTTATAGGAGTTGTAGTTCACCTGCATCCAGAGCGGACTATGAACCCAAGCAATGATGGATCTGGACCAAACTTGGCATGTATACCTGATATGCCCACATTTGAATATTGTTGGGTTTTTAGAGGAATTGCCCTGGACATTTTGGAGTTGTAGGTTCTGGGATTTATAGTTCACCTGCAATCAGTTAGCACTCTGAACTCCACCAAAGATGGAATTGGACCAAACATGGCACACAGAGCCCCCGTGAGCAGCAAACTATACTGGAGGGCTTTGGGGGAGTTGTAGTCCACCTACATCCAGAGAGCACTGTGAACCCAAACACCAATGGATTTGGACCAAACTTGGCACATTGCGGGGGGGGGGGCGGTTGGGGGGAAATTGACCTTCATTTCTGGGAGTTGTAGTTCACCTACAACCAGAAAAACTGCAACCTTCACCGATGATGAACCTGGACCAAACTTGGCACACAGAACCCTCAAGACTAACTCAACCTACTGAAGGGGTTTGAGGGGACTGACTCACTATAGTGGGAGTTGTAGTTTACCCTACAGCCAGAGTGCACACTGAACCCCACCAATGATGCATCTAGAGCAAACTTGAAGTACTGATGGAGTTTCAGGGGGTTAACCTGGCATGATGTGAGTTGTAGTTCACCCACAACCGTATGCATTTTGTACAATTTAAAAACTGACTTTTTCAAATAACCCGGACAATTCCAGGGACCCAAGCTAGTTATTATTTTTTTGTAGCCCTGTGTCCAAAAATTGACCCATACCTTTTCCAGTTTGTATGAGCAAAGGCACCTGTTTTCCATTCTCCTTAGGTCGCGGAGACGTGTCAGTTGGCCGTAAAGCGGATGGAGTGGCTGCAGGCACACAGAGGTGGGCCTGTTGCAGGGCCGTACCGCTCTGTGGACCCAGCGCCCCCGTCTGAGGAGGCCGACGTGGGGAAACTGAGGCAGGTGCTGCTGGAGGAGTCGCGGCCGCTGTTTGAGCGCTACCAGGCCATGTTTGCACTCCGCAACCTGGGAGGAGAAACTGCCGTCTTGGCCTTAGCGGAGGGTGAGTCTTGTGCAGATGATAATAATAATAATAATAATAATAATAATAATAATATACTTTCTTTTTACCCCATCTCATCTGCCCAAGGGGACTCAAGGCGGTTTCCAACAAAAGTATCAAAATGGTGAACGTTCAGTGCTGAAATCAAAACAGTGGATAAAACAATCTCAAAATAAACTTCTAAAACTAAACAAAAAATACATAATTGAACTTAAATAAACACAATATAACTCATCACACAATTTCCACAGGCTGAAGTAGGTGTCCAATATGTAGGCGAGGATATATATAAAAGTGTAGCAGTCTTCCTTCTCTCCATTCTTCTTCATAGGCGATCCCTCGTTGGATGACTAGGATAGTCTTCCAGGATCAGTATTCTTGTGGGTCCATAGATGACTGTGGAGCCCTATTCTTGATCTGCATCTTCTCCCACAGTGAGGGCATTGGTTTCCAGGTGGAAGGCGGTCTCGGTCGGGGTTGGCTTGACGCACCTTCCTCTTGGCACATTTCTCTCTTTGCCCTCCATTCGTGCCTCTTCAAATTCTGCAGCACTGCTGGTCACAGCTGACCTCCAGCTGGAGCGCTCAAGGGCCAGGGCTTCCTAGTTCTCAGTGTCTATGCCAGAGCTTTTAAGGTTGGCCTCCTCTCCATATGCTAAGGTGCATAAGTGACTTTTTTTTTTAAGGAGAGGAGGATGGGGGTTGTTTTTATTTCTTTAGGGAGGGAGTTCCAGAGACTGAGAGCGATCACAGAGAAGGCCCTTTCTCTTGTTCCCACCGACCGTGCTTGAGACGGGGGTGGGACCGAAAACAGGGCCTCCTCCGCAGACCTCAGTGCTCATGCTGGTTTGTATATGGAGATGTGGTCTAGGTAATGACCAGCACTTTGTATTTATCTCGGAAGCAGACTGGCAGCCAGTGGAGCTGCCGCAACATGGGAGTAGTGCTCTCCTTGATCGGCGCTCCAGTTAGTAACCTGGCTGCTGATCTCTGAACCAGTTGTAGCTTCCAAACTATCTTCAAAGGTAGCCTCACGTAGAGAGCATTGCAATAGTCCAAACAGGATGTAACTAGAGCATGAACTACTGTGGCCAGGTCTGGTGTCTCAAGGTACAGGCACAGCTGGCCCACAAGTTATCATTGTGCGAAGGTGCTCCTGGCCACCACCAATACCTGGGGTTCCAGGGTCAGTGATGAGTCCAGGATCACCCTCAGATTGTGAACCTGTGTCTTCAGGGGGAGTGTGTGACCCTATCCCACACAGGTTGTATCCCCACACCCTGATCTCCCCCCCCCCCCCCCCCCAAACCAGGAGTAGCTCTGTCTTGTCTGGATTTAATTTCAACTTATTAGCCCTCATCCAGTCCATTACTGACGACAGGCACTGGTTTAGGGGCAGGACAATATCCTTGGTATTTGGTGGGAAGGAGTAATAAAGTTGGGTTGTCGTCAGCGTAAGTTTGACACCAAACTGATCTCTCCCTATGGTTTCATATAAATGTTAAACATCACGGGGGACAAAATTGAGCCCCGAGGGACCCCACAGGTCACTGGCCAGTGAGTCGAACAGTTGTCTCCCAGCTCCACCATCTGTGTACAGTTCTCCAGGAAGGACTGGAGCCACTGTAAAACAGTGCCCACAAGCCCCATCCTGGAGAGATGACCCAGGATACCGTAGTTGATGGTATCAAAATCCGCTGAGATGTCCAGGAGAACTTGTAGGGACACGCTCCCCCTGTCTAGCTCTCTTAGTAGATTATCCACCAAGGCGACCAATGCCGTCTCTGTCCCATAGCCAAGTCTGAAAGCAGAATGACATGGATCCAGATATTCAGATGACTTTTGTGGTTTGCAATGTTTTGGAGGACTCAAAGGATAGGAAGGGATTTTGTGGGATCTCAGAAGGCAGTTTAGGGGGATGGAAATGGCATTGAAAGATGTGTTAATGAATTACTTGCTAGTTCTCAGGATGTCAAAGAAAGAGAAAGCTTTTCCCATGACAATCTGTCGGGAGTTTGCTCCTAGGTAGAATGTGGAAGAGTAAAAGTTTGTGAGATAGAAAGGTTGAGATATCAGCAAGAGGGTGCAAAACAAAGGCAGGTTAGATTTTCCCAGCAGCTTCGGGATAAGCAAAAGCGGAGCAGGTGTACGGTAAGTGATATCATGAGTAGGAATTAAGGCTTTAAGTGGGTCTCTTCCAGGCAGCATTGTTATGAGAACGTTGCTTTCTAAGAGTGAGGATCTCTCCAATGTTCTACCTTTGGATTTTTTTGGGTCCTGTTCGTGTATTTCAAGTTTCAAGCTCCTGGATTTTGCATCCATGTTATAGCTGTTTTAAATTCAAGTTTCTGGATTTTTGGATGTTTGTTCATATCTTCATGGTTTTTGCAAGTTCAGCAGCTCAGCAGTTCAACCCATTGTGTCACCACAGCCCCATATACCTGTATTAAATGTATTTGGCTATCTATAGATGTTTTTTTAATATTTTATATCCCATTAACTTCAGTCAACAAAAATTAGAATTATTAATGATTAATAATAATGAGCACAATATAGTGACGTTCCCTGCTCTTTCCCCGCAGGCCTCCGGTGCGGGAGCGCCCTCTTCCGCCACGAAGTTGCCTACGTCCTAGGACAGCTGCAGCACGAGGCGGCTGTCCCACAGCTTGTGGCCTCTTTGGAGAGCCCCACCGAGAGCCCCATGGTGCGCCACGAGTGTGCTGAGGCCCTGGGCGCCATCGCCAAGTCCTCCTGCCTGGCTGCCTTGCGGGACCATGCCAGGGACGCCGAGCGGGTTGTACGCGAGAGCTGCGAGGTGGCCCTGGACATGTACGAGCACGAAAACAACGCCAATGAGTTCCAGTACGCTGACGCACTTGGCCAGCTCAAAACCTCAGACTGAGCACTGGTCCCCCCCCCCCCTTTCCACACTTTTTGAAACATCCTATACTCCGTGGTCATATTCTCTTTTAAGTTATTACCTTTCTCTCGGTGAGGGGGCCTGGTGGCATCGAGGGTCCAAGAACTCCATTTTGGTAATGGTACCTATTTAAAACAAAACTTTTGTAGAGTTTGGCAACATCCCTTTTATGGACTTTTATGGTGGGCTTCCAAGTATTATATTGTAGCGTTTGGCAACATCCCTTTTATGGACTTTTATGGTGGGCTTCCAAGTATTATAATCCAGTCTGGTCACTTTTGTGGACTCTTGGGGAAAAGCTCATTGCCTTTCTGTAAGAAAACGGGGGATTTTCTGAATGTGATCATGGGCTTTGGGAACAATATCTCAATAGCTGGCAATGGGAAAATTCATCTATATGCTGCTATGGGAAAGGAGTAACTTCAGGAGCAATATCTCAATAGATGGCAGTGGGGAATTTCATTTGTATGCCACTATGGGGAAATAAGAGCTTAAAGTGCAATATGTCCATCGTCCATTACTATGGACAAGTAGTAACTTCAGGGGCAATCTCTCAATCGATGCCAGTGGGGAGTTTCATCTATATTCCGCTATGGATGAATACTAGCAATATCTCAAGAGCTTCCCATTGCAAATGCGTACAGTTTACAAAGCTTGCTCAGCTACTCGTTCTTCCAGGAGGAGATTATTTTGCCGGAAACTGTTTTCTTTGTTAAGCAGGGAAAGAAGGCAATGGGGAAAAATAAAAACTGCTATTTCCCAATTTTCTTGAGTTTCCTCTTGTTCTGTTTGCAGGGCATCTCATCCCAGTTTCTGAGCTAAAATGAGCCATCGCATGCTCACCTACTTTTAACGTTTGTTTTTCGCACAAGAGAGAGCGCCATCTTTTAAGAGGAATTGATACTCCCCTCGATTAATTTGAGTTACCCCTTTCAGTCACTTAATATTTCAGTCACTGAAATATTTCAGTCACTGAAATTATTCCTATTGCAGAGCTGGCTTCTTGTTGTTCTTTTCCGTGTGACACCTTAATTTGTCTCCCGAGACGCATTAAAATCAGGCATTATTCTTATTAATATTATTGGGTTGCTGTGAGTTTTTTGGGCCGTATGGCCATGTTCAAGTGCCATTCTTTCCTAATGTTTTGCCTGCATCACCCTCAGAGATTTGTTCAGAGGCCTGTTGGAAATGAGGCAAGTACTATCCACTTGCCTCACTTGCAACAGACCATTGAAGATGGCATTATTAACATATGCAGGTGAAACGTCAGAAGAGAATGCTGCTTAACATACAGCCTTAAAAACTCACAGCAACCCAGTGATTCCGGCAATGAAAGCCTTCAACAACAGATTATTATTATGCTTATTACTATTATTACCACCTCTTTTGGAATGGAATTCCTGAGATTTGGGACGATAAATGTCTCCCCAAAATATCCAGAAATAGTCACACTCTGTATGGCAAATGACAGCTTTTCAGATACACAAATGAGGATTTCCAAGGCTTTCCAAAAGAGGAATAAAAAAAAAAGCCTGTTTGCAAGCTTGCGGATGGCTTTGCCCGGCTTGATCTCTCTTTTTTTTTTTTAATTCTTGGCAAATGACATCTGGGATTGGTTTGGCCGTCAAAGCTTGCTTTCTGTCCCACAAAGTGCTTTTTCCCTCAATCCTCTTAACTGTGTTTTTTTTTTCATTTTTGTTTGTTCTAAACCCATTAATAGAGCCAAGCTGGTCCAGCTTGGCATATGTTGGGGGCAGAGAGGAAGCTCTGGGTTTTGTCTTCCTGCATCTATTGATGGCGGAGGTTTGCGTCCCAGTATCTCCCTCCATTCCCAGTTAATTTCCCTCTGGCATTGCAATGGAGCTCCCTGGAGAAGAGGCGGAGGAGAGTGCTGCCTTTGCAGAATACCGGCCCCCATCCTTGGACTCTATCCGCCTCCCGCGGTACGCCTTATACTTGGTGATGGCGGTGCTCATCGTCTTTGGCGTGGCCTACGCCATCGTGGGGCATCTCATCGACGACCTGGTCCACGACTTTGCCGGTGAGGGACTGAGGAGGGGAATGGGGGTGATGGCTCTTTTTGTCTGGGTTGCCATATTCCAGTAGCATTCTCTCCTGACGTTTCACCTGCATCTGTGGCTAATGGCATCTTCAGATATTCTGTTGGCAGGGAGGCAAGTGGAGTGTATATATATCCCTGTGGAATGATGTCCACGGTGCAAGAAAGAACCCATGTCTGTGTCAAGCAAGTGTGAATGTTGCAATAAGGGAGCTTGGATAGCATTGAGTGGCCATGAAGCTGCAAAGTCAATCAGTGAGGGTCTCTGCGTGGAGTTAGTGAAGCAAGTGGAGTGTATATATCCCTGCAGAATAATGTCCAGAGTGCAAGAAAGAACCCATGTCTGTTTCATGCAAGTGTGCATGTTACGATAAGGGAGCTTGAATAGCATTAAGTGGCCATGAAGCTGCAAAGTCAATAAGTGAGGGTCTCTTTGTGGAGGTAGTGAAGCAAGTGGAGTGTATATATCTCTGCGGAATAATGTCCAGAGTGCAAGAAAGAACCCATGTCTGTTTCACGCAGTGTGGATGTTGCAATAAGGGAGCTTGAATAGCATTGAGTGGCCATGAAACTGCAAAGTCAATCAGTGAAGGTCTCTTTGTGGAGGTAGTGAAGCAAGTGGAGTGTATATATCCCTGCGGAATAATGTCCAGGGTGGGAGAAAGAATCCTTGTCTGAAGCAAGTGTGGATGTTGCAGTTAGCCAGCTTGAATAACATTGAGTAACCTTGAAGCTGCAAAGTCAATCAGAGTATCTGCATAGAGGTGGTCTGGCCTCTGTTGGCTGGAGGAACCCTCTCTGAAATGATGTCCAGTGTGGGAGGAAGAACTCTTATCTGTTTGAAGCGAGTATGGATGCTGCAATGAGCAAGTTTGAATAGCATTGAGTGGCCATGAAGCTACAAAGTCAATCAGTGAGTGTCTCTGCGTGGAGGTAGTGAAGCAAGTGGAGTGTATATATCCCTGTGGATTAATGTCCAGGGTGGGAGGAAGAACCCTTGTCAGTTTGAAGAAAGTGTGGATGTTGCAATTAGCCAGCCTGATTAGCATTGAGTAGCCATGAAGCTGCAAAGTCAATCAGTGAGGGTCTCTGCATAGAGGTAGCCTAGTCTTTGTTGTCTGGAGGCACCCTCTGTTTGGGAAGTGTTCACTGGGCCTTGATTGTTAGCTGTCTGGAGTTCTGCATGGTATTTCTTATTTATCTACTGTCTTGATTCTGGTATTTTTCTTTAATACTGGTAACCAGATTTTGTTCATTTTCATGGTTTCCTCCTTTCTGTGAAATTTTTGACAGGCTTGTGGATTTCAGTGGCTTCTCTGTGTTGTCCGAGTGGTACAACATTTCTGAGTTCTCGAATGATATTCTGTGTCCAGGTTGGTTCATCTGTTAACACCTCCCAAACAGAGGGTGCCTCCAGGTAACGGAGCAGGCTACATCTATGCAGAGACCATCACTGATTGACTCTGCATCTTCATAGCTGCTCAATGCTTGTCAAGTTCGCTCGTTGCACCATTCACACTTGCTTCACACAGACAAGGGTTCTTCCTCCCACCCTGGACATTATTTCACATATATATACACTCCACTTGCTTCACTGCCTGACGTTTCGCCTACATCTGTGACTGGCATCTTCAGAAGTTCTGCAGCGAGTAAGGCAAGTGGAGTATATCTATCCCTGTGGAGTGATGTCCAGGGTGGAAGAAAGAACTCTAGTCTGTTTGAAGGAAGTATGAATGTTGCAATCAGCAAGTTTGAATTAGCATTTGAGTAAGCCAGATGTGTTTGCAAAGTCAATCTGTGAGGGTTTCTGCATAGAGGTACTGAAGCAAGTGGAGTGTTTATATATCCCTGTGGAATCATGTCCAGGGTGGGAGAAAGAACTCTTGTCTGTTTGAAGCAAGTGTGAATATTGCAATGAGCAAGGTTGATTAGCATTGATTAGCCATGAAGCTGCAACGTCAATCAGTGAGGGTCTCTGCATAGAGGTAGTGAAGCAAGTGGAGTGTATGTATGTGGATGTGTGTGTGTGTATATATATATATATATCCCCCTGTGGAATAATGTCCAGGGTTGGAGAAAGAACCTTTGTCTGTTTGAAGCAAGTGTGGATGTGGATGTTGCAATGAGCAAGGTTGAATTAGCATTTGAGTAAGCCTTGAAGTGTTTGCGAAGTCAATCAGTGAGGGTATCTGCATAGAGGTAGTGAAGCAAGTGTCCTTCTTTTGCTTCTCCTTCTCTTCATCGATGACCTGGTTTACAACTTCATTAGGGTGATGCGGATGATGGTTTCATTCCTTTATATCCTGCCTTCTTTTTCCTCCTCCTCCACCATTATTATTATTATTATTAGTAGTAGTAGTAGTAGTAGTAGTAGTAGTAGTAGTAGTAGTAATCCATGCAGTCATGCTGGCCATAACGCTGGCTCTTCAGCTTAGAAATGGAGATGAGCACCACACCCCACAGTTGGACACAACTGGACTTAATGTCAGGGGAAAACCTTTACCTTTTAGTAGTAGTAGTAGTTGTAGTTGTAGTAGTATTAATAGCCTTATCCTCCCGAAAGTTTAAGGTGGGATGCAACACAGATTAAAATACAATCTCTAGATCTGTATGCACTTTATAATTCATGCAGTTCAAGTACTATTATTTCTTCCTCATCCCCTTTTTTCATTTATTTTATTGTGTAGTAATAATATTATATACTATAATTATGATTATATATAATCATAATATATAATTATATATTATCAATACATAATATTATTACGAATAGTATTATCTAATATATTATATTATTATCAATATTTATTATTAATGTATAATAGAAATAATATCGATATTTATTATTTTATTTATCGTACTCTTGTTTCGCTCCTGATACGATAAATAACATTATAAATATCTATATTATTATTATTATTATTATTATTATTATTATTATTATTATTATTATTATTATTAGTCATACTCCTCCCTGAGGATCTTTGGGGTACAACAACAATTTTATTGATTAGCCAGTTGGCCTTATCAAAAACAGACAGTGCAGACACAACATACAACATACATCTAGTCCTCTTAAAACGAAATACAAATAAACAGGTAGCCATAGATATATGCATCAACAAAATATTAAAATATAATCTATGCTGCAGAATGAATGTAGTTTGACTCTGTTTTAATGCTCTGGGATACTGGGAGCTGTGGTTTGTACTGTGGCGGCCTCTTCGCTTTTTATTATTGTGATGATGGGGATGATAATAATAATAATAATAATAATAATAATAATAATAATAATAATAATAATAATAATAATAATAATAATGGGATTTCCTTGACACCCTCTTTTCCCCCAGACTGGGCTTTCGGCCCCAAAGTGGAAGAGAAGAAACCCCCGAAAGAGGACAGAGAACGAGACCGGAATGAAATGGGATCCATCGAAATTCCCTTGGATTGGCAAGGAGAGGATATATTCTTAATGGCAGAGGAAAGCGGAGATGGCCACCTTCCTCGCCTCTTGCCCGGATTTCCCGGGTCCAGATGGGGAAACTGAAGGGGAACCCCAATACAGCAAACTCAATGTGAAGACAAATACGTTATTGCTTGGAGGCACCCTCTCTTTAGGTGGTGTTCACTAGCACTTGGTTGTTTGTTGTCTGGAGTTCCTCTGTTTCTGAGTGGTGTTCCTTTTTTACTATCTTGAGTCTCAGAAACAGGGGAACTCCAAAACCAAGTGCCAGTGAACACCACCCAAACGGAGGGTGCCTCCAAGCAACAATTGGTAGGCTACCTCTATGCAGTACCATATTTTACTGTTTTGTTATTGTGTTTTGGTTTTACTTTATTGTAATATGCTGTTGGGCTTGGCCTCATGTAAGCCGCCCCGAGTCCCCATTGGGGAGATGGTGGCAGGGTATTAAACAGAGTTTATTATTATTATTAGAATCATAGAGTTGGAAGAGACCTCATGGGCCATCCATTCCAACCCCCTGCCAAGAAGCAGGAATATTGCATTCAAAGCACCCCTGACAGATGGCCATCCAGGCTCTGTTTAAAAGCTTCCAAAGAAGGAGCCTCCACCACACTCCGGGGCAGAGAGTTCCACTGCTGAATGGCTCTCACAGTCAGGAAATTATTCCTAATGTTCAGATGGAATCTCCTATTATTATTATTACTCTCTCTGATTGACTTTTCAGCTTCATGGCTACTCAATCCTATTCAAGCTTGCTAATTGCAACATCCACACTTGCGTCACACAGACAAGAGTTCTTTCACCCACCTGGGACATTATTCCACACGCGCACACACACACTCCACTTGCTTCATTATCTCTATGCAGATACCCTTACTGATTGACTTTGTAGCTTCATGGCTACTCAATCCTATTCAAGCTTGCTAATTGCAACATCCACACTTGCTTCACACAGACAAGAGTTCTTTCTCCCACCTGGGACATTATTCCACAGATAGATAGATAGATAGATAGATAGATAGATAGATAGATAGATAGATAAACTCCACCTGCTTCAGTACCTCTATGCAGAGACCCTCACTGTTTGACTTTGCACATATACACTCCACCTGCTTCACTCTCTCCATACAGAGATCCTCGCTGATTGACCTTGCAGTTTCATGGCTACTCAATGCTATTCAAGCTTGCTCACTGCAACATGCACACTTGCTTCAACAAATAAGGATTCTTTCTCCCACCCTGGACATCATTCCACAGAGGGTGCCTCCAGGCAACAGAGGCCAGGCTACCTCGATGCAGATACCTTTCACCGGTTGACTTTGCAGCTTCATGGCTACTCAATCCTATTCATGCTTGCGAACTGCAACATTCACACTTGCTTCAAAACAGACAAGGGTTCTTTCTCCCACCCTGGACATAATTCAACAGCGATATATATCTATATATCTATATAAATAAAAATGTAATGTTCGTTTGTGGGATTAACACAACTCAAAAACCACTGGATGAATCGACACCAAATTTGGACACAATGCACATACCAGGCCAACGAGTGACCATCACTCATAAAAACACTGAAAAACACAGCGGAAGGGAGTTAAAAAGCCAAAAAACAAAAGATACATTACAACACATGTGCAAAACCACATATATATATACGCAAACACACATGTTGCAGATTCTAATCTGGGGAGTGGCATGTTTGCCCCAGCTTCTGCCAACCTAGCAGTTCTAAAACATGGAAATGTGAGTAGATCAATAGGTACCGCTCCAGCAGGAAGGTGCTCCATGCAGTCATGCTGGCCACATGACCTTGGAGGTGTCTATGGACAACATCAGCTCTTCGGCTTAGAAATGGAGATGAGCACCACCCACCAGAGTCGGATATGACTGGACTTAATGTCACAGGAAAACCTTTACCTTTACCTTACACAAATATATACATACACATATGGACAGATTGGGCCACAGCAATGCATGGCTGGGGACAGCTAGGAGATATATATATATATATATATACACACACACACACACGCACACACATGCACACACACACACTAGCTGTCCCCTGCCACACGTTGCTGTGGTCCACGTGGGGGTTCTGTGTGGGAGGTTTGGCCCAATTCTATCGTTGGTGGGGTTCAGAATGCTCTGTGATTGTAGGTGAACTATAAATCCCAGCAACTACAACTCCCAAATGTCAAGATTCTATTCCCCCCAAACTCCACCAGTGTTCACATTTGGGCATATTATTTGTAGAGTTTGGTCCAGATCCATCATTGTTTGAGTCCACAGTGATCTCTGGATGTAGGTGAACTACAACTCCAAAACCAAAGGACACTGCCCACCAAACCCTTCCAGTATTTTCTGTTGGTCAGGGGAGAACTGTGTGCCAAGTTTGGTTCAATTCCATCATTGGTGGGGTTCAGAATGCTCTTTGATTGTAGGTGAACTATAAATCCCAGCAACTACAACTCCCAAATGACAAAATCAATTTTTTTTAGTGAAGGACCTACATTGGGTTGTTAGGTGTCTTGTGTCCAAATTTGGTGACAATTCATCCAGTGGTTTTTGAGTTCTCTTAATCCCACAAACGAACATTACATTACTTGCCTCACTGACAACAGATTTCGGAAGATATCAGCAACAGATATGAGTGAAACATCAGGAGAGAATGCTACTGGAACATGGCCATATAGCCCAAAAAACTCACAGCTACCCAGTTGTAAATATAGTCAAGACGTCTTGAAATATCGGTGTTGTCGTGCCCAATAAAAGTCATATTATCAGAAGGATCTGGTTTTCTTTGACACCCGTTTATTGTTTACACTGAAATGTGAATCTGAAATGTGAAATCTGGTTTGCTAGGCCAGAGGCCAAAGCAATTCCTTTGAAAAAGTTGCAGTATATCAAAGAAATAATCCAAAAGAAATGGAGAAGGAAAGGTGGATTCCTCAGCTTCCACACAGGCCCAAGAAGCACGGCCATGCTCCATATAGGAAGATAGACAATGGTACTACGTAACCAATAACTGGACTGGACTGAACTGGCGAACAAAGGAGGAGACCCTTCTTTTATAACTTCCTAACTTCATTGCCTATGAGACTTGCAGCACAACCTTTCTAGAATTTATTTATCGTATCAGAAGCAAATTGAGAAAATCGTTATAATGTATAGAAAAACTACAAAGTTATACAAAATGTCCTTTGACCAGAAGCTGGCCACTTGGAGTGCCTCTGGTGTTGCTGTGAGAAGGTCCTCCTTTGTGCATGTGGCAGGGCTCAGGCCGCATTGTAGTCAGTGGTCTCTGGTTTGCTCTTCTCTGCACTCGCATGTCGAGGACTCCACTTTGTGGCCCCATTTCTTAAGGCTGGCTCTTCATCTCGTTCCCGAGCGTAGTGTGTTCAACAGCTTCCAAGTCACCGCATCATGTGTGTGCCCAGGAGGGAGTTTCTCATCCGGTCTCAGCCATGGATTGAGGGTCTGGATTTTTGTCTGCCACTTTTGGACTCTTGCCTGCTGAGGTATTCCTGCAAGTATCTTGTAAATCTTAGAAAGCTGTTTCTTGATTTAACGCTTTGACTTGCTGGCTGATATCCGAACAGAGGATGGGCCGGAGATGTCACTTCCTTGATCCTTTCATTATAGGCTGCTACTTCCCAACTGTTACACTGTTTATTAGGTCTATAAAACCCTATACGGCTCTGGTCCAGTGTATCTCCTTCTACGTCCTACCTCGGAGCTTACGATCTTCTGGGGAGGCCCTGCTCTCGGCCCCGCCTTTGTCTCAAAAACGCTTGGCGGGGATGAGGAACAGAGCCTTCTCGGTGGTGGCCCCCCGCCTGTGGAATTTGCTCCCCAGGGAAATTAGGTCATCGTCATCCCTCCTCACCTTTAGAAAAAAGGTTAAAACGTGGCTGTGGGACCAGGCCTTTGGGCAATCAGGTTAAAGGACAATTGATAATGTTTGACTATGGCATGGAAGAGGATTTGGATAAGTTAAGCGGAGTAATCATTAGTAGATGGCTAGCTAAACAGCCACCAGATGGGCAATAGCTAATCAGAGTGTAAGTATACTGTTTTAATCTTTATTTATTAATGTTCATGTTTAATTGTTATATTTGTTATTCTGTGTTTTATGATGCGGCATTGAATTATTGCCAATTGTAAGCCGCCCTGAGTCCCCCCAGGGGTTGAGAAGGGCGGGGTAGAAATGTTCGAAATAAATAAATAAATAAATAGGCCTGTTCAATGCATGGTTCTAAATGGTTCTAAAGTTCTGGTGGTGAAAATTTCAGAACTCTTTCAAAATTCAATTATTATTTCATTATTGGCAATTTTTATGACAGAACCAATTAGGAACTCCACAATCTATAAACCCCTTTTCCTAGTTCCAACAGACCTCACTACGTCTGAGGATGCTTGCCATAGATGCAGGCGAAACGTCAGGAGAGAATGCCTCTAGACCATGGCCATATAGCCCGGAAAAACCTACAACAACCCAGTGATTCCGGCCATGAAAGCCTTCGACAATACAATTAGGAACTGCCATTTATAATGAAGTTTTGAGAGTTTTGTTAGAGTTCTGAAATTTCCACCACCAGAACTTTAGTTTTGTAAGTACTTTAGAACCATTTAGAACCATGCATTGAACAGGCCCACTGTTTACGCTGGCTAAACAGTATAATTTCTCCAGTGGTGTAGAGCGCAGACATCCTGTGAAAATGTGGCATGTCTCATTAGTGGTGAGATGTGTCCAGTGTGGAACACATCTCACCACTGTTTTAGCATGTAGCTGGGGGGGGGGGGCTTTGGGGCTTCAGCCCCCCCCCCCCGAAATTCTCAGGGTGGTCCGCAAAAAGGCCTTACTGGTACATTATTTAAACTGTTATGTTTATTCATATCATGATCTGATCACCATGTTCAATATATCCCATATGCATGGGGGTTTTGGGGTAACGATACAAAAGGTTTGCTAGGGTAGATCCTCTCTCACTCACACTCAGCTCCCCACGAATCAAACTCAGCCCTCCCCCCACCCCCCGAATCACAATCCTGGCTATGGGCCTGACACTGGGCATACGTATTCAGCAGCAGAGTAGCAAAGTGCAAGGGCAGATGTCTTCACTGTGTCTGGTTGTGATCCCCAGGTTGTGCCAGTCAGCTTTCATAAGATGTTATTTCTAGCACCTACTTTTTGCTTGATATTCAAGCAATGGTTCTTGTAGGTCAGGCATGTTGGTGTACTGCAATGCTCTCGAAGGAACCAGATTGGCAGATGTCTTCACTGTGTCTGGTTGTGATTCTCAGGTTGTGCCAGTCAGCTTCCTCGTGATATTTTTTATAACACCTACTTTTTGCTTGATAGTCAAACAGTGCTTCTTGTAAGTCGGAGCACGATCCAGAGTGACTCCCAAATATTTTGGTGTACTGCAATGCTCCAGTGGGATTCCATCCCAGGTCATTCTCAGAGCTCGAGATGCTTGTCTGTTCTTAAGGTGAAAAGCACACGTCTGCATTTTAGATGGATGAGGAATCCGCTGTTTTTCCCTGTAATATGCAGTAAGAGCACCTAAACCTTCAGAGAGTTTCTGTTCAACCATTTCAAAGCTCCCTGTTCGGGTGGTGATGGCACGATCATCAGCATAGATGAAGATACCTTTCTAGAAGATAAGCATGCAAATATTAATTGGGTGGGTTGGTGGGGTATAATAAAACTGATAAGAAGGGAGCAAAGACAGGACATACAGACAAATCATTTAGCGGACACGCATGATTGTTAGTTCCCCAACATGTATTTAGCTTTTGGGGGGCACATTTTAAATTAGTTCCCTTCCTATCCGCCATCTCTCTCAAATTGCAGTAATTTCATACGCAGAGAAGGGACAATATCTCACCAAATGATAACTCTTAGGATCTCATCGCATTAAGCCATGGCAGTTAAACTTCTGCATTAATTTGACAGCATAGATGCACTGTTAGGTGGATGACATTTATTATAATTATAATTACACAAATACTTTATGTATAACCCGCCCTATCTCCCCGAGGCGACTCATTTATACACTCCGCTTCCCAAGATGGTTACGAACTTTGTTGCTGGGAACAAAGGCAAAACGGTTCAATATCAGGCTCTCGAAGGAACCAGATTGGCAGGATTTTATCTGCTGCCCTTTGAGTCCAAGTCCAGAGTTGAAGACGATGACGTTAAAAGAGAAACCCACCTCCGTTTGTTGCCCAAAGGAAAGCAGCGGAGCAGAGAAGCATAATGGAGTCGGCTTTGCACGCAATTCTGCTTGTGGGGTTCCTCCTTTTTGCTCCTGGTTCGTACGGTCAAGGTATGGAAATGCTATACATTAGAAGGGAACAGATGTCTGGGGAGGAATGATGCCATGAATGTGTGCAAAGACCATTCAGTCCAGAAGTCAAAACTTTGGGAAAGGGAAAGTCCATGTGAAAAGCATCTAGGAGTCTCGATAGACCAGTGGTTCTCAACCTGGGGTCCCCAGATGTTTTTGAACTTCAATTCCCAGAAATCCTAACAGCTGTAAACTGGCTGGGATTCCTGGGAGTTGTAGGCCAAAACACCTGGGGACCCACAGGTTGAGAACCACTGCGATAGACCCTAATCTCAAGCTGAGCCAACAGTATGATGCGGCAGCCAAAAAGGCCAATGCGATTTCAATAGTATGGGTTGCCGTGATTTTTTGGGACTGTACGGCCCTGTTCCAGCAGCATTCTCTCCAAACATGTTGCTGTGTGTGTGTGTGTGTGTGTGTATACACACAGAGGTGGCCCTAGGTAATTTTCAACGGTAAGCAAACAGTATTTTGGCCCCCCCCCCCCCCCCAATCATCACTGATATATTTTCTGTTTGTCGTGGGAGTTCTGTGTGCCATATTTGGTTCAATTCCATCATTGGTGGAGTTCAGAATGCTCTTTGATTGTAGGTGAACTATACATCCCAGTAACTACAACTCGCATATGTCAAGGTCTATTTTCCCCCAAGAGTGCCTCAAGAGCGCCCCTGGGCAAAATCAACTATGCTGCAAATGCTTACTTTGTGTAATGGGTTGAGCCGCCCCTGTATACACATACACACACACACACACACACACACATATATCTGTTGAATAATGTCCAGGGTGGGAGAAAGAACCCTTGTCTGTTTGAAGCAAAGTGTGACTGTTGCAACTAGCAAGCTTGAATAGCATTGAGGAGTCATGAAACTTCAAAGTCAATCAGTGAGGGTCTCTGAATAGAAGTAGTGAAGCAAGTGGTGTATGGAGTGTGTGTGTGTATATATATCTGTTGAATAATGTCCCGGGTGGGAGAAAGAACCCTTGTCTGCGTAAATTAAAAGTGTAACCCAGCTTTTGCACTTTCTTCTTTTGCCTTGGTTATCAGGCTCCTCAGCTCCTCCTCGCTTTCGGCCATCAAAGTGGTATCATCTGCATATCTAAGGTTGTTCATGTTTCTTCCAGCAATTTTAACTTCAGTCTTGGATTGGTCAAGCCCCCCACGTCGCATGATGTGTTCTGCATACAAATTGAATAGGTTGGGTGAGAGGATGCAGCCTTGCCGTACGCCTTTCCCAATCTTGAACCAGTCTGTTGTTCCGTGGTCAGTTCTGACTGTTGCTACTTGGTCCTTGTACAGATTCCTCAGGAGAGAGACAAGGTGGCTTGGTATGCCCATCCCACCAAGAACTTGCCACAATTTATTATGATCCACACAGTCAAAGGCTTTGGAATAGTCAATGAAACAGAAATAGATGTTTTTCTGAAACTCCCTGCCTTCCTCCATTATCCAGTGGATATTGGCAATTTGGTCTCTCGTTCCTCTCTGCCTTTGTCCATCTGGCAACTCTCTCTCGATGTCTTGCTGGAGTCTTCCTTGCAGGGTCTTGAGTGTTACCTTACTGGCATGAGAAATAAGGGCCACTGTACAAAAGTTTGAGCATTCTTTCGCATTTCCCTTTTTTGGTATGGAAATATAAGTTGATTTTTCCAGTCTGATGACCATTCTCGTGTTTTCTATATTTACTGGCATATGGCATGCATCACCTTGACAACATCATCTTTCAGTTCAGCTGGGATCCCGTTGTCTCCTGCGGCCTTGTTGTTAGCAATGCTTCTTAAGGCCCATTCAACCTCACTCCTCAGGATGTCTGGTTCTAATTTACTCACCACACTGTCAAAACTATCCTCGATATTATTATCCTTCCTATACAGATCTTCTGTATAGTCTCGCCACCTCCTCTTGATCTCTTCAGCTTCTGTTAGGTCCCTGCCATCTTTGTTTCTTATCATACCAATTTTTGCCTGAAATTTACCTCCAATGTTTCTAATTTTCTGGAAGAGGTCTCTTGTCCTTCCTATTCTGTTGTCTTCTTCCACTTCCATGCATTGCTTGTTTAAAAATAGTTCCTTATCTCGTCTAGCTAACCTCTGGAATAGTCCATAGTCCAAAGCATCTCTCTGTTTTGAGAGTGTGTAACAAATCTGTAAGCAAACCAATACACACATACAGTAGCAATTACAATACAGTAGCAATTACAACACACGCACGCACACAGACACATACACATGACAAATAACTAGTGGAGGCCTGAGAAGGTTGCTATTTCCAACAGCAACATCCACACTTGCTTCAAACAGAAAAGGATTAAATCTATTGTCGAAGACTTTCATGGCCAGAATCACTGGGTTGATGTAGGTTTTTCGGGCTGTATGGCCATGTTCTAGAAGCATTCTCTCCTGACGTTTCGCCTGCAATCTGCTTGCCACAGAAGCAGGTGAAATGTCAGGAGAGTATGCTTCTAGAACATGGCCATACAGCCCAAAAAATCTACAACAACCCAGTCAAGGATTCTTTCTCCCACCTCAGATATATACACTCCACTTGCTTCCCTACCTCTATGCAGAGACCCTCACTGATTGACTTTGCATCTGCAAGGCTACTCAATGCTATTCAAGGTTGCTCATTTTAACATCCACACTTGCTTCAGACAAGGGTTCTTTCTTCCACGCTGAACATTATTCCACAGGGATATATACACTCCACTTGCTTCACTGCCTCTATGCAGAAACCCTCACTGATTGACTTTGCATCTGCAAGGCTACTCAATGCTATTCAAGGTTGCTCATTGTAACATCCACACTTGCTTCAGACAAGGGTTCTTTCTCCCAGCCTGGACATTATTCCACAGTGATATATACACTCCACTTGCTTCGCTACCTCTATGCAGAGACCCTCACTGATTGACTTTGCATCTGTGAGGCTACTCAATGCTATTCAAGGTTGCTCATTGTAACATTCACACTTGCTTTAGGCAAGGGTTCTTTCTCCCAGCCTGGACATTATTCCACAGGGATATATACACTCCACTTGCCTCAATGCCAACAGATCTTCTGAAGATGCCAGCCACAGATGTAGGCGGAATGTTAGGAGAGAATGCTGCTGGAACATGGCCATACAGCCCGAACACGACTCAAACAATAGAAGGATAGTGCCCGGATTGAGGGGAGTCGTAGTCCCACTTTCTTCTGCTTTCATCTTCACCAGAGGTCACCGGAACCACCGATGGCTCAAACTCCCTTCAGCCCTGGCTTGTGGGGCTGGCGGCCGTTGTGGGTTTCCTTGGGGTGGTCTTCGTGGCATCACTCATCAACCGGATCTTCTTCGCCAACAAGACGTGAGTCTCTTTCCTTTGTCCCTATTGGTCAACTTTGAGCAAATCTCAAGGTGATAGGTCATAACAACCCCACTCACTCCAAAGGACCTCACAACGACATATGGGGATCTTTACTGTATTTTGGGGACTACAACGCTCGATTTATGCCACTAGTTTACTATCAAAATTGTGTATAACGAGACTTCAGTGTGCACAGATTAGGGTCCCAAACCCAAATCTCGCTGTAATGCATTTGTGAACATATTGCTTGCTTTTCAGGAAAGATGAAACAGAAACGAGAGTGGATGCAGATGTTGAACTCAGGTAAGAATACGTCTCAGTCTGCTTTGGGAGAGATAAAGCGGGGTATAAATAAATATAATAATAACAATAATAGTAACAATAATAATAATTCATTCCATTGGCTGCTCTTAGAGATGCCGGCCATCCAACAAAGTCATTTCCTCCTATTATTTTCACCCCATCTACACTGCAAAATAAATAAATGTTAATTACTGTGTCTCAATGGTATGGCATCCGGAGGGTTGTCATTTTGCCAGAGAATGCTAATAACTTGCAGAGGATACCTCTATGAAAATATTGTTTTACCACAATCCAAACGTATATATGTTTTTGAAAGCTCTACTGTCCAGAATCACTGGGTTGCTGTGAATTTTTCAGCTTGTATGGCCATGTTCCAGTAGCGTTCTCTCCTGACGTTTTGCCTGCATCTAATAATAAAATAATAAAATAATAAAATAATAAAATAATAAAATAATAATAATAATAATAATAATAATAATTGGAACCTGTGCCACAAATACCATCTGCCTGCAACAAAGAACTGGTGGGATCACAAGCCGGAAAAAGTTGCAGAAAATCAACACGTCAAACTCCTCTGGGACTTCCGGATTCAGACTGACAGAGTTTTGGAGCACAATGCTCCTGTCCTCACAATCATGTTAAAAAACAAAGTATGGATCATCGATATTGCAATCCCAGGTGACAGCAGGATTGAAGAGAAACAACTGGAAAGCTGACATGATACGAGGATTTAAAGATCAAACTGCAAAGACTCTGGCACAAGCCAATCAAGGTGGTCCCAGTGGTGATCGGCACACTGGGTGCAGTGCCTAAAGACCTTGGCCTGCACTTAAACACAATCAGCTCTGTCAAAATTACAATCTGCCAGCTGCAAAAAGCCACCCTAATTGGATCTGCACGCATTATCCGCCGATATATCACACCGTCCTAGACTCTTGGGACGTGTCCGACGTGTGATTCAATACAATAGCCAGCAGAGTGATCTTGTTTGCTGTGGACTCATCTTGTTGTGTTTCAAATAATAATAACAATTAACTTAATTTTCATATCCCGCCACCATCTCCCCAAAGAGACTTGGGGTAGCTTACACACGGCATCAGATGCCTAAAAACAAAACATAAAATAAACATAAAAACCCACAAGAACCTAGTAAAACATAAAATAAACACAGTTTTTTTCTATATGTCAGGAGCAACTTGAGAAACTTCAAGTCGCTTCTGGTGTGAGAGAATTGGCCATCTGCAAGAACGTTGCCCAGGTTTTTCAGGCTTGGCCCCATGTCAGCCGCTCCGAGTCCCCATTGGGGAGATGGTGGCGGGGTACAAATAAAGATTATTATTATTATTATTATTATTATTATTATTATTTTCCTAGTTTCCAACAGACCTCACAACCTCTGAGGATACTTGCCATAGATGCAGGCGAAACGAATGCTTCTGGAACATGACCAGACCAACAACCCAGTGATTCCGGCCGTGAAAGCCTTTATCAATACATTGAACATCTCTACATCACCACCAGTAACCTGGCTACCAACCTTTGCACTGACTGTAGTTTCCCGAGTCATCTCCAAAGGCAGCCCCACATAGAGTACATTACAGTAGTCCATTCTGGATATAACTAAGACATGGACCACCAAGTCAGGCTTTTCGGGATACGGTCGCAGCTTTATTTGTGCAAAGAAGGCCCTCCCGGCCACTGCTGACACCTGAGCATCAAGCATCAGCGTTGAGTCCAGGAGGAACCCCAGATCGCAGACCTGTGTCCTCAGTGGGAGAGTGAGCAAGTGGAGTGTCTGTCTATCTATCTGTCTGTCTGTCTGTCTGTGGAATAATGTCCAAGGTGGGAGAAAGAACCCTTGTCTGTTTGAAGCAAGTGTGAATGCTGCAGTTCACAAGATTGAGTAGCCATGAAGCTGCAAGTCCATCAGTGAGGGTATCTGCATAGAGATAGTGAAGAAAGTGGAGTGTGTGTGTGTGTGTGTGTCTGTATATTTGTGGAATAATGTCCAAGGTGGGAGGAAGAACTCTTGTCTGTGTGAAGCAAGTGTGAATGTTGCAATGAGCAATCTTGAATAGCATTGAGTAGCCATGAAGCTGCAAAGTCCATCAGTGAGGGTATCTGCATAGAGATAGTGAAGCAAGTGGTGTGTGTGTGTGTGGAATAATGTCCCAGGTGGGAGGATGAACTCTTGTCTGTGTGAAGCAAGTGTGGATGTTGCAATGAACAATCTTGAATAGCATTGAGTAGCCATGAAGCTGAAAAGTCAATCAGTGAGGGTCTCTGCATCGAGGTAGTGAAGCAAGTGGGGTGAAATAGAAAAGGGTTCTTTCTCTCCCCCCCCCCCCGCCCCAGAACATTATTCCATAGATATATAAACACTCCACTTGCCTCACTGCCAACAGAACCTCTGAAGATATCATCAGCCATAGATGCAGGCGAAATGTCAGGAGAGAATGCTACTGGATCATGGCCATACAACCTGAAAAACTAACAGCAACTCAGTGATTCAGAATATTAAAGCTTTCAAAAACATATATTCGTTTGGATTGTGGTAAAACAATATTTTCATAGAGGTATCCTGTTACTAGTGTTGTTGTTGTTGTTGTTTGAAACACAACAAGATGAGTCCACAGCAAACAAGATCACTCTGCCGGCTGTTGTATTGAATCACATGTCGGACACTTCCCAAGAGTCTAGGACTGCTGTCGCTTGGGATTGCAACATCAACGATCCATGCTTGGTTTATTAACACGATTGTGGGGTCAGGTATATTGTGCTCCAAAACTCTCTCTGTCTGAATTCGGAAGTCCCAGGGGAGTTTGACGTGTTCATTCTCTGTAACTTTTTCCGGCTTGTGATCCCACCAGTTCTTTGTTGCAGGCAGATGGTATTTGTGGCACAGTTCCAATGAATCATCTGAGCAATGGTGTTATGCCTCTGCTTGTAGTCTGTCTGCGTGATCTTCTTGCAGCAGCTGAGGATGTGATCTATTGTTTCATCTGCTTCCTTGCAGAATCTATATTTGGCATCTGATTATTATTATTATTATTATTAAACTCTCACATTTCGTGAGGTCAAGAGTATTGTGCTCCAGAACTCTGTCTGTCTGAATTTGGAAGTCCCAGAGTAGTTTGACGTGTTCATTTTCTGTAACTTTTTCATTATTATTATTAGGTGCAGGCGAAACGTCAGGAAAGAATGTTACTGGAACATGGCCATACAGCCCGAAAGACTCACAGCAATGCAAACAAATATATATAAAACCCTTCAAGTCCCGAGTATTTTAGATAGGGGATAGCCAGCCTCTCACAGTAACATATTGAAATCATGGAGGAATTTAAAAGGGTCTGGCCCTGAAGGAGAGACTCTGCGGACCCACCAAAGAGGGCTCGCTACAATGGTGAGCAAAGAGAAGCCCAATTTAAAAGGTTTTTCCTAAGTTCCCAAAAGAAATCTCACCAAAGTTGAAGGAAGCGCCACCGAGATGGTTCTATTGCGATTCAGCTGAAAATGATGCAAAGCAGCAATATTTCACCAAGCTAAGCATACAGTGTACAAAAATAAAGGCCTTTTTATACATAAAACAGAGCTGCCAGGTTTGAATCTCCCATTCTCCGCCCCTCTGCCGGCTCGATGATGATTGGCTGGCGCTCTACAGCTGGGAGGAGGCTTGGCCACCTCCTGAGCGCCTGGGCCAATCGCTGGGCTTCTGCCGCCTCGGCGTCCTGATGAATCAGGAGAGAGGGAGGCGGGACGAGAGGGAAACAATGGATTCTTGAGAGGATTATGGAGGTAGGAAATGTCCATGAGGCCAGTGAGTCCTGGGGCCTGCGAGCCAGCCATTCCTATTGTCATTGAGTGGCTGCAATAAACATTGATTGTCTAGCAAACCTGCGATAATCCAGATTTTTCCAGTGCTGAGATACAGAAACAATGAGAGAATCTTGGCGGTGGTTGAATCAGTAACAGATTAGGGCGAAGTGTGGCTTTCCGAAGACTTCCTTTGTCCTATTGAGGTATGATCATAAATGCCAAGCGACCGCTTCCTCTGGGGGGCCAACTCCGAGGCCAAAGGTCACGATCCTTTGTTATTGTCCATGCAAAAAGTGTCTTTTGATAAGGGTCTTTTCAACTGGAGATTTCCTTCTTTCCAGGGTCACGCAGGGGTGGCTGCCTTGTATTTTTATACATTTTTCAATAAAGGGGAATTGGGCAAAAGGGTCAGGAAAAGGTCAGATACACAGGGAGAAAATATGAAAGTATAGAAATCACAATACAGAAAATATACCCACTTATCCCTCCCCCCAGAGTCCCATAGAAGTTCAAGAGAGCACATAAGTGTAAAGGGAGGTGGTTTCTCAGTAATAAATGTGCTACCTTCTGCTATATATGAAACCTAGGGCATAAAACCTTGATTAAATAATTTAACATGGGAAGGGTCCTTGTTGTTGTTAGTGTCTTGGCAAATTGACCAAGGCTTAACCCTTATTATCCAGTCTGGTGTCCTTGTCCTTAGCAAAACTATAAGTTACTATCTTTTATGGGGGGGTGGGGGTCATGTTTGACTTCAATATCAGTTTTGTGGGGACAACTGGGAGAGAGGTGGGACAACAATAAAGGAAATTTTGAAAAATACAGCTGTGGATATTGTTTGTTCAGTTTCTCCCTCTGGCTTTTCCTCCCAACAGGCAAACTACAAGCAACATGTATGACAACCTTGCGCTGGATGTAGCCGAAGAGGGACCGTCTTCAGAGGCCAAAGTGACCGATGAGAAACTCACCACGATGTGAGGAAAGGGCGAAGAGTCGGGATGAGGAAAAGCGAGCCGGCGCTTGGATTCCCCAATTCATTGCAATGGCAACTCCAGAGAAGGACCATTTGCATTGCTTAAGGCGCTTACTTTGTGTTTAGAAACACACAAATAAATCAATCTATTCGTTTTGGGGGTGAAAGAGTTAGATTTCGGGGTGCTTTTTGAAAGCTGAAGGGTCGTCAATAAAAGAGAGCTGATCATTAAAAGATTCCCTTTTGTTTCGATACATAGATATATACACATACTTCTATGATGTCCCTTCTGCCTAAGCAAAGTTTTTGCAGTTTAATACACTTTGTTCGTGTTTTGATGATAGAACCAATTAGGAAATGACACTGATAACCCAGGAACAAAAACCATGTTACATAATGTAATAAATAATTGAAAATTAGTAATAATAATATTAATCCTCTCAAGATGCCAGTAGCCACAGATCCAGGCAGAACATCAGAAGAAAATGCTGCTAGAACACCCAACACTTCAGTGATATTCTGGTCATGAACACTAATAATAATAATAATAATAATAATAATAATAATAATAATAATAACGAGAAATAACTAGAAAAGCTGACACGATACGAGGATTTAAAGATCAAACTGCAAAGACTCTGGCACAAGCCAATCAAGGTGGTCCCAGTGGTGATCAGCACACTGGGTGCAGTGCCTAAAGACCTTGGCCTGCACTTAAACACAATCGGAGCTGACAAGTTTACCATCTGCCAGCTGCAAAAGGCCACCTTACTGGGATCTGCACGCATTATTTGCCGATACAGTCCTAGAGACTTGGGAAGTATCCGACGTGTGATCCAATACAACAGCCAGCAGAGTGTCTGCTGTGGACTCATCCTGTTGTGTTTCAAATAATAATAATAATAATAATAATAATAATAATAATAATAATAATAATAATAAATGTATAATAATAATAAATGATAATAAATACATAAATAATATTAATAAATTATTAATAATTTAATAAACTCTAATTATGATAATAATTATTAATAAATGTAAGAATAATAATGATTAATGATTAATAAATTATTTTTATTAATGATTAATACTAAATGTAATAATAATAATAAATGATTAATAATAACAAAAACAATTTAATCAATGCTTTTGGGAAAGCAGGGATCCCATGTGCTGAGAACCTGGGAGTTGTAGTTTTGTAAGGTCACCCCATAGGGCAGGCCTGGGCCAACTTTGGCCTCTCTCCAGGTAGTTTGGACTTAAACTCCCACAATTCCTAACAGCTGATAATGTATTTATTTATTCATCATATCAGAACTGAAGCGAGGGTACAATTGTAATGTATTTAAAAACACAAAGTTTTAAAAATCAGCATTATACTAAATGTCCTTTGACCAGTAGCTGGCCACTTGGAGTGCCTCTGGTGTTGCTATAAGAAGGTCCTCCATTGTGTATGTGGCAGGGCTCAGGTTGCATTGTAATACGTGGTCTGTGGTTTGCTCTCCTCCACAGCCGGTAGCAATAATATTATTATAATATAATATAATATTATTAATATAATATAGTAATAATATTGTAATATAATATGGCCACATCATGAGGAGACAGGAAAGCTTAGAGAAAAGCTGGGGGAAAATGGAAGGAAAAAGGAAGAGGGGCCGACCAAGGGCAAGATGGATGGATGGCATCCTTGAAGTGACTGGATTGACCTTGAAGGAGCTGGGGGTGGTGACGGCCAACAGGGAGCTCTGGCGTGGGCTGGCCCATGAGGTCACCCCCAACCATAACATTATTTTCGTTGCTACTTCATAACTGTAGTTTTGCTGCTGTTATGAATCGTAATGTAAATATCTGATGTGCAAGATGTATTTTCCTTCACTAGACCAAATTTGGCACAAATACCCGATATGCCCAATTTGATTACTGGTAGGGTTTAGGGGGGTTGATTTTGACATGTGGGAGTTGTCGTTGCTGGGATTTATAGTTCACCTGCAATCAGAGAGCATTCTGAACACCACCAACAATGGAATTGAACCAAACTTGGCACACAGAACTCCCATGGCCAACAGAAAATACTGAAAGGGTTTTGGTGGGCATTAATCTTGAGTTTGGGAGTTGTAGTTTACCTACATCCAGAGAGCACTGTGGTCTCAAACAATGATTGATCTGGACCAAACTTGGCACACAAACCCAACATGGCCAACTGTGAATACTACTGGGATTTGGGGAGGATTGACCCACGATTTCGGGAGTTGCAGTTCTTATGCATTTTCTAATGGGAGCATTAATAAAAAACAAAAGGAAAGGCTGACTTTTTTCTAGTAGTGTTACAAGTTACCTAAGCTGCTGCTGCTGCTGCTCCTCCTCCTCCTCCTGATGCTGCTGGGCCACTCTCAGTCCCATGTCACACCAGCACTTTCCCCCTACCTTGAAGGGACTTGCAAGCCTCCCTCCAGCCTTGCACGCTCTCCCTCATGCACCACAGTGCCATGCGCCAAGCACGCCTGCTCTCCCTTCCCTGCTTGGAGTCTCAGAAACAGCCCTCCCTTGGCTGAGAGGCTGGCTGAGAGGCTGACCAATCACAGCAGGAGGAGGACTTTTGGTCGGAAGATTTGCGATCTGTTTCCAAAAAGGAAGAGAAGGACAGGTGGAGTGATCTGCAGACTTCTCTGCCAAAGGAGTTCCTAAGACCACCAGAAAATAATAATAATAATAATAATAATAATAATAATAATAATAATCTTTCTTATACCTCGCCACCATCTCCCCAATGGGGACTCAGAGCGGCTTACATGAGGCCAAGCCCAAACAACAATTTACAATAAAGTAAAACCAAAAACACAAACCGAAAATGCAAACAATAAACAACAACAACATGTGAATACATAGCAATATAAAATTTCAATAGGCACAATCACAATGGCAATGGCTTCAAACTACAAGAAAGGAGATTCCATCTGAACATGAGGAAGAACTTCCTGACTGTGAGAGCCGTTCAGCAGTGGAACTCTCTGCCCCGGAGTGTGGTGGAGGCTCCTTCTTTGGAAGCTTTTAAACAGATGGCTATCTGTCAGGGGTGATTTGAATGCAATATTCCTGCTTCTTGGCAGGGTGTTGGACTGGATGGCCCATGAGGTCTCTTCTAACTTTTTGATTCTATGATTCTAATGGGCGGGCTACATGTAATGATTAAAAGAAAAACTGATTAAAACGAATTAAAAAGTTGGGCGAGATAAAAGAGAGACAGATTATTTGCGGAGGAGGACTCATTATAGTGAGGGTTGTGGAATCAGGCTTTCCCACGAAGGGGGGTGGGCATATACTCCAAAGACAAAAAAGTTGAGGCTAAGCAATAGTATGAGATTGTATACCTACTCATCAAAGGCGCAGAGGAAGAGCCAGGTTTTAAGGTTCTTTTTAAAGGTTTCTAGGGTAGTGGCTTTCCTAATTTCTCCAGGTAGTGAGTTCCAGAGTCGGGGAGTCACAGAGGAAAAATCTTTCTCCCTCGTACTTACCAGACGGACTTGTGAAATTGGCAGGGGCGAAAGAAGGGCCTCCCCAGAAGAACGGAGGGCCCAAGTTGGTTCATGGAGGGAGATACGGGCATGAAGGTAGGCGGGTCCCAAACCGTTTAGGGCTTTATAAGTGATAACCTGCACCTTGAATTGGGATCGGAAAAGAAACGGCAGCCAGTGGAGCTCTTTAAACAGGGGGGTTGACTGCTCCCTGTAAGTCGCCCCAGTTTTTAATCTGGCTGCTGAACGTTGGACAAGTTGTAGTTTCCAGGCCGTCCTCAAGGGTAGCCCCACGTAGAGTGCTTTACAGTAGTCCAGTATAGAGGTAACTAAGGCATGGACCACCATGGTCAAGTAAGACTTCACGAGGTAAGGTTGCAGTCGGCGCACGAGTTTTAATTGTGCGAAGGCCCTCCCGGCCACCGCAGACACCTGCGCATCAAGCGTCAGCGCTGAGTCCAGAAGGACCCCCAAACTGCGGACCTGTGATTTCAGGGGGAGTGCAACCCCATCCAGCACAGGTTGCCACCTAATGCCCCAGTCAGCCGAGCAGCTGACCTGGAGGACCTCTGTTTTGTCAGGATTGATCCTCAGCTCGTTCTTCCTCATCCAGATCGTCACAGCAGCCAGGCACTGGTCCAGTATCCTCGGGGCTCCCTTGGAATCTGATGGAAAAGAGTACTGGAGTTGGGTGTCATCTGCGAAGACCTCTTTCTGATGGTCTTTTGAGACCCCTCTGAAACCCCCCTGAGACCCCCCCTCCCAGGGGTCCCGACCCTCAGATTGAGAAACACTGCTGTAAAAGATGCCCTGGCTGGATGGCACAGAAAATTATCTCAAACGTATCTGAAACTGAACTGATACATTTTGTACCTGTGTATATTGTACACATGAAAGTTGTGAGTAAACCAAATATGTGATTTTTTAAAAATCTAAGTCTGCTTCATTTTTGTCACTTGAGTGCATGATACAAAAGAATTTGTTTTATGGGAGAGTAAAACCACATAAAATCCCCGCTGGCGCTGCGGGTTAAACCGTTGAGATGCTGAACTTGCTGACGAAAAGGTCAGCAGTTTGAATCCGGAGAGTGGGATGAGCTCCCGCTATTAGCCCCAGCTTCTGCCAACCTAGCAGTTCAATAACATGCAAATGTGAGTAGATCAATAGGTACCGCTCTGGCAAGAAGGTAACAGCGCTCCAAGCAGCCATGCTGGCCACGTGACCTTGGAGGTGTCTACAAACAATGCCAGCTCTTCAGACTAGAAATGGAGATGAGCACCACCCTCACCCCCCCCCCACTGTGTGTGTGTGTGTGTGTGTGTATGTATATGTATGTATGTATGTATGTATGTATGTATGTATGTATGTATATGGGCACTGAAAAACACCTCTGAAGCTCTGTGGTTTTTATGCCCTGACAGAATCTCTGTTTATCTAATAGATCAAAGAGAACCAGTTATTCAAACAACTCAAACTGATGCTGGCAGATTAACAATGCTGTTAACTTGCTTTGTGGCTGGGAGGTTCATCATAGTAAGCTATTGCTGCATTTTTATTAAGTATTTTTAATTAAATTGAGTTGTAAACGTTGTCTTATGTAAATTATAATGTCATTGTAACAAATGTTGATGTATTTTATGGGGTTTTATAGCACTATTAGGTGTTGTTTTGTTAGCCGCCCCTAGTAACTTTTTGGGAGATTGTGGAGGGATAGAA